GAAATGTAAGTTGAAGATACATAGGTTAGGTGCTATTACCTTTAAAGTTCACAGGGTAGTCTTATGAAGCAAAACCGTCGCATGCAACCTCGACAAAAAGGCTTGCCTCCCCCCCCCCCCCAAAAGATCATGTCATTCATGAGTCGAGTGGCTCGCATCTAAAGCCTGCTGAGTGCCCCAGGTATGTATGTGCCTAGATCTTATAACTAGAACATACATGCTGTACCGCCACGCGAAGGCCAAGGGGTAGTTCCTTTGCAGATGTCGTATCTAGCTGAGGTACAGTACCCCGCGATACAAGTCAAGATCTCGGAGAAGGGGATTTTCCAAAACCGGTGTATTCTTAGCGTACTTTGGTTCTTGTGTCTGTCTTGCTCATACAGACTCGTGCAGACTCGTGCTCTCCTACCTACCTGACCACACAAGGCTGTGATTGGCCAGTAATATATACTTGCTTATAACACGAGACATGGAAAATATCTAAATTGAGATATTGGACTCTGTCCGCGCGGATATTGGTTCTGTATCCTGGCGAGGCAATCAAATCACTGTCAACGCCAAATAGCACATATAACATGATGATCTATTAAAAATCGCAAGCACAAGCCAGGCGGGTGGTCGTAATGTACTCACAAGAGCCGAGACCAATAGTGAACTTGGATTGGGATGCGAATTATCATTTCTACTACATACATAGTAGTATATTACGTTTGACTAATCATGTATGCGACAATGGCAATAGAGTCAAAACCATGTGTATATCCATCTATATATGTGTACTAGTATATACACTACACAGCCGGCGCCTATAGCGCAAGCGAAAGCAACAACACCAATCTTTTGCAGGGTCACCGCCGTCCCCTACTAGGTACTAACGTTGGGGAGCCTTGCTTAACCCGCGCGAGTCCTCGGTATGTGTGTATGCATTTCGCTTCTGCCACCAACCAGATGGCTTCGTCTTGGTAATTAGCTCACGATGGCTTCGATAGCTTCGGCACCGCAATGGAGCAAGCCTAACCGTCCGGGCGACTGGGAGGGGATAATAGGGTCCAGTCCTGACGAGCCTGAGTAATTCTGCTTCTGCACCAGATCTAGACCCACCTGTAGGCGTTTTTGAGTCCATCCTCGTTTCTCTTTACTTGATTCAGAATCGTGGCTTGTGACGCAAGGTATAGCGCGCGACACGGCCAAGCTTCTAGCAGTTGTTAGTGTAGGCCATCACAACGTCGACCCAGGGGAGCTTTGGACAGCGACAGCATGCATTAGAGATAGATAGCTTGCTAGGTAATGTAGCTAATATTGAAGGATCCAGAGCTATCCAGGAGGCTAATCCTGTCTAGCGGTTGGCGCCATGAGCTAGCTAGCTATCTAGGCATCTAAAATAATGAGCCGAAGCAAACCACAATGCTATTATAGTGTGGGTACTATACGATGCAAGTAAACCCACGATCAACCCGAGGCTTTGGACAGTCCTTTTCGCCACGGATGCCACGGACAGCGTTGGAACGGTCAACGGTTGAAGCTACGAGCTAGCCTGGTACTATCTACCGGTGCTAGACACCTGTGTCTTGCCTTGGATGGAGTCGGGCTAGACAAACGCCTCATACCGCCAGATGTGTCAGGAAAGATGACCCGAACCGGTAATCACGAGACGACATACCAACCCAAAATCAGAGCTCATGCTTTGCCACTCTCGTCGAGGCCTACCAAGTACAGTTAATGATATGGCGCGCCCGGAAAACGAACTCCAAAGGTACGACACACACGCTTTCGGATAGGTATGCTGCCTCTTCATGTTTGATCTGTGGGAAAGGATGTGTGTCAGCGTCTATCCTGGTGCTCCCGACGGGTGTTTTCTTTTCAACAAGGAGAAAGACAAATACTTTAAGATTGGCACGGCAGGCAGTGTGTTCTACAGAGCCGCCGATTAATCAGTCATCATCATCATCATCATCATGCTCCCGCTTTCATGTCGCACTGGTTGGAGACAGAGAGAACGAGAGCAAACGCAGCTTGGGCATGGCTGACTGGGATACGCTTGTCGTTCGCATTTCCTGGGACCTGGGAATGCAGGGGCCATGTATCAAGAGGTGTATTTTAAGTACCATGCAGGACTTTTGAGAGACACTCACTCCAACGGCAGTACTGTTGGTAATTAACACTCATACTTACCTACCTACATAGGTGGTTAGCGTAATAATATGAGCACAATATAAGGTGGTGTAAGGTAGTACCAGTAGGCCATACATACCTAGTATAACAATAACATCTATATATATCTTTTCCATATGGAGGCATGTCGATAGATTCTGGAACGGATGGGCTTGCGTGGTCATGTATCCTACGCTTTACCAATACATCAGCATACACAAAATAATGCCTAGGTAGGTTAGAGAGCGATGCCGCATTGAAGACAGACAAGAAAGACACTTACGGCAGATGGTAGGTAATACTTTGTGCGCACGGTACAGTATGAGCAGTGTAGGTCTCTCTCGTAGTACAGGGGAGAGGAGTGCGGAATAGTAGCGTCCTAACCACAAAGACTGAGATGGGATGGAGTGGTATCTCCCTACCTAGGTACTTACATAGCCAAATGAACACGCAAGATATCTCGTACTGTATCTACAGTGCAGTGACAGTCCCGGGTCACCATACCTACATATATTACCTACCATGTTACCTACCTACCTCCTGGGTACTACCCTGCCTAGGTACTAGTGTACATACCTACACTACCTCAACCCGTCATGACGACGACGCTGTTCTCACTCGCAGGCCAGAGACTGCCAGGCACTGGCTGTCCAAGACAAATTAAACCCTGCAGAGGACTTTGTCACGTCTGGGGGATGGTCTATACCCACAATATGACTTCAACATCTAAGTAGGCTTACTTCCAGCAACAACAAACACTGCGTCCGTACAGTAGTCCATAGTATTACTACTACTACTACTGCTGGTACCTTGCCTTCTCCTCCTCCTGCTGCTCCCACACTCTCAGAGAGCTTATATGGGCGGGGATTGGAGAGTGTATATTGTCAAATATGATATTTATCCAAAGGATTCCTTGTTATTCGTACAGTGTCGCTTTTACTGTACTTACTACGTACATACCTACAGTAAGGTAGTATCTCCATCCCCTCGTCATCTTACCTAGGTTAGGTAGTTTTCTCACTTACATGTACCTCCTTCGAGCAGATTGGGCAATGAGATCTCTTCCAAAGGCTTCAACTGTTTGGTCAAAAGTACATCGTACCTTACCCTTTCCACCCGGTACTGGAGAGATTCCACACTAACCTTACCAGCTACGTATGTACCGATCTTATCTTCAGCAACAAATACCGGTACGATGGGCAATTCCCTTCACGATGCGAAATCAGAAATCTCAGAATATCTAACCTACTTACAGCAGTAGGCCAAGGCAGACTCTATCTAGCCTGCCTACCTTGTAGATACTTCCTTTCTTCCTTACTTACCTACCCACTTGCCTATTCTCCACTACTAGTTGCTTGACCTACTCTCAGCCATAGTCAGCCATAGTGACCCAGTGCCTGGTTGAGGCATTCGACAACGTTGAAGGCTTGATTCCTTTTCAACGGGAGGTAGCAATAACCCACATACCGCTATATTATGTACAGTAGGTACAGTTACACGGCTATGGCATCTCCTCACCTGTCACAAGCAGTCAGGTCTGATGGATGGCTCAGCACTAGGTAGGTACTGCAGTGAAATGCACGCACGCACACCACAGGCACTACTACTACATAGCACTCAATTGGCATGGGGAGCATGGGGAGCATTCGGCCCCAAATGCCGTGGGCAGTTCAAGATTGCCTTCAATGCTCTCTCGCTTTCTTGCTTTCCCTCTCTCTGCTGATATCACGCCACCAACCTTTGATGGAGAGAGCCTCTCGTATGCCTGGTGCTCTACCTACACGTATTCAGTATGTATGTAGTTACCAAGGTACCAAGTAGGTACGGTACGTAAGTAAGTAAGTAAGTATAGTAGGTGCTTTAGTTTGCCAGGTTGATGAGCGAGCGGTCACCCACTCCCGCTCATAACAACTCACCTACTTACATATAGGTAGTATACCTACGATTATGTCATGAATAATCGACGCATCTGTGCCTACATACTAAGTAGGTAGGACAGATATTGCACAGTATCTAGGATACAGTACTCACTTGCACTGCATCAGCAGTAGATAGTAGGTGGTAGGTAAGTAACTACTGTATGAACGAGGGAGGGAGGGAAATGGACATCCTTTACCGCCCTTACTCTCACATCCGTCTACTACATGCAATGTAGTACATGTATCTACTGTACATTGCATCCCAGGCGAGCCAGGCTACCTACCCATTCCTCTCCTGTAACCCATGTGCGCCTCCCACCCCTGTCCCAAGTCGCTTCGCCGTCGCCTGCTAGGGGCCTCCCTGCTACTGGCCAGATACAGGCCAAGAGAGAGCAGAGAGAGAAAAAAGGACAAAAGGGAGAGGAAGGGGGACAGGGGACATGGGAGGTACGTACTGTACGTAGCTGGCGGACATGGGGTCCCCTGTCGCGGTGAGCTGGCGTACCTCATGTACCATGTATCCGCCTCGATCTCCTGCCTGCCCTACCGACCCACATGCTGATGGACTAGATCCCGCCAGAGACACCCACCACACATAGCGTGTGTGCTGCGCTGCACGCCGTGTCCTAGCTTGCTCTTGTATATGAAGTCTTGAGCCCCCAAACATCATCACCACGAGAGCCTCTCTCTGTTCACATCTCCACATCGGCCAGCAGCAAGTCCAGTCTTTGATCCAGCTTCACTCTTGCTGTTGTTCCCTTCGCATATATACACATCTGTATACATACTTTTATACACATATACTTATACTTGTCTCCATCTCTCCATCTCTCTCGTTCTCTCCCATCTCCATCTCCATCTCCATATTGTTTCTTGCTCTCTCTAGCATATATGCAGAATACCCATCGTCTATCGGCCTCCATCTCTTGGTTTTCCTTGTCTTAGCTCTTCCACTAGGACAGCTTTCCTCGGACGAGGTAGAACTAGAAGCATCACCACAGCGAGGCGCGAATGTGACATCTCTCGGCCCTTCGACTCTTCACGCTGTTGATACGTCGACCCGTGACACTGACTAAACCCCCCAGCGCACTTCAAGCGATTCGAGACTTCCCCAATCCTGCGCTTTCGCTGGCAAGAACAAGAGGAAAGCAGACATGATGACATTGGTACCTAATCAGCCGTACAAGATGTTCCAACGGCCGAACCATGAACAAGACTTTATGCTCTTCCCAGAATCTGCTGCGCAAGCCGGCTACACATCACCAATGGATATGAGCATGAGCCCTCATGGCTGGGGATTCTCTCGCAGCCCACAAGTCAACACACATCCGTCCTTCGAGCATGGGCCGGCGCAACCCGACGTAAGCGCATTCATGTACCGCGGCCGGACGTCTCCAGGCCTGTATCCCGATGACGGCGAGCTTCAAATCCCACCTTCCAACATCTCGACTGCTTCAGCACCCTCACCGTCGTCAACGGTGGGATCGCCGAATTCTAACCACGGACAGTCGGCCTTCATGCATGACTATACGACACCCGGGATGAACATCAATCCAAGCATCGTGGGCTCGGGTGATTATTTTTCAGGAACTGAGTACTCGGCGTTCACGGGTCCAGGTATGGAAGATTTCACCACCATGACCTTCGACAGCAAATCCACTTTTGTTGGTGAGTTGGCGCGAATCTCTGCTGCATTCATGATATCACCATTGAATAATCTGCTCTACCTCCCTCTCCGTTGCCTCCACTCCCATTGTTAGTTCCTGAAACCCCCACAGCCGGGCCTGGTGGTACCACTGGCGCTGTTCGGTCTCACGAAAAGCTACTGCTTGCAAGTTGCAAGGGGGGTTGGGAATGAATAAACTATCAATCATCCTTTCCGCCGTCGCGGTTGTGCCCGCCAACGGGTGGGGTCTCCTAACTCAGTGAGCTCCAACGGGAGACTCCGGCTGCAGACAGCGCATCAGTCTGTCGGTCAGTCTGCGCCTCATAGCAGCTGCACGTTGCCCCACTTTTCCTCTTCACTGCCACTTTGCTCTCGTGAGGCCTCATTCTCGTGGGCCGTGTATTGATTCTTTTCCTCTTTTTTAAATGGGCTCCCAATCTATCATGTGCAGCATAATGGCCGATGATGTTTCTTGGTGCTAACGCCATGGTGGTTTAGATCCGTCCTTGATTCATCCCGAAATCCGTGGTTCAATGGCGCCGCCCATGTCGGCCTATGAGCACAACGGCTACTCGCCGCAACACCCGTATCCTCACTCACCTGCTCTCTCTGGTGCCACCTCTCCGGCCCCTATTTTGAGAACTGGTTCACAATCGCCATATATGCATACCTATCATCAACAATATAGCCCATACGCGATCCCTGCCCGAGGAAGGCGGCCCAGTATCTCTTATCAGTCTCATGCAAGCTCGCATGAGTTTGCGTACAACAGTGATGAGTCCGAGAAGAAGCAGCGATGCCCCCACCCCGATTGTGGTAAGACCTTCAAAGATTTGAAGGCGCACATGCTTACGCACCAAACGGAGCGACCCGAAAAATGCCCCATACTCACCTGTGAGTATCACGTCAAGGGCTTCGCACGAAAATATGACAAGAACAGGCATACCTTGACCCACTATAAGGGCACCATGGTATGCGGATTTTGTCCGGGCTCCGGTTCAGCTGCTGAGAAGTCCTTCAATCGGGCCGATGTCTTCAAGCGGCACCTTACTGCCGTTCATGGTGTGGAACAGACACCTCCAAACAGCCGAAAGAAGACCTCACCAACCGCCAACACTGGCAAGAAGCTGACCGGTTACGCTCCTGATGCGACGGGCAAGTGCTCTACTTGCTCGGCGACCTTCTCCAACGCCCAGGACTTCTATGAGCATCTCGACGACTGTGTTCTTCGCATTGTTCAGCAGGAGGACCCGGCCGAAGCCATCAATGCTCAGCGCCTAGCCGAGGTGGAGGACGATAAAGACGTTCAACAGACGCTGGAAAAGAACCAGCTGCCACTAACTACGCAGCCTACTCCCCACTCGGAGGAGGAAGACGACGACGAGATGGCTGATGAGGAGGAGTTATATGACGAGGCTGGCCAGCAGATCAGGAAACTGACCTCACCTGCCAAGCGGAAGAGCAACCCTCCCAATGGCGTTCAGAAGTCGCGTGGCATGACGCATTCCCGAGGTGGTGTCCCAGTATCGACCAAGACCAAGGGCCGCAAGAATCGACAGAACTACCCGTCGTCATGGGGCTTTGACAAGGGACAGATGACGATGAAGAAGCGCGTCCTTACGGTTTTTGACGGCCAGCGGCGTCTGGCGAAGGATGATATGATGCTTTCTACCGAACACGAAGTTCGCGTCAAACTATCTGACGGCAAGTCCTACGTCACAGACCTTGACGTGAACACCATGAAGCGTGCCGAGGGCTTCTTGAACGCCACACCACAAGAAAAGGGCATCTGGGTCAGCGACGACCCGACAGAAGAGGACATAGCTCTAATGCTCAGCCACCAATGATAACCCTCTGTCCACTGGGCTTCTCTGGAGGCATTATATACACATTTCCCGCTCTCCTACGGGGACGCACACACATGCACGCATACAAACAAGCAAGCACATTGATGATCGACATGATAAAACGGCTATAGAAGTTCTGGTATGAGCGACACGGAGGCCGGTCTTGGGTTGTATATTTTGAAAATATTGTTTTTGTTTTTGTTTTGTTTTTTTTTTGGATGGAGGAGCATCATTGCGGGCGTCCGGGTATAATACACATTGCATTGGTCTTGGGAAAGGCATCAATGAAAGGTCTCTCATGAGGACGGGGAGCCGGGGATAATGTGGCCGGGCGTTCACGGGCGTGTGAGCGGCTCGTTTCGTATTGTTATTGTCTACTACTCACTCTTATGTTTCCCCCAATGGCGGCGGTCATGCAAGTCTAGGTCGCGAAAACAGTGCGCCTGGCGAAGATACCCAGATGTAATATTTATCATCCATTCATACCTTGTTCATACATAATGCTGCTATGAAACCCAATTTCATTCCTGGCCTCATATTAATCACGCGTGAATGCTTCCATACTACTTCGTAAGTACACACTGCGTTACCTATGTCTCCTGTTGTTTCGTCTATTAGCCCGTTCCCCTTAGTATGTAGGTGAGAATGCATTTCCCAGGATATGAATTCTCAGAGCTGACCTGAAACCACAGGGCCTCATGAAGGCTCACATACTTAGAGACGGAGCTCTGGGATTGGCCGGGAAGACGGGCAACGAAATGGGATAAGACATAGTGGTGTCTATCGCGATGTAGAATTAATTGGTTAACACTGTTGGGTATGTAGGTAGGTATGTAGTCAGTCGGTGGGGTATTTCTCAATACATGACGTTGTTTGTACCTAGTGTAGATCTCACCGTCTTCTGCACATAAGTACATACAGTACGATGATGGACGGCGTAAGGAACTTCTCTTCTAGTACGGAGGGAGGTAGAGAGAGAGAGGAGACAGTAAGTACTTGGGTAGTGGCTTAGGTAAGGCGAGCAGAGCAGTTCCTCTCGAAACCCTGGGCGGAACCGGAGTTGACGACGGTCTGGGCAACAAAAAAAGCTACCTACCGCGCAGCAGCAGCAAGCACGTAGGGTATGTAATGTAGTACCACTGTACTACAGCGGATGTAATGTATGTATCATATGTATGTAGGTAGAGTTACCGCACCGCACGTATGTATTCCTGGGTCGCACGGCAGCAGCAGAAGCAGCATGCGGGATGTATCCATGTTGTTGTATGTCTGTATGTATGTACTTATTATGTATGCAGGTAGAGAACGATGACACCTGAATGCTGAACTTTTTTTCTCCCTCCTTGCTGCGGGCTCCGCTGGAATGTTTTGGGGATGGAGTTTTCAGCGCAGACGGGAAGCCAATGGCGAGGACCAAGACCGAGGCCAGGACCCGGAACTTGGGACTGACACCGGATGTATGTCTTTGTTTGGTAGAGCAGGCGTCTGTCTATATTATTGTAAGTATGTCGTGGGCCGTAATACTACGGTACTGTTATGTCGTCGTTGGACCAGAGCTGACAAGGCACAAGGCCTGCTGGTCAGTGGTAGGTAACATACATACCCGTCGTAAGTTCATCCAACCAACCGCCTTGTCATCCTCGTCATCTTGCTTCTAACTGGTGGTTTTCACTATTGCACTGACTACCATCACCACCATCACCACTACCGCTACTACCCCATCTTAATTGAAGCGTCCAACACATGCATGCGCCCAATCAATGTACAATAACACGACAGCGGCGGCGGCGGCAGCAGCAGAAGCAGCACACGGTACCTACAGTATGTACTTGCGTAGGTAAGTACATAAGTACCTATGTACATAGTAGGTTCTCGGGTAGGTTTTTGTTACCAAAACGGAAATCCTTGCGCGCGCACTATTCTCTCGGCAGCACCGATGCGCTTAGGTAGTCGGTACCCCATACCTTCCACTGTTTGAATTTGAACAGCCTCTCTACACGATCTACAATGCAGTATGGAAATATAGGTAAACTGAATACCTACTTACCTACTTACTAATACACCTATATATTTTTTTCCTTCATTATCTTACCGCTTAATGCCAAGTGACCAATGACAGCGACCAATCGACCCTTACCAGGGAACAGAGAAAAGACGCCATCTCTTGTACCCGGTAAGGAAATCGGGGGTACGTAGTAGCCTCGGTATAAGCAGCAGTACACGATATCCCCTCCCTCCATCCATCCATTCACTTACATACAGTAGTTTGGTTTAGTGGTATAGCGTACTGTATGATGATGATGGTGATGATGGTGATGCTGCGGGCGAGAAAATGGTTTTTTCTTTTTTTCTTTTAACATCTTTCCCTACCCCACCCTTCTCTTCCTTACATATGCTCTTATCCCTTTTCGTCAAGCATCAGGTACTTCCCCATGATTTTCATACTCGGTTTTGCTTTGCTTTTTCCCTTGGTCGGTATTCATCACTAGAGGTATGTATGCCTTCCTAATGGGAATGGATGGACGACACACACACCCAGAATCCGTTAATAGATGGATGATATCATGCGACCAGCACAGATTCACAATCACCACCACATGACGAGGCCTCCCTCCGATCTTAGTGTCTCGAGAGCTTGGGCAACGTACGGGGCTCACTTAGGTGGACAGTCAGACCGCCCTTTTCCTTCAACCCGGGTGATTGTCTAAGTTAGTAAGAACAGGATGATGAAGAAAAAGACGAAAGCATGCATACACTGTCCTTATCATTACCTACCTATGTAGATGCTAGGTAGCTCAGGATACCTCCCCTCTTCCCCAGCCTTTCTCTATCTACCAGACAACCTCAATAACGGCTCAAGTAGGTAGACAGACAGGTATCTATCATATTCCAATGCGCTGACATACATACACAATATCCACCCACCCATCCATCCATCTATCTATCCATACATGCGGTAAACACGACCAACTAACACATACTACACCACCTACACTAGCGGGCTCCCTTGACCGGTCTGAACCACTTAGTCGTCGTGATATGTGCGCGGGGACAACCGTTCTCTGCGCCTCGCGCGCCAGGGAACCTTTTACCGCGTTGTTTGGTCCACTAGACTACATGCCGATCTTACTTGGCTACTTATGTGCATACCTACGTCCCAAAGGTCAAGTATGTATGTAGATAGATCTGATCTCTACTTATGTACATAATAGCAGCCAATCACCTTTACAACCTGTCTGACATACCTACTCTGCGGAACTTAGCGCGAGAGTTCCCAACTCTATCCCACAAGGCTAAGGACATTTCTGCAGTCGTAAGGCGCAGCAAATGAAACTAAGGTCGTTAGTTGGTATGAATCTGCATCATATACCTATGTTATGTTCATGTGTACATAGGTAGATAGACATTGTGGACAATAAATAGCGTACTACTCCAATTGGTAAACACAGTGTTGGTCTCTCCGAGTTACCGGTAGACGGCGATGAGATGGAACGGCAACTACCGCTCCTCAATACCGGGAGGGAGACCAGTTACCTACTTCGTAGGTAGTCTGATGCTACCCCATAACCACAGGTATGTCATCAGAGAGGTACGCAACCCAACACTACCAGTGTAAATCGACTACCCAATCGAGGTTCAAATGATGTGACCTGCGTGGATAATAGTCATAATAATGGACTCAGCTAACCTTTCGTTGATGTGGTCACAAAACATGATGTAATTCTAGAGCCCCATCCATGGTTTCTTGAAAGGGAGGAAAGAAAGCTAGATACCACGCGGTCAAGCCCACGATAGACCTACCGGCGGGTAACTCTCTGCATACCGAGCGAGCACATGATGTTTGATCTATACAACAAGTGGGTGTTATTAGGTGGTGTACGGGTGTTCAGACTGTTCCCTCGTACAGTGTTCTCGACAATCCCCCATCGGACATCCACACACACACAGCCCCTACCCTAAACATGTAACTCACTCCCAACTACAACTTACAACCTCAGGTATACCACCACCATCATTACTAACTACATGACCAGAGCCAACATACATGAGTAACAAATCCATTAGCATACCGCCCTTTTGCCTGGCATGCGCTACTTCTAGATTCCTTCTTGAATACATAGAGTACCTAGGCAGGTCCTCCCTCTCTATATTATCCCATTGCCAGTGTTAGGTACCATACATGTATATGTGCCGCTGCTGCTGACCAGTGCTCCTTTGTATGTAGGTGAGTAAGTACATAAGGAGGTAAGTATTTAATTGACCAGCCGACAGCGATAACGCGCATGGGATCGAGATGAGACAGACCGGTACTAGAAAGAAACGGCGACAACGCCACCAATGCGTTGGTGCTGTTGCATTTCGCAAAGTTACATAATTGGCCCGTTCGTGGTGGGCTACTCGTTTTATCTATGAAATTAGATATGTTTCTACAGTGGTGGCACTCGCTATCTTTCTGCTTCGGTTCTCTTCTCTTTCTCGTGCCAAGTTGATAGCAGCAAGCAAGCAAGCAAGGCCCGGCTAATACTTCTTGTGATACTGCTCGGTTGCCGCCTTGTTGAGATATCATGCTGTACATCTATATGACTGATGCAGGTACCGTCCACAGCCATGCTGACCTGGTAGTCTGGTATTGACCTCCTTTATTGCCTTGCGGTGTATAGTACGCGGATCCTGTCCTTATGTACGTTGTTGGTCAGAATTACATGCGGTGTTAGCTGACGATGTACATTGTAAGCAGCAGATCAACACCAAGTGACGCAAGGTTTGTGCATCTGTCTTTTTATAAGGCCAGTCACAGGCGACTCGCTTCGTCGTCCTTGATTGGATGATATCAGAAAGTCTCAAGACAAGGTCTACCAACTAAACAGTTGACTATAGTACTTGGCTTACTAACACTCGACAAAGAAGAGAAAGCCGTCAGTCTTAATAATAGGCTCGTATGCCTCACATGTCGCACCAGTAGAAGGCCGCCTGATAATTCCAACTGATATAGCCTTGGAACTCCACCCGTTCGCCCATCAATCGATCAATCAATCAATTACTCATATCTTGCCGGGTCGATCTCCGAGTTTGAAACCGCGATCGGTAACTAATTCCCTTGGAGTGAACACCATTAACACACCGTGCTATAGATCTCGCAAGCGTTCGCCTCGGACTTTTTTTTTTTTTCTTCGGAATACCGTTATCGCCAAGATTGAAGGGGGAGGGAGTGGAAGTCCTTAGGATCTCTCTGTTAGATTCGTCTCGCGCCTGGGATGAACCTAGCCTCGCAAAACTATGGCTTGCAATGCGAACTGGCAGTGTGTTATCATATGTCATGGGCTAAAACATTGAAGAACCCAGGGGTGGAAAGGTTATCAATTCAGGGACGCCGGGTGCCAGATCCCAGTACCGTGGTTCAGCTACTCAGCTAGCCAGCCCAGGGGCAAGGGAGTGGCGCGAATCTTTCCCGGCGATTAGAGCTTCTTTGCATCACCCGTATATTGCGAGAGTCTGAATAATAGCAGAGATTGGACTGCGGTTCTGCATCCCAAGTAGTTTTATCTAGACATGCCGAATAGTGATAACCGGCGAGGCACCTAGGGATACGATCGGGTTGCCTATCTGGGTGGTTAGTGAAACTTGATTTACTTTCAAACTTCATTCCCGTTTTCTTCGGGAATAAGCCTATTTTTCTGCCATCGAAACTATGCTGTGCTTGCAATTGGATTTCCCTAGGGAGGCCATCTACTATATCATTACAGCCTGTGCATGTGAGCATCATATTGCCCTTTACCCCTGAGCAGTACCTGGCGCAACGGATTCCTGTGTTCCCTCATCAGAGCTGGATCTAGAAGTGTAATGTAGATGCGATTGGCTCCGAGCACCCTGTCGTCGCTCTTCCTTCCCGAACCTCGGGATTATCGAATCCCACCCTCACGTCTCCCCTTGTCCTCAGATCCTCAATCTCCGTGACTTCCATCGTGGTCTAGATTCCATGGTCACGCGATCCCTGCTCGCTTCATAGCTTGATATGCACTCCAGTTACTCAGGTGACCTCTCCTCAACATTCATTATCAATGGGAGGATTCACCTCCTGGCTTATATATGAAATCGGTGGCGGATCTCCATACGGCCGGGGACTGCCAGACATACTCGAGGAATCCTAGTGAAAGATCATAAATAGGCATACTAGAGCATCTCGAGCCTCAAGCACAAACCGGTCTGTAACTATGGCTGCTTCTGCCATTCTTCGACTGGTTTCGTTGTCTTCGGATAGATTCGGCTACTTTGAAAGATTCAAGACCAGTTATATCAGATTCCCCTATTCCCATACAGTTTCATCGAGACAATACAGCAGAGTCATATTGTACTTTATTCGGATATTATACACCCTCTAATTATCAAAGATACTCGTTGCCTGAGCCAAGCAAAACATGAGCTCGTATGTCTGTTTATTTGAAGCTGCAAGCCTCAGCCCTCATCAGACTATGTATGGTTGCGTCGCATTATAATATATACAGCTCTGATTCCAGTTAATATATCACAGGAATCCTGCAGGGTAGATACTACGTTTTCTTTACTGTCGTACAGCAGTTAGCTACATGAGCGATCATATGCCTTACCACCTTCCCTTGCTTCGTGAACAGATCTTAGGGATCGTTTCCGAACCCCATGGCTAGAACCCCTCGATGGATTTATCGGGTAATTTATTCTTTATGCTTTTAGTCCTCTACACTCAAGTAGTGTCGATGTTGACCTCCAGTAGTTCTGGCCCTGAAATAGCATTGGCGTGTCATCAATCAAAATGACATGTCCTTCGTTGTGTTGGCTTGAAATGAGAAACGTACATTGCATATACCGGCCCCCAGTTTATGGTAACAGGTGGGATTTGAAAGGATATCAAGGGAAAGGAATGCATCGGAACTGAATGCTAACAAAATAAGCGCGGCATTTCTTTCTCATTACGCTCGTAAAACTACCCCCTTTCTACCTCCTATCTATGTAGCAATATAATTAAAGGTAACATAAGTCAAAAATGATTGTACGGGACTATGAATCTTGCCTTATTGGAGAAAGCTTCACTGATACCACTATATAACCTTTAACTTCATATTATATGGTACCACCAGATCATATTCGGCGAAGGGTAGATTTGAAGCAATACTAAGCGAGTATTTTGAGAACAGCCGGAGAGGTTTCTTTGAAGAGAAACCTGAAACCACACAAATTACTTGAATCTGGCTGATCCCTTCCGATTAACGCAAGCTAAGTGGACTTCATGCCTGGCTGTAGATGAAGAACCTCGGCAGAATGAAGTACGATGCTGGAAAATTGATAGAATTGGCATGTCAAACACTGTCTCGCTCTTCACGTAATACCATTTGAAACGAAACTTATGTCACTTACAATGGGTGAGTTACCGTGAGCGCAAGGACCCCAATCACGATGAGTCGCAGTAAGACCCCCTTTGTCACCTCATACGATAAGATGAGTCCCAGTCCTTGCCTTTCCAGAAACCTTCTAGACTCCGATTTCTCACTTCCACCTCAGAACCAGACGGCATTAAGTGCCTTTGTTTGCCCTGGCTTCAAATCACCAATACCAGCCGTCTTGGAAGATAATGTATTAGCCCTGACTAGGGTAGAACATTCCTACTCATTGCTACGGCATTCCCTGCCACGAAGCCCCACGACACAGAAAAAGTTATAAAATAAAAAGACTTGCACACCTCTTTCATCATGTGCCAAGCTTCCAAGGCCACGATATACGAGCAATTTATGTTCTGGCCTTGATCTCCAGTAATTTCAGCCTGCTAAGTGAATCGGGCCCGAAGTATCATATTACCTGAGCCAGACCCATCTGACTTTAACCATACTCCCACGTCCTTCGTTGACATGGCAAAGGGAATCGCTCACCTCACGATGGCAAAAGCAATGAAGAAAAATTGCGGTGGTCGATCCAACTTTAACAGCAATGATAACAATCTGAAGAACGACCTATATCCCGAGGATGACTTCTCCATGCATGGCGCCTATGACAGCACCGATAGTCTACCATCCTATCGTGGACGAGGCGGCTATCCTACTGGCAATACGAGCAACAAGCAAAAGAGCAGACAGAGCAGGAATGGCAGGAAATCAAATAATCGCCACCTCTCATTCGTCGACAACCCCTTTGAGAAATTCGACTTGGGCCAGTCGATGTATGGAGACCAGCAAGACTCTACACTCCCCAGACAGCAAGCAGATGATAGCCGATTTGACGGTAACCAGGCCAATAGATACAGCAATCATCACAATCATCACAACGGGCGGGGAGGGTCATCCCGAGGCCGAGGAGGCTTGATCAGAACGTCGCCACGAAGCAACGACAGCCACAGTCATTCTCAATTGCAGAGCCAGAAATCTCCACGCAGCAACAAAGGCACACAGAGAGGTTTCTTACCACCTTCATCCCCATCCCCATCTCCATCTCGAAAGGCACGCCCACGATCCGCATTTCCCTCGAGCGCAGCCCGCACGCGCTTCTGCACGGAGTGCGGCGCAGTGCGACGCGCGAACCTCACGCTGCGCGACTGGTTCTCATCGGGCATCGGCTCCGCCTCAGACGTCCTGGACAGCTGGAGCGACGAGGTGGGCTTGGGCCGGGGGTCCGCGGACGAGATGGACTGGCAGCCGGAGCCGGTGGTGCGCGTAATGAGCTTGCCGACTACTCCTCCGCCTAGTACTAGCGGTGCCAGCGCTGGCGGATGGCAGCAAGAGTCGTGCAACCACAGCAACGAGACACCGAAAGACGGAGGGAAGGTGGAAGGCGTGCCAGCGAGCTGCACTAAGGGGTTGCCGTGCGGTCTCAGGCCAGCGTCCATCGGCCCGGAGTTCTCTGATATTGATGGTGGATGGGGGAGTGGTGATAGTGGCGGTAGTGACCGAGGAGGAAGAGGAGCAGAGATACCCCCGTCTGCGAACCCATCGCCATCTAAAGAAGACCAGGCCTGCGTCAACCAGCCAACGAAAAATGGCGCAACCCCATGGGCGAATGCTGCTGCTTTCGGACCACAGAACGGGCAGATGACTCCGCCTGATACACCGCAATCTTTGATAGCATGAAGACTCGCAGCTTTTCAGATGTTCGGTACATCAGATCTGAGAATGTCGAACACAGGCTGACCTGAAGATCTCGGCAAAAACCCGGAAAGATGGATGTATCAAGACGATAGGAATAGTGGTGATGGATGAGTGCCGGATTCCACAAACTTGGAGAGGTGAAGCTTATTGTACCGCAAAAGTCTCAGTATTTAGTAGTTGTATTCAACGTACATATACTGAGTTCCTGTCCGTTACGAAGCTGCGAATTAAAACTTGACATAAAATAACGGACCCTACGCAGCCTCTTTTGAAGTTTCTTTTTATGGCAAGCTAATATAGCGAAAGAATTACAACACGACGTATGATACAGCCGTAAAGAGCTCAAAATAGGATAATGCGACCTGTTGAAAACATCATTGTATTGCGAGGGGACAGACCGAGCCTGAGAGGTATCAGACAGATATGTGCGGACTTTCCTGTTCGAGAATCTGACAAAATCATAGCCCAAATCATTCCATAACGCCAATCGCCGGTGCCTGATGAAAACCCACCCTATGTAAGATAGGACCACCATACGTCTTATTGTCATATTACGATTCAAGCTTCTTCGATCCTTCGTATCTACCGATAACTGTGCAAAGTTAGCGTTGTCGTTGGCTGACCTAGGTTTATTCTACACTCACCAACAGCATGGTCACGCTCGTAAGGCTCTGTAAATGTGTTAACTCTGCATAATCATGAATCTCACGGATGCACATACCCAAGGTCCTATTTAATGAATGTTAGCAAATGGCTTCTCATCGGAAGATGTACGAAAACTTACAGTTGTTCAAGAGGCTTAAGGCCACCTGCGCGCAGCTTTTGTACCTCGGCCGCAAAAACAGCCTCGGGAGCGGCTGTGCTGTCTATACAGTTGGCCTTGATGGAAATGACGATACCGCCACCAATCTTCAAGAATAATGAAGCGTTCAAGAGCGCAATTCTAGCCTGGTCGGGCTGAGCAACATCCTGCAGAGTAGAGTTAGACAAATATGCTGTTCTTAACCGGGTGCTCATGGTTAACGTACGAGGAAGATAGCATCGACCATAGGTACTAGCATGCGGTATTTCAAAGGATGACGGGCGTCTTCGACAACTGTAAAAAACGAATCAGTAACCGCAAGTTGCCATTATATCGAAGAGCACCGGAAATGACCAATGAAACTGATAAGGCTGGGATGCGTACTCGGTATTACGTTGGTCCTGTTTTGGGCCATTGTGGTCTGGTAATAAGTTAGAAATAGTAGCTGGAGCCGAACTTGCAGATTACTCACAAGATCACGTCCAGATCGATGACTGAACTCGACTGGTACTGGTTAGCTAGAATGTAATTACTGATAGAGATAGCTTGCTTGCCTGCGTAGACATTGCCAGTAGGTCCTACTATATCGGCGACTAGATGACATACGGTTAGTGGCTCCTATGGAGGAGAGATCATTACTTCATGGCGTGCCATAACTTACCATGGGATACAGATGTTCCAGAGGCAGCACCTAGGTACAAAATTTTCTTTCCGGGTGCAATGAAGATGTTATCAATACCACCAATAACTATAGATCGTTGAAGTTAGTACAATATTCAGAATACTGGGGAGGGTGGCGTGGTACCTGCAGCAGCTAACTTGCTACGGAAAGGATTCTTATCAAATCTTGGTTAGCATCTACCATCCTACGGCAACCAAAACAACCTCGCTGGCCCTCGCTTGTCAAGGTGACCAGCAATGGTCGGTCACACGTGTCCAAAGGAATGTTCAAAGGCGTACCCAAATTCTGTATTCGACTTTGGTGGTTACAGACGCACCATCGGCATCCTTGCTTGCTTCGTCGACGGAGATTCGCTTTTCGCCGTACTATTTGCACGAGTAAGTTAATGGGCAACTCCAATTGTTGAGGATTCGCGGTCGGGAAAAGATGGGTTGTCGCGCGAGTCGATCTCGATGGACTTCAAGGCGTGGACACTTACTATGAACCGTTAGCAGACTGAAGACAGACATACTTGAAAGAACTGGGGCAAAGAAAATAAGCAAGGCAATACCTACCAACTTCAAGACCAGGGGCAATCGACCGTGTAAGAAGGTCTAAGACATCAGAGTTAGAGGCTGGGCTTCGACTATACCCCAGAGAAATCGATCGTATACGGCAAAGGGCCCAGCTAGAGCTATTCATATCGAATATGTCTCTGTTGAGAGCCCCTTAAACCGATTTGTTTCGAATATTAGGAGGTGACTTACGATCTTCCTTGCCTAGAAAACGTGGTTAGTACTTAGTGTCTTAACCATACGCGCAAGTGTATACAGTCTTGCCCATATCCCAGGACACAGACAAGTGTAGTTAAAAGGCAAATTACTTACCACGCGAGACGAAGATACCAGCGCTGGACCATGCGTTAGCGTTTGCCCCTCGCGAGAGACATGGTTGCGTATGCGCACTTACTGACGATGCTAAATCGATTTGTCAGTTGGCTGTTTGTTCCATCGCATGATTTTAAGCTGCGTAGGAAGAGTCGTTCCTCAAGGAGCAGGTGCAACATCACATACAGGTTCCACGACTACTTTGGCTCCAGCACCACCGGGCTTGGCTCCTCCACGACCACCACGGCCACCGCCACGGGGAGCTCCACGACCTAATGACGTTCGTCAGAAATTGGTTGACATTTCGAAGGATCCGTAAAATGACGAACCGCGAGCACCGCCGCGAGCTCCTCCTCGAGGTCCTCCACGACCGCCGCCTCTGCCACCGCGATCACCTCCAAAGCCTCCGCGGCCACCTCCGCGGCCACCTCCACGGCCACCGCCGAAACCTCCACGACCGCCGCCGCCGCCGCGGGGAGCACCTCGTCCACCTCGTTGGAAGGACATATTTATACTTAAAACTGTTGATGGGGTAGTTGAATGTTGTTCGGGCGCCGACAATTGGTGTACCAGATGTGAAGCTTGCGCGAAAGTACGAAGCTATTCCTCGAAATAAATTTTCTAAGGTACAAGCTATCGATATCGATAACGCAAGGTACGATGGAGCTTGGGGTCGTCTGTCCCAAGGTGATCCGAGCTTTTCCTTATCCGTAATCTTGATATCCTTAATCTTGATATCCTTGGTGGGGACCGAGAATCTGCCGGTGGGGAGCTGGCGTATCTTAGATAGGCATGACTTGTTAGTGGAAATTCACATTAGTTAAGCAACTTTCTAGTTGAGCATCGCACTGGCTGGGGCTCTGTTCAGCCCCACACGGAACTCTCCCCCACCAATTGCAGCCGAGTCCAGGAGAGGTAGGTACCGAGGGCTTAGCGGAGGGCACAATTTTTGCTCAAAACCAAATTTACATCAAAGAATCTCGCCAAATACTTCAAACACCAACGACACCGACTCCATCTCAACTAACCACCCACAGCACAGCAGCCAAGATGGTACGTTAGAATCGATTCCAATAGCGACGGCCTTTCTCGTCGCATGCGAAATCTCAATTTCACCGTTTCACCGTTCAACTGGTTTTTTTCGACACCGAAATACCCCTGTTTCCCCGAGGGGGGATGATGGTAGAGTAGATTGATGGGCTGACGACGGCTTTCTTGCTATTCAGGTTCGATACGCTGCCACCGAGATCGAGTCCGCGAAGTCGGCTCGCGCCCGCGGTTCCTACCTCCGAGTTTCCTTCAAGAACACCCGCGAGACCGCTCAAGCTATCAATGGCTGGAAGTTGACCCGCGCCGTCAAGTTCCTAGAGAACGTCCAGGAGAAGAGCGAGGCCGTCCCCATGCGACGATACGCTGGTAGCACCGGCCGAACTGCTCAAGGTACGACTCAGATGCATTAGCTTAGGAAAAGGGTTGCGATTCGGAGCTAGTTGCCATTTGAAAGATGCACCTTCATAGGGTGATATGGGAAAACGCTTCTACGAATTGGCAACCCAGGGTGAATTTGTTGTGAACAGCATGCTGACGGATTTGGTTGACAGGAAAGCAATTCGGTGTCTCCCGTGCCCGCTGGCCTGTTAAGTCTGCCGAGTTCTTGCTCGGTCTCCTCAAGAACGCTGAGTCCAACGCCGATGCCAAGGGCCTCGACACCAGCAACCTTATCGTCAAGCACATTCAGGTCAACCAAGCCCCTAAGCAGCGACGACGCACATACCGTGCTCACGGTCGTGTATGTATTCACCGAAGTCACACCATCTTGTGCCCGAATCGAGATAACTTGCTGTACTCAATTCTAACCACAATCATTACAGATCAACCCTTATATGTCCAACCCCTGCCACATCGAGCTCATCTTGACCGAGGGTGAGGAGGTCGTTCAGAAGTCAGACGCAGTCAGCTCCCGTGAAGTTGCTCACTTGAGCTCAAGACAACGAGGTGCTCGCATCAGGAAGGCCATCACCTCGTCTTAAAACAGATAATGACGAGGGGTGTGACGATATGATGGCTGGTTGGTTGGGGATTTAGTTGCTTTAACTCCAGGTGTCAAGGCGGTTCGTAAGCATAGGGTCTAGGTTTTCTGGCATGCAACTTTCGCGAAACGAAATAACATATTCGTGGTTACTCCAAAATACAGAAAGGTTCTGAACACAAAACGGTTCCTCGGAGAAGGTCGCATTGATGTTGGTATCAACATGCAACGAGTCTCATGTCTTCCACGTTTAAGCATCAGACTTGATTAATTTCTGAAAGTTAGCATTTGCCTCCTAGATCGAGGCTTACAGGGCGCTCGCCTACGATGTCTCGTGGCGAAGCTGGGTACCATCCACAACCTGAAAAAGATGTATTTGTCCCATTTCCGTCGCTTCCCTAAGTGTACGATTGTGCAGTGAAAAGTTTACGGTGATAGTAATTGAGGTTCGAAGATACAGCACCGCCGTTGACAAAGCTACGATAAAAATAATATGTCTGATAACAGTCAAACTAGATGTCGGGGCATGCATGAAGGCCATCGGCCTCCCATATGTATCTTCACGATGGCAATAAAAGAGAAGAGGGGGGTAGATCAACCAGTGATAACGGTTGTAAAGGGAACGCCGGCTTATCCACGAGTAGTTGGCCCATTCTCGCAATCTCGGACTGACGCACACATTCATGCTCTTTGATTTTATAAGCTCAATAGTTAATCTATGGAAGGCCTTCTCTTAATTAACTACCTCAGGGCACCTAAACCATTCGAGCCGACATAATGTCCCAAGACCAGCAGAACCTGTCTAACCTCGACCTTGTTGAAGCAGTTGACTCGTAAGTATTACACTATTCCCACCGAGCAGTGAAAGTAAGCATTGAAAGCAGCTAACCTATTCAGATGGCCTTATTTTAGCAAGGATCCTGAAGCATATAGACGGCATACGCAAGACTGTCATTATTTTCTCGTCGAGGGGTACGACGAACCGGTCGGTTACATCCATAATGACTTTGTGGCCCGCATTGACTGGACCGAATGTTGGAAGATTGACCCAGAGCGAAGATTCCTTTCTCTGAAAACGGGTGGTCCCCCATCCATCAACGACTTCGAAACACGTACTCGCCTCATGCAAGAAACGTTGGAACAAGGGCAAAGTCCCAAGAAGGTTCTATCCCTAAAGTATTGGGCGAATGAATTATTCCCTCTCTATACATCAAGTGGAGAGCATGTACTGGATATGGATGGGTGTGGTGTGGACACGTTCGGTATTGTCAACTACTCTATCCACATAATTTGATGGACCATGACTGCCAACGGCATGAAGTTATGGGTCCCACGCCGCGCTTTCACTAAGATGAGCTTCCCTGGGAAACTTGATAATACTATCGGTGGAAGCCTTGCTTCTCGAGAGCGTACTATCGACGGCATTGTCCGGGGATGCGAGGAAGACCTGTGTCTTGACCCTACTTATATGCGAGCCAACATCAAGCAGTGCGGCACCAATTTGTTCCAACTTACCATGACGGATTCGTTGGAAGTCGGCCGCCAGCACCAAGTCCAGCATCTCTACGAGATCGAACTAAGTCAGGACATTGTTCCACGGATTGGAGATGGAAAGGTTGGGTCGATTGAACTTTTGACTATCGACCAAGTTCAGGAGGCTCTGAAAAGGGGTGAATTTAAATTAACATGCAATTTAACCTATATGGCGTTCTTCATTCGAGATGGCTATATAGACGCAGAAAATGAGTCGCATCTTGTCGAGATCTGCTCCAGGCTCAACCGCTAACACCACCTCTATATTGTCTAAGCAGTATAGATCTTACAATCTGAGATCGTATAATCGACGCTGTTATGATTCCCAATTTCGATCTTGCTCAGATCCTCCAAAACCTGGAGTATTCCATCTTCTTGTACCTCCGCCGAGGAAAGGCCGCAGCCAGGGAAACTTGCTGATAACAAGACATCAATAGTCGCACATGGGCCCAGAATGGCATGCCCTTTACAGTAGGTACTTCACATCCTTTACTGCCCTTCGTCTAGCTCCATCAACTACGACGAAATGGCGACACCTGTGAGAAAGCACCGCTCTAGACTTATTTGTGGTAAGGGGTTCTGCATATTGCAGACATATTAATTTTGAGAAATTCCAGATAATCGCAGATGAAGTTGGATCTTTAGTTCATTATGAAATGCCTCACATCTACGGACTCGTCATTGCTGGCCTTGCGCCAACTCCATTCCTATTCTGTGACATTATTACTTCGACAACCTACAAAACGTTTCGAGGGCCGCCAGGCGCGTGAATTATTTCTAGAAGACGGTTAGGGGAAAAGATTAACACAACGGTATCCCCGCGATTCCAGTGCGGCACAAGCTACCGCAACATTGCTGCAATAGCAGCGAGACTACAATAGTCCTGTGATCCTTCCTACAAGGTAGAGCAGGAAAAGGTTCATTGGCAGCTCAAAAGCTCTGGGGAAAGGGATTCAACGCTGGGGATACAGTCTGCTCGCTGGCGGCACTGAACCCATATGCTCCTGACCGACCTTGCGCCGTCAGGTTAAGAAGATGCTTAGCGAAGTAGGCATTCTCGCTAATCACAACCCTCTTCCAGGGGCGTTAGTCCGCGATTCTTGGGGTATAGAAAACGATTACATCAAGGGGAGGCTAACACTTAGGTTGTCGCCGTTGCCTATAACATCTACTCGCAGGATAACTACCTTCTGGGAATGAATATAAATTAATTGGTAATCCTTGCTGTGCTTAATGTGATGCGCATAGAACAGACCAGCGTCGTATATAATCTTACTCAGTAATTGTAGATAGAGCATCGTGATTCGATCTTAGCTATAATTGCCCCTGTAGGTGTCTAATACTTCGCAACCGTATATAGCTACATTGTAGCTATAAACTGAATACTTACCTAGAATCCAGCTTGATAAGAAACAATGATTCGTTAGACTGGACTTTGGAATAATTTCCAAAACTTGACCATATTGTAGACCGTGTTCTGATACTCTGTAAGCCTTTTTCAACGTCCGTAACCATCATGGTGTGACCACATTCGAGTACGTCGGTTGGTCTGACACCACACATGACACGATATGGCTATATTAGAGCAAGTATTATGCGGCTGCCTGCCTGCCTGCCTGCCTTCTGCCGGTGAAGCCTTCTACCGGTACTACACGTACATATACTATCCACTCTTTGCAGTTCGTTCTTAACCAAGATGTAAGGCTAGAGAGTCTCAGACCTACAGTAGATACACAACGCGACGCCTCGCGAGCATCACTTCCTATCTCCGCCGAACGAGTTTCCCGTGATACGCGCGAATATCTTTCTCCCCGCCTCTCTCTCTCTGGGAGCTTGTGGGTAGATATCCCAGTTATCAGTTAAGCTACGATAGACCTGAAAACGAATTTATACATGTCTAGATTTGCTGTTAATATGTCTGACCCAATGAACAATGACTCACATTCCTTCCACCCATCCCACATACACGATGTGTGGGTGTGAGAACTGCTTTAGCGAACCATGTAGGTGGGATAAGATGAGATGAGATGAGATGACTGCATACCTGGGCAGACAAGTCACTGAGCAAGCGTACAGACAGGCATAGATCTTTTTATTTTTTTATGCGCGTGGCCCGGCACTCCTTCAAGTAGATAACAAGCATCATCGTGCAGTTTACAACAATCAAAACAGTAGAGAAGGCTAGATGGATCCAAAACAGGCGGTCTGGGCGTTCGGGGGTAAGGCGTTTGAATTCATCTCAGACCAGCAGGCAGACAGACAAATAGACACAAGCCTCGCAGCTTGTCTTTGGAGGTTAGCTTGCAGGACGTTGTCTCGTAAAATAGATCCATGTAGGTCGTGGATGGACAGACCACGGTACTCCTCGATACACACTACCCAGGGTCTAGAACTATCGCTCTGTGATCAAGGGTTAGGCAAAGTTGGGCAGGCATCGAGGCTAGAAGAAGTCGAAGACAATGTCGGAAAAGGGGGATGTGCGGTTGGAATGGATGGAGGGTCGACTGGCGCGAACGCCTCACGGAGCCCCATCATGTATCTTCCTGCGGAGCGAGTTTCCCGTACTTACTTACGCACGAAAATAGTATGCTTTTCTCTATCCTCGCAGATACTTAAGATGACCTACTCTTCTCTCTACACGTATACGCATGCCGAGAGGGAGGTCGGAAGGTGTATATTACCCCACGTTTCCCGGTAACCCGGGAGCAAAGTACCGGTACCAAGGTAGTAAGTCGGTTAATTAATGAGCAATATCGTCAATACGACACGGGTAACGGGAGAATCCGGCGTAGACAAATACGTGTTTTAGTAGACACGTACTTTCATGTATGTGCGTATGCGTGTAAGTACTTCGTAAGTATGTGATGTGACATGAAGTTGGCTTAATTAGCAAAAATATGTCCAGACCAATCAAGCAGCCGGTGACCGGTGACGAGTAGGTACTGCATGTATGTGCCTAACTGTTGGATTTCCGATGATAAATTATAGCGACCGAGTAGGTAGACGCCAGATAAATGCGACAGTCATTGAACCGCACCATCGGCGTACCTTGCAGAAAGGTTTGCCTTGCCAGCCTGTCCTTTTTTCTTCATTCACCCCATGCCCTCATCTCCCATCGTCTCTTTTCCAGATCCATCTCGTCTACGAAAAGGCGACCCGGGCTGGCGGGTCGGTCAAATAGGTAGGTAGTACGGTAGGTAACAAGCTTGCATGTTTGCAGTATACATGTCATATCACACGCAGAAGATCAATACACCTTTGTTTCTTTTTTCTCCTCCGTATCTCATAGTCTCTCGCATCTATTTTATTTTCTGCATCTCTTTCTGTAGCTAATGCGACCGGTGTCCGTTGTGCACACCGGGAATGATCCATCAGTCATATCATAGGTAGATATGTATGTCATCATTATCGACTGTCAACGTCGGCGCTGAGGAATCGCCTCCAAGCCCTTTGTCTCACCTGCGTCCAGGTAGGTAGTGCGCATTGCAGCCAGCAAGCGTACATATATGCGGTACAATTACATCCCATGCATGGCTGGTGGACGCGCATGGATAGGCGGAAAGATGGAAAGGATCAATGGATGCCTCGTTCTTCATCAACCTGCAGCGAGCCGTTCGCGGTTTCAGCTCGGGGCTGGCTGGGTTGTCTTATCTTGTCCTGCTGTCTACATGTTTAATTACTTATTTATTTGTTGGTTTACCTTCTGGTCGAAGACTAGGTTCATGTCGGTCCAGGCTTTCGGGCTACCGGTATCATTGATAGGCGAAACGAGGCGCTGCGGATAGGGGTTTCATGAAGGAACGCGCCCCTCTACACATATACCGACGGTTCCTCTAAATAGCCTCGTCACGCCTATCACGCCCACCCCGTTAAACTGAATCTGCCACGAGGGCCGCGGGCGGCAAAGTGGGCGTCCACTGGCTCAGGCATGTAAGAAGACCAGATGCAAATGTAAGAGAAACACTCTACACTATGCCACAGTGAGTGTAGCTGCATCAAAAACATGTCCGAGTCAGTCAACACGTGTTACCCTAATGCACAATTAGAGTCCACTAGACAAGGTAGACGCACATACTGGAGGTTAGGTAGTACATACATACCTATCTGTAGGTGTCGTCTTAAGTACATCCACTGGTACTTCATTTGTTTCTTACTGGTGACTCTACACAAACAGCCGCATAACGTCGATATAGTGGCGTTGTATTCTAAAGCAGGACCTCCTGTGTTCTCCCACGCGGCCTATGGCGATTAGATCCGACCCTCCTTCGTAGTATGCAGAGCTGCTAGAGAAAGCCACCGAGAGGTCAGCTTTCCCCCGACTTTTTGCTCAGAAAAAGTCCTGATGGGCACGCCAGGCTGCAGCTAGGTAGGCTAGGTTAGACAAGAGGGATTCTGTGCGTTGTGTTGCGTCGTTTGGTTCTGACACGATCCCTTTGCCGGTTCGACTGCCTAAGGCATGTAACTAACTACCTACACTACTTATCGTGGGGAATGCGGAGTCGGTCCGGCGAACAAGCTTCATCCTATTGTACCACCCCAACGGTTTGCTTTGCAGCCGGTTAAAGACGGCCAACGTAACAGTATGGAGCATTAGCACAATCATTATCGAAGGAAAAAAAAATTGGCGTCGCACGAAAGAAACATTTTGGAGATCGTCCAATGGTTCGCAGAGATCTGGCATTTGACACATACAATGCTGTGTTCATGACGAATTCTGGGCTCGCTCTCGTGTAATAACGTCGAGCTGTAAGTATGCCTTTCTAGTAAGAGCCTGCCGAGCAAACTGCTGCTTGGAGCAGGGGAACCAACGGAAACGGCCACGACAAGGGGAGACCTGGCAGCCTTAGTGTACAGCAGGCTGCAATCGAATTGGAGTAAGTAGACTCTAACACGCCAACTTCACCGTAAAGTCACTCGTATCTCATGTCTCACATAATGGTTGTCGGCCGTTGAGTCCCTTCTGGCCCGATCGCAATCGGTGTCGCAACGTCGGCGAGGTCACGGTGGCGGAGGTGGCATGGGGGGGAGTAGAGATTGCTGAGGAATAACGGTACGGCCCGCTCTGTGACTTGGCTGTAAGGGACACGCGCGAAGATTAACTGTGAAGAAAATCCTAACAACGCACTCCGAGAGAAATGGAATTGTTTTCGTGATGACATAGCAAATGGTGGTATATGATTGGCGAGCAAGAATTGTTGGGCGAAAGAATTGTGTCGTGTGACTCGTTTCTTGCCGTGCTCTCTCGTTTGACAACAATACCCCTGCGTCGACGCTTCAAACCAATCAAGCCCGACAACCTAAACAAAGCGAAGAGCTATCAAAGGCATTCTGGCGCTACGCTCAATAGTGACGAACAAGGCTTCATTAGGCTTCATTACGTAAAAGAGGCAAAAATAATGATAGAACTAAACTAATGGGTATCATCATGTAGCGTGGGGGGGAATTTGTAAATCAACCTAATACACCTCTATCCAGACAAAAGAGAGAGAAAAGACACTGTGTATCGTACAATCTCTGATTGACACATGATACGGCATTACATATGCACACGCATCCTAGACACCATAGTAGGTAGGCATGTCGATGTGGCGTTTTCATGGCCACGAGTCGTCCAGATTCCAAGTTCTGAGACCATCTAACTGCCCAGAGTCAGAATGAGGAAACTTATTGATTTCCCTACAAGAGCCGGCGAATACTGAAGCTTTGTCGGTGTGATTATTTCCGATATTCACTGACACGGGGTCCACAGAGTTGTCAAGCCACCAAAATTTAATCACATCCCCTTGCCAACGGTCGATGTCCAGGATTGTCAGCCTGGACCGGAACGTTGTCCAAAGCAGCTCGGCCTCCAGGGCGGAGTGATGGAGCTTGTGCAGTAACCAGCCATTAATATAGTCGCTCTTATTCTCGGACTTGACATTTGATAGAAGAGTGTGCATATTTGCTTCGCGCGCAGCTTCCTTGATTTTCTTGGCCCTTACTGGCGCATCGAGTGGGAGCTGAATAGCCATCTTGAGAGATTGCAGGGCGGTCTGCGGAAACCCATGAAGCAAGTGGGTTGGATTAGAGAGGATGTGAGGGAAGACGGGATGTGCCAACGTGGCTGTCTCGTCATTGCTGTCAAACGAACCAGGTACAAGGCGGATCTCGTCTCGGTAAGAAGAGTCAACTCCAAAGCCTTCCTGCTGGAAGTAGGATGATTGAGGTAACACGCCATTTTCCCTGCACTCTCGCTGCAATATTATCATCTTTTCAGTATATATCTCAATATCTTGCTTTGCGTCCCGCTCTAGCTCGTCATATTCTCGTAGCTGTTCATTATCCTCCTCCGTCATGTGCACCATAGCTCTCAGCTCATGTGCCTTCTTCTTACCCACATCTCCGTAAGTTTCGAGGACGTCCAAGCTATCTTCAGTGAATATTTGGGCTTTCCGGGCATGAAGCCTATCCCGCTTCATTTGTGTATTTGTCAAAAGCTCTCTCGCTAATTGCAATTCCCCGAACGCTACACGAAGCTTTTCATAAAGTGGATGGAACGTCTCTGGGCGGTCGCCAGTAATGCCACGTAAGGCCCAATCATCACTGTTTTCGGAGTGATCATCGCGATCGTTATTAATATTATTAAAGAGTGCTATCCCTAGCGTTCTTGTGATGGTGTTGTAGAAAATTTCCTCGTGCGACCCTAAGTTATCCTGGCCACGGTATAACTCATTTATGGTCTGGTCAAAGCGTTCCTCGGCTTTCTGGCGCGCCTGTTGAGAATCCTGCATGACTTTGAATAGTTGATGCAATTGATGACATTGCTCTGCAGGTAGGGATGTTTGAACCATAGCCATGAATTTTCGACTGGCCTCAGCCTCATTCCGCCGCATGCTGCGAACTTGCGCTTGATGCGATTTGGCCGTGTCGAAGACCATTGACAGTGCTGATCGTTCATTTCGCAATTCGAGATAGTTCTCTGTTAGGTGCTGAAAAGAGTCTGGCTCCCCGTTTGCATCAAAACCCGTGGTATCGCTCTCCTCCGAGGAACTGAAGAAGCTTTCACGATCATCGCCATGACCTCTAGCATTGTGACCGTGGTGTGGTGCGGCTAAGTGACTAGACGATATATCACGTTGATCTAATGGTCGTAGTAGCGTTTGCGTCGCTGGTGGGGTGAAGGATGGCAGGGAAGGAGGTCGTGGAGGAGGAGGTGGTGGTGGAGGGGGAGGAGGGGCACGGGGACGGAGAGGAGTATGCGGTGGTGGTGGATGATATAGCTGTGGCCGCGGTGAGTAGGTTGAAGGGCGCTGGTGATCAGACGTTGGATGCGGGCGCGTCGACTGGCTGCGAGGTGGTGGACCGGTCCTCCGTGACACGATGCCGCTAGGCAAGGTTGATGGTAGGCTCTTGGAAACGGAGCCGTGGGAAAGAATCAGGGGCAGCTGGGGGCGCGAGGAAAGGCCGATGTGCATATCGTCGGAGGAGACGGATGAATAGTCATCGGGCTCCGTCGTGGCATCCGTGGCATCCGTGGTGCCATCGTCGACGAGGAATTCAAGTGAGGCGGTTGAGAAGCTCACGCCGGGAGCCATGACGGTCTAAGAGTAGACTCGGCCGGGCTCTCGCAGGCTGTGCATCATGGTTCATCTTGATGGCTATCTAGGACTAGTTGTCGACGAGACTCGACCGAGTTGCCAACGTGCTCACAGCCTAGATGCAATGCGCATTCATTCCCATCATCAGTTGACTTTGGTCTGTTTTCCCTTTCGTCTCCTTGTCTTCCTTCTTGAGGCTCTCTTGATAATACCAGACGGCAAGCTATTTAAGAGGACACTAAAACTACCTACGTAGTGCCCGGGTGAGTATGTAGGTAGGTAGAGAGAGGTAGGTGTATGGAAAGAGATGTCTGTGCTACACGCACAGATCAGATCTCAGCAATGCTCTAACTGACTGTACTGTGCAGTAGGCAGATGCACTACTAGCGATCTAGCGATCAAGCGACACTAGAGATCAAGCGATACTAGGTAGGTAGAGATACTAGCGATACTAGCGATGGTCGGGCCGTTCCTTGGCTGGAGATTTAACGGACGGATGGTAAGACACGACTTGCTGCGCTACCGGTATCTGGACGAGGCCAGGCAATTCAGAGGTTAGCTGGTGGGCACGTATGCACGCCGTACTGGATTGTATGTATGTATGTATGTATGTATGTAGGTAGGTAGCGTGAGGTTTAGGCAGAGTTCAAGACAGGGCAAGTCGCGTGAGTAGATGCATGTACAACATGTACAAATCGTCTGAGAACAGCAAGGTAAGGGTGACCAGATACCGGGAACCGGTGGATCGTGTTGGCAGTGGGGAACATGCAAGAGGGAAGGGGAAGGGGAGGGGAGGGGAGGGGAGGCAAGGTGAGGTGTGGAATAGGATTGAATTTAGTTGAATCAAAAGCGACGATGCAAGAACGGCGCGATCAGTAAAACAAATTAAAGACAGATGGATAACAAGATTACTTACCTACTACTACCTAGGTAAATAGCTAGCTAGCTAAGGTAGCTAGGTTAGCAGGATGCGATGCAGGTTTTGGGGGGTGGGAGGGTGTGCAGGTAGGTGTACATATTATATTACTTACTTACATGGGCTATCTATCTCTTGCTGACATCCTATATATCTAGGTACCTACCTAGGTATATGATGGGCGGACTGATGGGATCCAGCTCCTTTCTTCCCTCCCTTGGTGGCATTGTTACGAGCGAGTAAGGGAATAAAACACACTACGTGGCCGATCCGGATTCTATTATTATCACTACCGGTACCTTGGGCACTCGCTGCCTTTTATCTCTCAGGAAACCCCTTAGGTGCCGCTTCAACGGCAACTTCGGAAGGCTACTTGCTCACACTCGGGCTACATGCAGTGACCAGACGGATAGAATGAGTCAGACTGGTCTGCGGTAGTAGTGACTGGATGTGTGGCAGGATTGAGATACGCAGCATTATTAGGTGTTATGTGAACCTGTTATTGATATTTAAATTCCAAGTAGCTGGATATCTAGGTAGGTTACCTTATTGTTACCGTGCTGTTACCTCTCGCTTTAAGTAGGTAAAAGATATGCTACTAATTAGTTTTAATTAGTATTAATTAGTTAGAATTACTATGTAGGTACATAGTAAACACCAGTCGGACCTTGGATGTCCTTGATCACCAATGATGTCCATCCCGCTCACTCATTGGCATGCCTCACTCCCTCCTCACCGGCCAGCCACTGGTCAGCACTATGAGCTTCCGCACCGGCGTCCGATGCACGTAGAATACCTACCATACCTATCTACCCTACCTCTGCTACCCTGCTGTCTCCTGTCTACTGTACTTATGACAGAGCCTCATCTGTTAGAGAAACACCACACTTGGAACACCACACTTGACAATCAGGAGGCTCCTTCTCCGCCGGCCCACCACCACCACCACCACCACCTACCTCCCTACCTACATACAGACTACCTCATAGTACCTACCTATCCATACCTAATACTACCTACATGTAGGTACCTAGAGTAATGTGCTATGTACAGTACCTAGTACCTCCCCCTCCTCATCCTCCTGCCCCTCCAGACAAGACCCCTCTTCACACAAAAACCTCCCACACACTCTCACACCACACACACACACACACACGCACCCCCCGCACCACTGTGAAGCGACATATCATCTGGATCATATGAATCGTATGGATTGTATGGATCGTATGGCGCCAGGCATGGGGGCGAAGCCGTGCAACAATGGTCCGCCTTCCGCCACCGACGCTACTGGTTCATCCGGTCAGATTCCCTACCTACCTACTACAGTAGACTTTGCCTACACTTGGCCTACACTTTGCGCCGCCCTCTGCACTACTTACTATGTACTTCGTACTTACGTACACACACCCCTTGTCCCTTGTCCCATGTCCCATGTCCCTTGTCCCTTGTTCCTTGTTAGAAGAATCTACGAAGTACAGCAAATATGCTGCCTTTCTGCACACATAACATCTACCTACCTAAGTAAGTATCTGTATGGCGTCCGTCATCGAGACCCGGCTACACCCTGCGCAACAATCACTGCCTCGACCAAGTAGCTACCTAACCTACAGTACCTACCTGTTGTACCTAATGTCCCGTGGCAACTCGTTCAAGGAATCTGGGCCAGCTTCTCTTCCTGGTCTCTGCTGGTCTCCTTCGGCCCGCACAAGACCCTTGTCTTGATCCTTGTCGACTACTAATCCCCAGTGGGGCATCGTTGCGCTGTCGCAATGCTTGAGCACGCTTTGGGAAATTCCCACAAACTGGTGAGCCTTGGTCGTTTATTACTATACAGCCGGGTCTTGCCTGCGTAGTATGTAGCGTACTTGGTTGGGATCGGTTCAAGTCTTCACGTTGCAGCGCTAAAATATGAAGCAACAAACCATTTGGCTTCCCCCCCGAGCTAACGGAGCTGGTCAGCCTACTACACATACCTCGTGGCGTCCTTGTCCTTCTGAGGCAGACAGCAACGACGGCTTGCTTGCAAGGAAGAGGCGTTGGATAGTATGCAGTCGCACAGCATCAGTCCAGAGTGTATCTGTCTACCTACCTACCTACCTAGCCTAACCAGAAACCCCGACTTACCCTTTCAAGACTTGTGTGTGCGAGTTTATCCCTGCCTACGTCGTCGTCTTATTCGCACATATATCGGCCTCAAATGAGCTGACAACTGCACTTGTATTGCTACAATCTAGAGCGAGGCCAATCGTCTCTTCGCCGGCTGCAACTTCCAAGCGCAGCGTGCATCCTTGATCCGCTGGGCCATCTGCTGGGCCATCTAAGTGAATGTTGTGTCCCGACCATGTCCAGCAGTTTAGTGTAGAGTATAACGACACCGACCCTTAAGTCCATTCGTGGGGCCGAGCCAATAGCTTGCCCTGGCCAACCCAGCGTCAGGTTGAGCCTGCAGTCCAAAGAGCCTCATCGCACATTTAAGGCGAAGTCATAGCTTCGGCTACCCGATTCCCTGCGGCTTCGCGGAGCTGATGCTACTCGTGCTACGAGCTGCGCCCTTCCCGTGCTGTTTACTATTCCAATGACGGGGCGGGGCTACAAGATGGTACGATGCATGGAAAAAAGCATCCAGCAAAGAATTCCAATCCCCAATCGTGGGGCCCATGGAGTGATTGGAAATGGGACCATATCCAACAAAGATGGTATGCAGAACGATTCGATTACCAAGGTGTGTTTTGCCCAATGGCTGTCCAAATTCCAATTGCCCGCATACTGAACCTCCGTTCCAAGGCAACGTTGAGTGCCAATATGACAACGATGCGCCTACCGCCGGTGATCGTGACAGCACGCCTCGCACCGAAGGGGAGATCGATCAACTGACGGCGGGTCTTGGTGACCTTAACGTCAACTCCGGCTACGACCAAGGCATCGGCTACGCAGACCAGGGCGGTTTGTCAGTAAGCAGTTCTAGTAGGACCACCCCTTATTCGCCAGAGTATCTGAACGCTTTTTGTTAACCATGACCATGGATAGTTCCTGATATTCCCACATCTCCACAGTATATACACGATTCGTCTTACCACGACCGCCATGGCTATTCGCATTCGCATTCGCATAGGGACAAAGGTAAAGGGATATCAAACGCCGCTTCCCACGATAGCCACTACGATGGTTATGACGATTATGACGACGGACAGAGTCAGTCTGGCTCGGTTCATCCGGCAGCAAGTTCGTACAGTCAACAGAATTATTCTGAACGTTAGTCCTTCAGATCTATCAGCAATAGAAATATAGGACTAACATGGGCAGATATAGGCTCGGCATTTGAATCAGAAGACCATGGAATGCCCAACACACCATTGTTTTCGAGCGGTAGTGCAGGCGGCACTAGCAGTTCCTATTATTCGCACTCAAGCGACCACGACGACTACGAACTCCAACAGGCGCTGAAGAACAGTCGCGATGAACTGCTCGGGAATAATCGCCCTGGCGGGCCATCTACTTCAGGAGGTCAATACGATCCGGGGACCATTTACCCTGGTACCTACGAGCTGAGTGAGTAGACGCCTGAAGGAAAGTCATACGCGCATCTACATGACTCTGATTCCAAGTACCCACAGGCCCTAATTTTGACGTTGGTGATGGTGAAACAACCCCCCGCGGCACGCCAGTTCCATCGCGAACTGATTATGTAGACACATCTGTCATTCGCGGAACCCCGGGGAATGTGGAGCCGGTTGACCACCGTAAGTTAAAACCTTCGAGATGTTTAACACGCTACAGTACTAATAGCGATATACAGGGTTCGTTGTAGAGCATTCTTACAAGTTTCAACCCGGTGAGGTCAGTCTCCAAGGTGATGCAAAGCCCACGTTTAAGTTCCCTCTTCTCACCTTACGGTCTATAGGTATTTAAAATCTTGTGGTCAGAGCCTACAGGTCAAGTGGCCGGCGATGCAACAATATCCGATATCAGGGCCATACATGACGCGCGGGGTGATTTCTATGTTGGCTTTCGAAGGTTTATAATAGTGTCTACAGATGAGAGTCATCATAGCACCTGCGTGTAAGACTGCCACGTATCACAGCACCTGAATGTTACTAATAGTATAGGCCCATCTTGACGTACGATCGACGAGGTTGTGGTAAAAAAGGTGTCCGACCTAGTAAACATGGTATCATTTATGCAGTAGGGCAGAAGCCCAAACTCTTGCGGAATGAACCTGAGCTAGGGTTTGACCCAGTACCACTCGAGATCTACGCTGACGGGGAAACACTCGCAAGAGAATCCCGGGTCAACTACTCGAAGCTTGTTACCATTGAACACAACGTCAAGGTGTTCTTCATTGGCCGCATCCCCTACCATTACTTTGAGAGCGTCTCACACGCAGTCGACAAATGTTGGAGCGACAAAATGCACAAGTCGAGCAAGAGGACGAGAAGATGAAATCTACCGCATAAATGCAAAACGTTCCGCTTACCCTCTGGCCATCCGAGGCTGTTTTTGAACAGCACCTATACATCAATTACGTTGAGATAGGGGAATGCTTGTTCCCCCCTTTCCTCCCGTCGCTTCTATTCTATATAGCAGCTGACGATGATCTTTTATTTACCTTAAGAACTACGTTTTTTTTTGGGTTTGTTTTTTCCCCCTACATTACTTTCTCTGCAGTCATGTCATGATTGGAGGGCACGATGGTAAAATTTACGACAGACAGACCGTCCATGAGCATTAGATATGATAGGGCAGTCAGAACGATACAGGCTCAGTCAGCATATTTCTCTTGAATCTGACGACGTAACGCGCGTTCTTTTTTTTCTTTTTCTTTTTCTTTTTTCTCTCTAACTCCCGTATTCTGAGGTTTTTCTTTTCTTTTCTTTTCTTTTCGTTCTTATTTTGCTGACTTTTCAAAAACAAGTTCCCTCCCTGTCTTGTTCTCTTCCTCCCATCTCTTGGTTTCTATGTGGAGTTACCATATGGCAAAAGGCTTGATGAAACGTTTTATCTTTTCAAGAATGCGTGTGATGAAGTTACTCTAGTCTGCTACTCAAAATTTCGAGGATAGTGCGGGCACATATTTTCCAGTTCCTCCAACTTAGGCAAGAGGTCTATTCCACTGGCCCTTTTTATACTACTGCTTGTGTTGAGACAATTAACATTTCACAAAATACAATCGTTTTCGGTCCCGTGAATTTGCGATTTAACTCGTTTTCTATGTGTGTGTATGTGTGTGTGCATGTCTGCGTACTAATTTACATGACATTGTTTCATAAACCGGTAGACTCCCGCGAAAACAGTCCCAATTGCATTTCTTTATTTGCTTTCTCCCTTCGTATTGGTTTCGTCAAGACCGCGAGATTTCTTTCTTGAGCAGTGCGTTATCAAAACCACGTTTTAAACCTCGTACCCCTCCATACATGCATGTGGCAACGGAAAAAGGGTACGAAACATAAATTTGAAAAAAAGGCAGAAGCAAGCAAGCAATCAATCGATCATCAAACGCCGAGTTCCGAGTAGTATAGAATGACAGCAGACTAGACTCTGCCATGTCGGTTGACTCAAAAGTACATCCATGACGTTGCTGTAGGATCGAGGGTGCGCATCTATCAATTGTTTTTTGTCTTTTGATTTCAAGGTAGTTATCCTTCTTCAATTCATTCATTAGTGCCTTCCACCCGAGCCAGAGCAATCGCCAACCACCGACAGTAATGTTTTTTTATCTCACATCTTCTTTACTACTCCCGTCTCGAGCGCTGCGCGTCGCGCCTCTTGCGCCTCTCGCGGCGATCACTATCGACATGTTGCTGCTGCTGCTGCTCGGACGAACTGCCGCTGACGAGACTCTCCGTGGCCGCGGCCTCGGAGGATAGCCCGGGGATGTAGCAGCGGTACGACTTCGTCCCTAGATCCTCCGTGTTGGCGTAATCGGCGATATCGCTCTCTTGGGGCGGGGGATTCCATGATGACGGCGCGGGGAGGTATCTCCCGCCGGTAGTGTTATTGTTATTGTTATTGTTGTTGTTTTCGTGGCCCATCATGAGGGAGTTCGTCTCGGCCTCCTCCGCGATGGCGCTCCCTGGGTTCCGAAGGTCCGCGCGCTGATAGCTGAAGTCGCGCCGGTGCGAAGATGGTTGGTACTGGTATGAGGAGGACGAGGATACGGTGGAAGCGGCTGCCGCGCGGCCTTTCTCCGCGAGACGCCGGGCTTCGGCGCGCAGACGCTCCTGCTCGCGCATGTTGGTCCGGTCGGCCGTGCTGTAGACTTTGCGGATACCCCCTGCTTTCCTGGTCGTGGTGTTATTCTTCGAGGCCTGGGTGCTGTTGTCGTACGTCGTCTCGCTCGGCGCCGCATCGTGGTTCTCTCGCTGCTTCTCCTTCTCCCGTCGACTGCTTCTGCGCTTCTCCCTGCTGTCTTTGTCCTTTGTCGGGGTCGACGTCGGCGTGCTCTGTCTGTTGTATAGCAGAGACTCGGCGCCCGATACGGTCGACATCTCCGGGTTCGTCGAGCCGTCCCACTCTGAACCCTCGGACTGCCCGTTGAGACCGCCCACGCGCGCCGCGCGCTCGCTCCTGTACGCACGCAGGTTCCGCTTCGCGTCCTCTTCGGCCTCCTCGTCGATTAGCACGCCGTCCTCGCCGACCTTGCGCCTGCCCTTTTTGCGTTCGCGGCGCTTCTCGTGCTCTCGCTCTTTCTTCTCGCGCTGGCGACGGCGACGCTCGCGGCCCGCAATGTCAGAGGGCCCGGCCGTGATCCCCGTCAGCGTGCTCATGGTATCGCCCGTGTCACCCGTCATCTGCGTCAACCCGCCCGTGTACTCTGTGCTACCATCGTCGACGTCCTTGTACACGGAGCCGCCGCCCAGATTTGTGCTGGGGGTGGCGCCCGACAGGAGCGTGCCGTTGGGCCCCTTGCGGCGCAGCACCGTCGACTTGTAGTCCTCCCAGTCATCTTGCTTGAAGTAGAAGCCGCCGTTCTTGGCCCAGAAGAAGAACCAGATGCCCGTGACGACGAAGGCGACGCCGATCAGGCCGAATAGGACGAATATGCCGACGTTGTTGATGTTGTTGGGATCTGTGACGCCAATGGAGGGGTTGACGGCCTGAGGGTCTTTGTTTTTGCCGTCATCTTTGTCGTCGTCATCTCGGGCGAGCAGGATGGCACGAGCGGCGAGGGGCCCGATTTGAGAGAGATGGTCTGAGGCTGTCTGGACGGCTTGTGTGCGGGTTGCCGCGGCGGAAGAGAGAATACTGCGAGCATGAGCCGCCAGGGTTGGTATGAGCGGTGCCATTGTATCAGGAATGACAGGGCGTTGTGCCCTGGCGCTGCTAAGTGTGGTGAGATGAAGGCGTTGGCGGGAATGTGAGGTTCAGCTATCGTAGTGACTGTGTAGGCTGGCTGGGGAGTTTCCGCTGGAAGCCCAGCCAAACCAAGAATGAGCAACTCCAGTCAGATCCGCGGTGGAATGTTTCTTTGATTATTCCTAAGACACAGTTTGGAGTTCAGATTAGTGGTGATGGATTGGTTCGTTTGCTCGTTGAAATGTGTTTGTTGTATGGGGGTGTGTAGTGCGGGATTGAAGTAGAGAGTAAGCACCGCAGCTGAACTGAATGGGGAACAAACAGGCAGGATACCAATGGACTATCTTCGTTGTCTGGCGGTTTCCACGGGCCATCGACGGGTGCATGCAGCTGGGTGGTTGGGATTGGGCAGCGAATTTGTGGCCCATGACGAAGTGACGTCGCCAAAATCAACAAACGGCCATTCGGCTGTTCGAATGGCAGTGGCCGGGCAACGAGCAATGGCCAATGGGAGAGAAGCCACGGCCACTACTTAATTCGTGACGGTGGGGCTGATCCTTTACATACACTAGAGTACGGAGTATGTACTTCGTAAGTACCTACTTACTTACTTAGGTAAGCAGCGTCCCAAAGGGGATTTGCTAAACGCCCTGTTGACGTCGCACCATCTGGCTAGGACGGGCGCTATTTTCAGATTCTACAAGCGCTAACTGTACATAGTACATGTAGACTCGACTTATCATGTTTGTATACCGGTAGATGCATTCATATGAGATAATCAATCGCCAGTTGTTAGAAATACCTATTATCCATGAGTTCAAGACAAGCTCTACAATAATTCCTAACTAGCTACCTATGTAGGTACGGGGTAAGTAATACATCTATCTATCTATGTAGTGTGTAGTCGAGCAAACTGCCTCTTTTCTGATTCCGCAATCCCCATCTCATCCATCAATGCGTCAACTCATCGATCTCACCAACTCCGACTTCCCTAGCATAACATACCAAGTACACACATACATAGCATAGAGTACTAATACCTCACCATCCATAAATAAAAAACTTCAGGAACAAATCACAACGTGCCACAAATTCGATAACCTACCGATCCATCCATCTGAGTAATAAATACCTAATACACCATAATCAATACCTATCTCCTACTATACATACATACCACACATACACAATGAGAACAAATGTCATGTCCCCAACCAGCAAGCAACGCAATATATGACTCAGGAATGACACCTACCCAATCACAACGTCCCATCGTCCACAGCAGTTCATGCGCTATGGGTTCGGGTTGATTGAACCAATCCCCATTTCCAACAAATGTCACATACAGTACTTTAGTAGCAGTATAGGCAACCTGAGCTCCATCGGTACTTTCAACCCGGGACTTACCGTAGTCGAGGTTTCTTCAAGTACTACTACCGTACATATGTAGACATGTTAGTTAAAGTGTATGCAGGTCGTCGCGTAAGTACATAGGCGCCGCGTCGCGTCGTCAAAATGTTGTTGCGAGTAAACGCCCTACCCATCGCCCCCTATTCAGGGGCCACTACACTACACTACCTACTCCAAAGTTTCAAAACTCACCCGCCCCGTCACCTTTGACCAATGTCATTTATAGGTTCGTGCGCTCGTTGCGTGTTTCGTTGATGAATGGGATTCAACCCAAGGCTAGTAGCCATGTGCACTGGTGAGTATGTACTAGGTTCTAGTACCTGACCTGACCTAGGTTAAATATATCTAGTAAGTTTCCAGTAAACCAATCGCTACACGTCTTCTGACCCATCCGACGATCGTGCCATTTATTCGCTAAAGTGTCATGTTTCATCCACCTGCTTCAGCTCGCCTTGACGTTGACATGTCTTCAATGCTACAATGGATTCTGAACCAATGGTACGCAAACCTTTAGGAAAATGGGAACTGTAGATTGGGCTATGCCGCTTGTTGTGAAGCAGCTACAGATTCTATATCATAAATGCAACGTAATATGAGACCTTCCCAACCCGTGTAAGTATGCAACTATTCTGCCCCCATCGGCGCCTAGCCCCAAGACATGTTTGTTCATCCCACCATTGATACCGTCTCTGCCATATATGAAACGTCATTCCCACACCCATCTCGGCGCCTAATACCGACGAACCAGAGCAACTGCCCCCCCGTCATGCACCCATGTTTGGCCAGGGGGCGAACGGGGCCCTTGGTATCTCAGTCATCTTATCTCATGCAACATTATCAAAAGGCTTAGCCTTCGCGTTAAAGAAATGATTCCCAATGCGAGCAGAAGCGCGAGCTTCATCGCTGTACAGGTCGATCTATCGGTCCAACTCTTATGTCATGACCATGGGAAGAATTCAGCTTCAAAGCACAGGGTATCGCACACAACGTGGCCCAGCCAAGGCTGCGTGAAAGAAGGCAAACAAACACAAGATTAACCACGAGACGCGGAAGACGAGGAAAGAAAAACAAGACAGATTAGACATGATTATATGGAAACAGAAAATCCAGCATTTTTTTTTTTGGGAAACATCGTCATCAACATCGTGCCTTCGGTTCATTGCTCATATACAAGGACACAGAAACGTAGAGTGCCCCTGATGGTAACGTGACAATCTGATAATATGCAAGAAAATAAAGGAATAAAAAAGAAACCAGAGAAGCCCGTGAAACCAAAAAAGATATTCGGAAAGATGCACCGGCATTTCTTGCTGCATCGAGCTTGTAAACAAAATGGAGAACTGCAGAATCGAGCGTTTCTTGGCGTCTAACAAGTAGTCGAGATTGAGCCGGTATCTGGCCTCCGCTCTTGGGTAGGAGCGACAATTGGTGCTGCCGAAGCCTCTAGTACGACGAGTCATCATCATCATAATGACACTGTGAGTAGAGTGGCGAAGGCGTATAGGATGAGGGCGCCGGAAGTCCACGCGTGTAGGCGGACTGGGAGCTGGCTCGTCCCCGAGATCGATCTGAGCGGATTCTCCGCTCATCCCCATAGATCGAGGTTCCGCGGTCGCTGCCCGTACGTGAATTTCCAGTGCGGCCAACGCTGACTTCACCGCCATCTGTGGAGTGAATCTTGACGTTTCCAACTTCGACGACACAGCCGGCAGAAACCTTGATAGTAATGTCGTCTTCTCCGCTGCTGGATCGAGTTGTGTGGGTCGTCGCTGACTGTTTATATTCACTCTCATCTCGACTGACGCTACTCCGAGTGGACCGGCTGCTCCCACCATTTCTCGCCTTTCGGAGGGCCTCGGCAGTCAGGGCAGGTGTTGGCCCGCCGCCCATATTATCTTGATACCGCGCTGCATCCCTTATTTTGTCCTCGATATTCACGTGGGAAGATCTTCGCCGACTCCGTGATCGAGGTGGAGCCTCATAGAAGTACTCATCTTCGTCTATATCATCATCCTCATCCTCATCATAGTTGAAAACCGACTCGGTGGCGTCAAAACTCTGGCGACGGTTCTTGAAGGGACTAGAACCATACTCTACACTGGATCCGCGGCGAAGGACATTTTGGTACATGATGCTTTCATCATCTAGGTCGTCCTCATCGTCGTCGTCAAAGACAACAGATTTTCTGTTGCTGTTGATGTTGATGTTCGACGATGGTTGTGGTTTAAGTACTATACGTTCTGGGCGTGCCTGGGGTTCTGTTCGTTCAAAACGGCCAGGGCGGTCAAAACGTTCAGGGCGATCAAATCGTTCGGGACGATCAAAACGCTCAATTCGTTCTGGGCGTGTAGATTTAGGTCTAGGGGGGGGCGGAGGAGGCATACGTTTTCGGTCTTCATGCTCCTTGGCTTCTTTACTAGCTTTTCTCGAGACCGAGGTACGTCGTGCTACAGACCTCTCTGGTGAAGCTTCATATTCGTAAGGATTCGAGGCTTGGCGGAACCCCATAGATGATGAAGGCCGCCTAAAGCGCATTGCCAAATCCCTGGGCGGGAAGTGATGATCGATGGGCGCATGTGGCGGACCCATGGGCGGTGGCATTGGGCCAGGGCCGGGAAACGGTGCCTGCCACGACGGTGGAGGAAAGGAGGGAGCTACCATACCGGGTGGTGGGTGTTGGAAGAAGGGGGAACCAGCCATTGGTGGCCTTGGTGGTGGCGGTCGTGGGATGGGTTGGCCATAATACGATTCTGGACGGGTGCGTGCTCGAGGTCTCGAAGTGCCTGCAGGATGGGGAGCACTGTAAAAGGGCGATGGTTCCTCCAGCGCCCTAGGTACAGGCATCGGCGCCGTCTTCGCTGAGCGGGCGGGCGGCCGCTGTTTCGAGACAACGACAGGACCCGACCTTCTCTCGTCCTTGGATTTCGGTTTGGATTTACTTTTACCAGTCACTGGAAGTGCGGTGGAATCTGAGGAATCAGTCGAGCTGCTAACATCGGCTGGGCGTCGTGATTCTCTCCGGGTCTTACTTGTATTGGGTTGCTGTTTACGGGGGCTTCCCGGGGCCACGGACCGAGCATACTTCGGTTCAGTTCCTGAAAGAACATGGCCATCGTCATCGGCATCCTCCATGTACGCAACGTGCGACGGTGGGTATGATGTGCGTTTTGGCATGGTGAGGGTGCGCTAGAAGGCGGGGGGCGGCGAATAGGGAATGAGCACGTAGATTATTATCAAGATAGATTGTGCCTTGAACGGCAGGCTTCAAGCCGTCGGAAGCGTCGAGAACTTGGACGATTCTGTAATACTGCACTTGGTCAATTGATCTATTTCCCCAAACGTTCGGGTCGAGGCTGCAATTGAGTTTGACTGGGGGGCTATCTAAGCTTGGTGTCCGTCTAGATAGTAGGGTAATTGATGACGACCATAATAAGAGAAGATGCAGGATTGAGGAATCAGAAAGTCTTACTGTGAAGACGTTGGATGGAGATATGTATTATGCGAAAAGGGTTCGTTCTTTCAAGGACTAGATGTTTGATTGGTCACATTCGGATTTGTCGCAATAACTGGGGGGTTAAGAAGGAGAAAGTTCCGAAAAGGAGGTCCGTCCCAGGAGGTGTAGATATGCGGAAGCAGATATAGGTAGTAGGTCGACAAGTAAGACGACGCAGACGAGGTCACTGTAGGAACACTGTCGCAACAATTCTTGGCGGGGGCCGAGACAGATGGGCTGCAATGGTTGGCCGCGGGATGGGGGGAAGGAAGGGGGGCCGGATTGACGGGTGCTGTCGTCGTCGTTCTTGTTAATAGGCCGAAGAGAGAAACAATGGCTTTGTTTGGTTGGCTAGGTGCTGGATGGGTTGGAGATATATAATGGTGGCGTGAGAGCGAGGTGTCCAAGAGTCGCTGCCAATGCTACCTAGTGCATGCGGTCAAGGGTTGCACATCGGTTCCACGAGAGTTGCACGAGGGTTGCACGATGACTGCAGCAGGATAACAATGCAAAGAAGCGATTGCTGTCAAGCACCAGAGAGGAGCAAGGGTGACGAATGACACGAACAGCGAGAGAGGAGGATCCGAGTTGGGAAGAGAAAGATGGTAGACAGCAAGGAGGACGAGAGCACCTGAGAGGGAGAGGGGGTGTTTCTGGATGGTGGTGGTGGGCAGGCAGGCAGCGCAGGCAGGTAGGCGGGCTGTCGGGGGTTGTTACCGGTTATCGATATTGTGGTTCACAGGCGGGTTTGTTGGCCAGTGTAATTGTCCTATCGATAGGTACCTGGTAGGTACTTAGCTAAGTATATATGTAGGTAGGTACACCACAAGACACCTACAGGCAATGCTATGCAGCTGCCAGATACCTAAAAGGTAAAGGTGTTGTGGGTTAGCAGTGAGCAGGCTCTCTGCTCGTCAAAGTAGATTGAGAGATGGAGAGGTATGCAAGGAGTTGGCCAGGGAAACCAAGTAAAGCCTCTCTCTGTGTGAGTGGGCGTGTCACTGGGTCTGTCTGCCTTTAGGATGGTGTTGTAGTTAGTGGGCTGTTGTTCGCTGAGTTTCGCCCAGTAGTTGAGAGACTACTAGCAGGCAAGACAGAAGATGGAGAGTTAATAAAAAAAATAAAAAATAAAAAGTTGGATCTAGGTTATTTTTTTTTTTTGGCCCGGTTGGACCGGCGGGTATGGTGACGATGTACCGACACACCAATATGGTGGCTTGTAAGTACAAGTCCTTGCGTTTAGGAAGATATGTCGCCCGAAGGTGCTGCTGCAGTTAAGTGGTAAGTGTCTGCAGCGCAATGCACTACAACACAGCAAAGCACAGCGTGGCCCAGGTTAGACCTTGTTCAGTTTGGGGGACTTGGCGTGCCCTTCAGTGTCCGGCGTTTTGCTATTCCTGTTGGTCAAGGATGGAGATTACCCAACTCGGATGCTAATTAAGCAAGATCTAGACAGATGTGGTACTGCAGCCTGTCCAAGTCGCTCGCTCGTCAGCCGGGCTTTTCTACTGCCTACCTAGTAGGTAGGTAGTTTAGTAGTGCTCACTCACTCTCTGTGGCCGGACGGACGGTCGGAGACCCTGAAACTGATCGCCTTGTTCCGTGGTTGCTGGATTTGAATCCAACTAATCCCACCACCAAAGCAGCACCAGTACAAGCTTCTCCCTGTCGTGGGTTCGGCTTGTCATGCCAGTAATTGCCGCAGGAACGCCTCACCAGCCAGGAGATCGTCGCAATGCTGGTTGCTTTTAGATGTCGATCTATGCCCAGAGGGAAGGGTGGAATCGTAATGGTATCGTGAGACGACGTCCCCTGTGGCAAATATCGGGTTGGACCTAGATACAATAGGTAGATAGGTAGATAGATTGATAGACTGATTGATTGATTGATTGATTGATTGACAGGCAGACTGATAGACAAATGGATGATGGCACGATGTTATGCCATGAGAGGGTGGGTGCTGCGTTTCGGTGTAAGTTGGCGGATGGGTTTGCCCTGCTATGTCTGGTGATCTGTGCTCGGTGCTCTGTGGAACGAGTTCACTGCAAAGAGGGTGGTCTTGGTCAAGGTACTAGACTACTAGATCTGGGATCTGGGATCTGGGAGGGATGTAGCATGTAGTATGTATGTATGTATGTATGTAGTAAGTAGTAAGTAGTATGCCTGGGAAGGGGGAGATGCTAATTGCAAGAGGTGAAAGCTGTTCTTTTCGGGGAAAACCAAAAGTCTAGAAGAGACGTCTCTGGCGTCTTCTCGACAGAATCCAAACTGCGGAGTCCGTCTGTGGCGGGTTTCATGCCCAAGTTGGGCTTTGGGTAGCAATTAGGTGCTGCCAGTTGGTCTTCCTTCTCAGACTCTGGAATAAGCGAGACCTGTGGCTGGTGGTTTGTTACCCAGACACCACCAAACTAGAATACGACTTGCTCTACACCAATGGACAGACACGCACAGAAAGAAGGGATCGAATAGGCCGAAATCCTCTCCTCCGATATGGTGGTTGTAATGGCTTGGTGGCTCTGCACTTGAGGCACTTGAGGCCTATGTGCCGCACTACATAAGTACATGTCCACTACATGTAGATATGTGAGAGGAGGGCCATCAGTCAGCTCGAGATGTGGGCAAGGGTGGGTGCACAACCAGACACTCTTCGACAACGCATATCGCATATCGCAGCAGCGTCAATGCCGCCGATGACATATTATTTGCTCGTACCTAGGGAGGAACTAGGCAGGTCGCAGCCAGGGCACTTTACCTAGGTAGTTACGTCTACAGACCTGACGGAAGCCAACACAACCTTTACTCTTCCGCGTCTACTACGTATTACTCCCGTAGTTCTAGAGGCATTGGCACGGCAGAGAGGGTCTTTGTTAAGCCATCAGTCCCACCGCCTTGCCCATTCGGGGGCTATACAGCTGTAGCGTCGAAGGGAGCCTGCATTAGCCACCACCCGTCCACGCCCTCAACCCGGTACGGCCTAGAGCTGGACGACACAATGCGCCTATATCAACCCCTCGACAGACGGAGGAGTCACTATGTGCAGGCAGCAGCTTCTCGTGTGAATGCTTGTTGTAGCTCCCTGCTGTCTGTCAGTGGGAGGACGTGGCAGAGCGGTCTAACGCACCCTTGCTTCACCACCGGACACTTGTTCGACCACAGAACACCCCGTGGCAATTGGAATGGTAACCGGACAGTGTAAGACACGCCCGGAGAAGCGGGTCTATACCGGCGGAAGAGCGAATGGCATTCGAAGCTAGGTTCATTCCTGTGCATCTAAAGGCTCCGGCAGGCGTCCCTGATGCTGATGACGATGCTGATATGACACACTCCGAGGTTGGTTGGTGCCCTAGGACCACAATACGGTAGGTACACTTAAGAATCTAGTTCATATTTGCTTCGCTTACTGCGAATACTCCTCCGGGGTCTTCAATGTTAGCTTAAGGCCTTTCGTTTTCTATCAAGACTACTTGGTCATTTATTAATTAGACCATGGTTATATACGTTAGCTATAATTTTCTTATCCCCTCATTACCGCCTACCTAGTTATTCAAAGCTTATATAGTGGTTAGATAGTAATTAGACCTTGGTTACTCCATATAGCATTGGTAATAATGCTCTGACTGAATCCTTGCTTTTTGTATTGGGCTAACAGTGAAGACCCTAGAATAGCTGTACTACAAGCTGTCCAGAGAATGAAGAAAAGAATCATATGCCTGTAAACCATAGAAAATATAATACTAAGTACCATCTGAAGAAGACGCGGCTTTGACCCACCTGTTGCATATCGGGCGATGGCAAGACATCAACATATGTTATACACATTGACCTTCTCAAACCTCATGGGAACCCCCAAGTAGTAGGCAACGGATCTCACAATTAGCCTGTTCATGCAAATTGATTGGCTCGCCCGGTCTGTAGAGAGAGCTGCCTCGGCCGTATGCATTGTGGCTCTAGTCATGCATGCAATCCTACATCCGTGTCTCTTATGTAGGTGTAGTCGAGCTAAGACGACTCCATGACATAGATGTGTATATCAGTCACGCAACACAGCTAGATATCATAAGGTATGCCTATCATCACCAGCGATGGTTACTCTGCAAGTCGGTCACGAGGAGTGGTCTGTCCTACTGGGCAGACAGGCAGACAGACAGGCAAGACATCCCTTGCTTCATACGCATGCTAGTACTGAGGTCGGAGCCGAAGGCATCTGGTTTGTACACATCGATTTCCATATATGCTATCTCGCCAGAGCATTTCGTCTAGGTGTAGTAATTTATGGTTAGATAGGACAAATAAATGCCTATTTAATTAGAAGTTCAAGGCGAGAAAGTCGGCCCTGTTGCAGACACATGACCTGTCGTACAAACTTAGCCCTTTTTGATGAAAAACGCCAGGACACATCGCTAAGTATGCCCCCACCCGGTGGTAAAGCGACGAACGAGCTGTAATAGGTTCCACAGAATGCACTTTTGATGGTATTACCTCGGCGTATCAAAACGAGTTAGCTGTGCAAACATTGTCTAGTATGACATCAAAAGCTATACCTATGCTCGATGGAATAGAATGGCATATCGCGAAGACACCCAACCTCGTGGTGGGGTTACTTGGCATTGCCGACGAGAGACAGCCTCACCGCTCTTTTGATAAGGTGGAAGGGACAACCCTGTAGTTCGTCGTGTCTCGACCGACTGACGTGGTTGGTATTTCCTCCCGCTCGGAAGAAGGCGGGTCTCCGGCTTTACTGACAAACTACCGACTCAATCGTGGCAACCGGCCGTGGCATTGGACATGTCTCGGGACATGAATGTGCAGCTGTCGGATCCCATTCGTTCTTGATCCCAAACTGCATTGGAGGTCGAGTGCCATTCGTGACCTATCGGCATACGTGAGTACTATTACTCTTTCATATTATTCCTAATCCAATGACTTTCTAACCAAGTCAGCGCCGGCTTGCTTGCGTGTTTCTTTTCTAATAGGGTTTGTATCATAGGGGTAGGTAGATACCTTGATTTAATAGACCTTGCTCTCGATAAGTGCATCGAGTTATTCACTAGACAAATACTATCAATAGGCCACAGTATATCCGTCCTTCATACGATCTTTATTTAGGGGGTATGCCGCTTTGATTTGGAGGTTATACCCCTTTTATTTGATGTTTACGTCCTACTACAGCATCAGCTGGAGATTTTGACACAAGATGATGTCTGCAGAAGACAAGGCTGTGGCATTAAGAACAGTCCGCAAAGAGGAGTCAATATAGGTTCGGCTCTAAAACTTTCTCTATCGTCGTTATAGTATAATGACTTCAACAGGCAGGCCGAGCAATGAAGGTTGAAGGTCAGGCGAGTCGGTTACAGGAAACATCGGCTCCCTTGCTCAACCTACGGCTTGAACATTGATAGCTAGGAGATGATGATTTCTTAGCCAGAATTTCTCCCTAGCAGCTTGAAGTATACTTACCAAAATACGGATTATAATAGGTATCGTCATATCTCGTCTCTTCAAAGAGTGATCAAGATAAGGTGAGCTGAGGTGAAGTTTGGTCTGCGCTCGCCATGCCACGACCTTAGAACACGGCGAGCGTGTCTAAATGACCAGGAACTAACTGATAGATCCTGGGAACACCACGTGTCGTGTTGAGCTCGAGGAAGCTAGTGGGTGTGGTAGATCCGCGCTGTTGTCATTTCCTAACCAAAGCACTTGAAACTCAATTACGCTCTGCACTGGTTCCTATCTTAGGAAGGAATCGTTTGATGTTAGTTGGGCTATATATGATGAGTCATCTCTCAGCGACGGCAAACAAATTCAAGGTGTGTGATGCTGTTCCTATCATCTGGTCTCGGCCAGAAACCGATCTCTAGCCATATTCTCGATGCATCTGTCCCGGCAGTGCTCTTCGTCCGGGGAGGTCGGTGGTCAAATGGTTGTATCTCTTGGCGGCTTGCTCACCCGCACCGTTGGGAACGGCTGACAAGGTGTTTATTAAATGTCCCGAATATCCAGGTCAGAACCAAGACCCAGAGGAATGGGCCATGTGCAAGGTCTAGGATATAGAGAGGTAGTGTAACGTGGCGTCAGGGCCCGTTGCAGGTCCCAAACTCTATTCGAACACGGACTGTCGACGTCATAGTAGACTCAGCTCAGAGTCACGCAAAACAAGACGCTCTGAAACAACTCCACATCTGTGTGAGTAGAGCCAGGTTTCTGGTCAGGCGTTTCACTGGGATATATTGTCCCAAAGGGAATAATTCTGGAATGACCGCGCCTGGGCACTTGATCGAAGAGAGATCGACGATGGCGACAGCTACGGCAGCCGTGACAGCCGCGAGCACAACGACGAGAAAGAGCCTAACCGTTGGACTAAGAAATAAGGTGGTTACTCCAACCCAGCATTCAGATACTCGACTTGCCTGGGTTGGATGCTGATTGGACATAGGTACCCTCCTAGATCCTCACGTGGTTGTATATTTCACGTGACAGTCGTCCAGCGGCCACTCGACTCGGATTTATTCAAGGAGACCGTTCTATGTAGCCGAGACAAGTAGATACATACGGTACATACTAGCAGGTGCTATTTTTACTGCCGAGAAAGAAGGTTGGTCTTCGCCATTGTGAAGGGCGATCGCCAGACGGCACGGGTTGAGCCGAAATGCAAAATATGCAGCGATGATCCCCTACTGGGATTTTCAACCTCAACACGCGAAGCTGATTAGTGTTGTCTCGCTAGGATATCTAGGACCATTTGACCAAGTCCTAGCAGACTAGCTAGCTACTTACAATGCTAGGTGCAGTGCGCATGGACACTAGATTCAGAAAAGTAGCATCAATGTTCTTAATGGCCAAAGATCGACAGTTCATATCTTCCTCGAAGGGAGATAGATACCCAGCAACATGCGGGCAACAAGGAAAACATGCATTTCACAGTTGATAATATGCAAAAACTCAAGAGGAACAACCCACCCTATTTGTTTCGGAGTCTACTTACTTAACAAGCAAGGTAAACCCATCCATCTAGCAGTCACTCATGACCTGTTTGTGCATACTCTCTCTTGGAAGGCCGCACGCAGTCTGAAACCAAGAAGGAAGGGCCATAAAAAAAGTTCCAAAGCTCCAAAATTTTATGCCATGGGCTTTCACTCCGAATCGGGGAATCGAACCCCGGGCTTGACGGTACCCCGTGGGATGAGAGCGTCAAATGTTAGCCACTACACCAATTCGGAGAAAATCGAGGGTATAGGTGGGATTGAACCACCGACGATGGACTCGCGGGGAATCGAACCCCGGACCACTCCCAATCACTGAATGTTCTCTTTGAGGAGAGAAACACCTTATCAATGCTAAGGGAGTATTATACCACTAAACCACAAGCCCAGATGGGAAGGGAAGAGACGAGCTGCCCTGTGTGGAGGCGGTGGTTGATAAAACAAGATATGACCGTCTGTTTTTTTTGCTTGGCTATGGGTTGGGTGTGTGTGGTGCGGTCCTAGTGTAGGAGGTAGGCGGATAGATCTGATAGATAGCTAGGTTAGCTCCGCTAATCGACAAGGCCTGTATTGACCAAGGTTAGGCATGTTACTTTTCTACTATGTATCTGTATCTCTTGGCTAGGTACGGTAGGTTAGTAAGTATCATGAAGTGCTAAGTAGGATCAACCCTCCCAAAAAGAAGATTCACCTTTGTGTGAAGAAAGGCGATTTGTATATGCATCGCCTATCGGGGAATTTCAAGGCAGCGTGAAAACAACCCAAGTCGACAGGTGGAATCAAGCTTCCGAGTCCTTCCGGTGAGGGGCATCTAGTGGCAGTTATGACTCTAAACCGTTGACTCTCAAATTCACGACTCCTCGTTGGGTTGCACCCGGGACATTGGCCGGTTGATAAGCTCTGTCATCTGACGCGCGTTGAAGCACTCTCAGGACTCTAAGGAGGGGTTTCTCGTAGGCAAACAAGATCCGTCTCCCATTTACCTACCTACATTATGCAAATCGATTCCCATTCCCCAGTCACACCGAGAGGTGGCAAGGGGGTGGGTGGTAGGTGTGGTCAATAAACGGTAGGTGGTATCTACCGTAGGATGGATGGTATCTGCCTGCAACTGCAAGGCAAGGTAGGCGAGTGAGGGGAGCATGCAGTAGGGAGGTAGGCGAGTAGGCAGAGAGGAGAAAGGCATGTAAAGTAAATAGGTAACCAACCTTAAAAAGTAACAGGCATTTTGTTCACAACCGAGACAACTACCTACATAGACGAGATACCTACACTAAGGCTACACAGTATTTGCCTCTCGATCGACATGCGGAGAAGCGGGTGGGTTGTGCAGGCTGTGTAATGCCCATGTACTTAGCAGCATTTGCATACCTACGAAGTAGGTAGGTAGCGAGGGTAGGTAAACATGGCTTGAACATGGCATTTCTCAACCCGATGCGCCGATTTGAACAATGGCCATCTCTCTCCCTGCCTGCTGTACTACGGTACTTGTACTTCAGATGGTGGATATCGATATTCTACTTAAGCAGCGCTGAAGCTAGCCAAGATTCCTTGTTTACGCTATCAACTAACGAAGCTTAGGTGATCATTCTGTCCCTTGTCTCCTCGATAATAGTCAGATAGTATAGTTCGTCGACTGTCTGTCCGTCTGTCTGTCTGTCTTACCAAACCCGTTTGAATACATGCACATTACGTCACATACAGGTTGGTGCACAGATAGCGTACCTAGTCTAGGTATGTAGTATAAGTAAGTAGGTATTATGATGATATGATAGCAAGATGTCTTGAATAGGTGGTGGTGGACTCACTCTTGGGATATGCCTGCCTACCTGCCTGCCTGTTGGAAGTGGCAGGCAACGATGCCCTCGATACTGCACATTTGCTAGATCTAGGTAGTTCCCCATCATAGCCGCAGCAGCCGGGGCTTTGATTGGAAATGTCGCCCAGTTTATGCGTGTCTGTGTGGTTCAGCGCCGTCGAGCACCCAACTGCTGCAAGGTACAGCGCGGACGGGCTGCAGTGATGCGCAACCCCCGACCCCTGGCTGTGCATTGCCATCGACTCACCAAGACACCAGCGAATGATACCGAAGCTCACGAGCCTCACCAGCGTCGCATACAGACGCACATTCCGCGCACATCGACGCCGGAGACTCTGGGTACGGCCATGGAAGAGGGTGTGCAACCATGTCAGATGCCCTTGTCTAGCAGCACTAGCGAGCACGAACATGCCTAGTAATGACCAAGTTGCCCACAGTCGACCAGCGGTGGGGGGGTGGCAGATAAACCGTGTGTCTTACCACTTACGATTTCTTACGACGTACTCAACAGGTAGACCAACAGGTAGACACAGTCGGTGCACTCGTATCCTCGCCCGGTTCTCGCACTACGCTGCTGGGCCGCACACCATCTTCCTGTGCGTGATTCCGCTTTGGGATCGTGTCTCCCTCCTCGCCTCCCCCCTCCAGCTACTCTCTGCTAGTCCAAGATGTGAGTCGTCGCGTCGTGCCCTGCGCCCTGTGATTGATTCACGGCAATAAGGAATAGTCCGATCAGAACCCGGTGTCCCTCAAGGGTATGGAGCTCCTCCCTCTTGTGGGGTTTGCTAAGATAACTAACCGTCTTGACAGCTGAGTGACCGGGATGACCACCACTCTTCGTCTTGATCTGCTACCGGGTAACCCATAAGGCAGCTTCTTTCGACCAACAGGTGACTAACCGACCGAGCACCAGCCACCCTATCTTACATATATCGTCTGCCTGTGGTAATATATATATATCTATCTATCTGGCCTCACCACCATGCGTTTCCCTGTCTTGTGTGATTTTGATTGATTACTTCTGGCTCGAGGTTGCTCTTGCTATATTTCCTCTACACCTTCGCTACGCTTCTTCATTGTGAGCCGGCTTGGGCCCGGCATTACTGAAGCATTAATTCTATAAAAGAGTGCCTCCCCCCCTCAAATCCCCATTACTCACCTATATCATCTAAGCTTGAAATGAATGAACACTCAGAAACTTGAACTTTCATTGCTGTTGAGGATCCTTATTCGTGTACCAAGCTTAACTGCCTAATCAAGATGCCTCTCTTACCATCCGATGCTCGCACATCAATGCATCGACAATCGTGGCCACCTAGCGGGCTGTGGCCCTCAAGCCCTAGCCGCATCCCGCCGGCACTAGATGAGGACAAAGACGGGCTCTCTACAGATGACGAAGACATCGACATCTCGAGAAGGCCCGAGAACCCTCTCAAATACTTCCTAACACCCGCAACCCCTATGGAGGAAGAGCTAGAGTTTCAGTTCGACTTCGATGCGGGCATCGAGGACTCGAACAGCCCCCGTCAAATAGTGAGAAGCGTGAGCCCTTCAACGCTCGACGGCCTCAGACGATACAAAGCCAGGAGCAAAGAAGCAGGCTGTGCTATCCTTGATGATGACGACGAAGACGAGGATGATGATGGAGAGGAATACATTCGCTTCACTCCTCAGAAGCCACTCCCCTTCGGTCTCGACGACTACTTCGATTGCCCACGTCGTAGCTCTCCCAACCGTCGAGGCTCAGACTCTCTACTCTCGCCTTCATCACCTTCATTCCACGTGGGCTCGCCCAGGGGTCGTCTAGCCAAGCGCTTTGCGCCGCCACCTCCATCTCGTCGTGTCAGGCCTCACGCTAGGACATTGCAGCGCCGACACTCCTGGCGCGAACCCAGCCCGGACGTTTGGTCTATCGACGAAGAACCAGAGAAGGAGACGAGAAGTGAGATGGGGCTCAGTACTGAGGATCTCGACGATGGTACAGAGAAGAAGACTCAACCTATAGATATACCGGCTGCAAAGCCTAGGAAGAAGAAGGTCCGGTTCGTGTTGCCAGTTACGGAGTATTGATTTACATCATAATCATCATATATCCATACCCATCTCAATTTTTCTAAACTTGCATATTTCCTGATCGGCTAGGGGGTGGACATCTACTGCATGGGCACGGAGTCGCGGATTGCTTGATTTCTTAAGGGGTCTCCTTTCTGCATCATGGTCACTCAGGTTGTCTCTTTGGCTTTTCCTCATCTCGTCACCGTTTCTACGGAGTGTCCTCGGCATATACACGGCGTCTAGGCAGGGTGGTAGTTATCTTCTTTATTCCTCTTATATTCCCATGCAACTGAGGCATTACGTTGGGTGGTTCTATCTGTTCAAGGCTTTTTGGTTATACATGGGACCAAAATATTTTCCCTGGCTTCTTTCTACACTGAATAAACTAAATTAATCCTCCATTACATGAACCTTGTCCTTGAACCTCGTGACCGTGATCATCCAAAACATAACCCCTCATTTGCTAACTGTGACCCCCACGTTCATAGTCCGAAGGGATTTCACCCAAGACATTTATCCAGGAGATCGATAGGTATTCATCGGCGACCTCCGAAAGAATAACTTTAAAAAACATGTAAGCTCTCTTCCGATCTGAACTTGTCAGCATAGCTAGAACAGGAAAGCAGCAAATTTTTTCCACATTAAGCGAGGACATGAACGGCGTAAGATAGAATGGATAGGGTAACCCGCGTAAGCCCAACCAGCCTTGAACCGAAAACCCCCCTTTCCGACCCGCTCCGATATCCTCCTCCCTGTGCTACCCTCGGGCCGGCCGCGAGCACAAGCTTCTTATTCTCACTTGTTTTTTTTTTTTCAACTGCGTTGCCTAACATGACTAGTCTGATCGCCGCGGCGTTGTGTCGTCTTACGTTACGCAATCCTTTTCGTTCCGTTTCCATATCCACGCGTTTTTGTATGTGTACATATATGCACAGCCGCTCTTTGCGCATGTGCCCAGCCTTTTCTGTTCCGGATCGTCGGGACCCGGGCAGATTTAGTGCGAGACTACTAGTTCATTAGTCAGTAGATGATATCTATAAGGGCATTCGGTCTGCTTCCTTGGGCACACGTGCGGGTTGTCGAGATCGGTGAGCAAGCTTGTGAATGTGCTCGTGCCCGATGTATTGGTAGCTTTTACTTGTCGAGATGGAGCTATGTGCTTATTCTCCTTGGCGCGAAATATCCGATGCGACTTATATGTACTACGTAGTAAGTCCTTCTTATTCGTCGATTGTACTTATGCTGCTCTCGTTATATTAAGTACCTATTACACCCGTTACATCGTTTTCAATGGTAGCCCACTACGAAAGCAAGAATTTGGCAGCAGTGTTATAACCAAGGCCTGGTTCATCACTGTTCAACTATAAATAACCAGGTGATGATAAGGGCATAACAGAGTCATAGCTAACCTCTAATCATGGCTTAACTAACAGATAACTACTGAAGAGTCTTAGTAGAAAATGAGAGGTATTTAGCTAATATTGAAGACCCTGGAGGAGGTGTAAGCCTTGCATATGCAATGTACATGTACGGTAGATCTAAAAGCGCCGCATTACCTACCCTGCGTCAGTAGTTACAGCTAGTATATTAACCTATCAGACAAGGCATCACTTTGCGAACCCAGTTGCTATTGTCGGGCGGTGTTGAGGCGATATGGCAGTTATCTCACGATATAACATACGGCATGAGCCGAGTCGCCTATTCATTTTTCTCTCTCACCTTGGTGGCGACGCTTATTGTCCCACAGTAGTAGCTACCTGGATATGTTACGGACATGGAAGCGTAAGATAAGACTATAACGACTACTAGTTTAGTAGACCTGTCTGAGGATGCTGCATGTATACATGGCTATCTCCGTTACACGTGCCCGCAGTGTGAATCATTGATAGTGAAAGAAAAGAGAAGCTAAAGCTAGTGCTAACGCCAGAGGTTCAGAGGAACTCCCATCTATTCCCGGAAACTGGCATAGCTTGCCACCCATCCTCGTCAATCCCGAATAGCTGGTAAATTGGAATTCTGGCCCCATATACTCGGGAGCACAGGGAGGGATGGGCAAGATTTCGGCCAACGAACCGCCCAACTACCGCAGCACTGCATATTACAAAACATGGGTAAGAATTTTCTTCAGGTATCTACGCGAATACGTCGAATTTACTGACGTAAGATACTGATGCACACTAGACGAGCTTATGTACGCACCTCGCTTATCGAACGTGCGGCGAAGGTGAATACAAAGCGGCACATTCCCATAGCCCTATATGTGATCGTATCTTCCATCTTGTCGCCACACCGCCCTTTTGCTGCTAATAATACCCCAAGCAATCTGACAATGGACAACATCTTGGCCGGAACTAACAGTCGACCGTTAGTTGAACACTAGACTACGTCTGACTTAACCTAACCCACGCTTCTGCCAAAGCACACGCTAGGTGCCCGAAACGGAAGAAGTTGCATGTGGCTTTCTGCTAACGTCGCACGCGGCCGGCCAGCGATAGAGATAGGTAGATCGACAATGTAACCTCGATGTAGATGAGAGGTCAAGGATCAGCCCTACGCCTATTCTAAGGTCTTCAATGTTAGCCCAATACAGAAGCAAGGATTCATTAAGAGTGTTATTGCCAGTGCTATACAGAGTAATCGAGGTCTAATTACTCTCTAATCACCGTATAAGCACTGAATAACTAGGTGATAATGAGGGGATGATGAAACCATAGCCAGCCGAATAAGCATGGCCTAGCTAGTAGATAGCTAGTCTTAATAGACAATGAGAAGAAGTCCCGAGCTAACATTGAAGACCCTGGAGGAGGTGTATAGTACATCCACGGCGTTATCCTCGCATTGTACTAACCTACTGCAGAGTCTATGCCAAGCTTGTCGTTCTTCGCCCAGGAATGGACATCTAATTGGGCATACCTACTTCATACATCTAAGGGAGTTGACCCTCCGGGTTCGTCTAGACATCATTGGTCTTCGTTCCTCGCTGTACGAACTCGTGCCTCACCTGAAGTCTTACGTCATATACTTGGGCGTTGCTAAGCAGTCTTTCACGTGGGGGGTCTAAGAAGACATGCAGCTACTATGCTTAACAATGTGAGCGTGAGATGAAGTCGAGGACAATTCACTTAACCAGCGTGCAATGTGTTAGCAGGAGCTTCTTTCGCAGCAGATATCCTCATCTCGCAACGCCGAGTTCAATGCCAGACGAGCTGGAGCCAAGGCGATGGTTCTAGCACAATATGCCTCCTATTCAGCCGCAGTTACTTACTTCCGTGCGGGCACTCTAAGAATAACCTCGCCGTAGAAAAGCGAGGAATCCTTTCAACAAGAGATGAGCCCTCCCCCACGACCCAGCTGCTTGGTACGGTGGAGGGCTGACACCCACTTACTCCTCTTCGATGGTCGACTACCAAGGCTAGGGAGATCGAGACCTGGAGAAAAGCGCTAAACTACTGCACGAGTAAGCACAGACTAAACGGTCTCACCAATATCACAGCTATGTCGTTAGTAAGTCGGCATGCATGTCTGTATTTCATCTGATAGGGCAACCTGGACTAACACGTGAAGGCCTGACTTAACCCTAAAGATGGACGCAGAGCGTCCTCAAGATTGGTGGCGCTACTATTACAGGGCGCTAATTTTATTTCTCGAAAGAGGTTGTTTTTACATAAGTAAGTATGGCGTATCTTTGCAAGAGGTTTTGTTTATGCATGATTCTGATATCTTGCAACCTTTCCCAGGTAGGCAATATACACGGTGAGATATTAGCTACATACCCCCCTCCAACAGTTGAATGCACCACAATTGTCCTCGAACTTTGCTTCAGCTGCTGTTCGCCTTTTGGGCTTGATGCTCCCGCAACTTAGTGAAGAACGTGACGCTGAACTGCGAGTCGACGAACTCGAGGAACTTGGTGATCTTATCCCCCGCTTCGTTCATATGTAGGATAAGGACGTACTTTATTAGAAACGAAGAAAATTAGTATGGGTTTGCTTCTCGATTAATATCTTGTTATGTATCTTTGACACTGATTTCTATTTTGTTTCTTGGTTGATTCTATTTTCTCATCATCACAACTTCGACAATACAAGCTGACGCATTTCAAAAATAGTATTGTAGGGAAATAATTTCTTGAGGGAAATGGGACACTCACCTCATTGGCATATGGCCCGACTTCCGTCATCGCCGTGCTCTTCGCCCACATGACGACCTTGTTCTCTTTTTCATCCTCGACTAGGTCGTTGACGGTCACGGTGAAGTCTTTGAAGAGCGGTATCCAAGTCGCGAAGTACGCCTTGTACTCTGCGTTGTTCAGGGGCTGACGGCCAAGGGATTCTGGGGAGATGGTGAGCGTTTTACATTCTGGGCATAGTAGGTAGAGAGGTAGGTAGCTAGATAAGTCAGGGTAAGGCGCTGTGCTGCCACGTACGAGGGAGAACTTGATGCACGCAGTCTTCGGTGCGAATTGCTACCATGGCTTCGAGATCCCACTTGTTGTAGGTATCGATCACAGCCAACGCCGTCTGGCGACGTCGGGATGGCGCTGTCCCGGAACTCATTTTTCAAGCTTTGTCTTTCTTGAATTTTTTTTTTCTTTGCGCGTTAATATTGGTACCCGTTCGAAAATTTGCACTTTCTCGTTAAGGTACAATACCGGTCGTGTGAAGAAATACTCAGTATTAGGCCAATTCCAGCTGAGAGAGGGGTTACGAATGAGCATTGGTGTGATGACATTCTCTGACCTTCCGTATTCAGTTTACTAGCGCTTTTAGATCTACCGCACACGTTACATAGATAAGACTTTCACCTCCTTAATGGTCTTTAATGTAAGTTTAATTCCTTTAGTAGCCATCTATTATTTAAGCCATGATTGTATGTTAGCTATACTTTATTATGCCCTTATTGTTCCCTAATTATTCGGTGATTATTTAGTGATTAAACTTTAATTATAACAAGGCCATATATAGCTGCTAATAGTGTAGTTTTAAAAGGCTGCAAGATATGTCGGAAACATGGATAGTTAAAAATCTTATAAAGATACGCATAGGCTTTTAAGCCAATGGAAAAAGTAAATAGAAAGCTAAAGGATACTTTTAATATTTGGTCTTCTGATGTCTTGAGCATTGGGCTCAAATAATGTATTGATATGAATGCTGAGCGTGTAGTAGAACGAGGCCAATCTAATCTGGCCCCTTTTTAGGGACATTAAAGTCAACGCCTCCAACGCCATGCCATGATGCAATCTCACAAACCCAATATAGTACAAAGATCTCAATCCGACTCGTCCTCTTCCACGTCCTCGACAGTCGCGGCCTTGGCTTTACCCTTACTTTTATTCTTATCTAGTCCTTCATTATCACTGTCGCTGGAGCTGGCTGCACGAGATGCAGCCTCAATGGTATTCTCGTTCCTTGTATTAGGGGGAGTTGTCGTAGAGGAGCTGCCTGGATTGTTGAAAAGCAGTTGAGAGGATCCGCCCCACTGTGGTATCAACGGAGTGGGAGCTGCTACATTTGGGGGCTCTGTCTGTGTCTGATTCGTCGATGACCCGGGGTTTCTATCCATTCCGCCTTGCGCATCGCTGCTTCGCACCGGAGTCTGAGCATCGGTGGATGAAGTAGAAGAACCCGCATTACCATTCAAGTTGTGAACTAGGTCATTTCTAGCTGAGTGTGTTGCTGGTTGGGCGTGTTGGTGTGAAACATCATACGATGAGGTAGTTTGATTATGATGGCTTCCCACGTGTTGCTGTGAGGGTTGACCATCGAGGCGCTGAAGTGGTAATAGCGACCAACCAGGAGGGATGGATACTCCTTCGGGAAGATCTTGGCTACCAGAGGGGATGGCAGATGCATACGAAGGACCACCATGCCTCGTAACAGGGGAGGGGGGAATATACATTGTATTGTTGGGGAAATGTATATGTGGTTGCTGAGCTATGAACTGAGCATTAACTCCTGGTTGAGCAAATGGACTGCCACCCCCGGCAACCGCCTGTGGCTGAAATTGACGCAATCGGTTCAATTCTACGGTCAAAGCATAGAGAGTGTGTAGTTCGGCCTGAGTGGTTTGCAAGGCATACATTTCTTGTTGTATTCTGTTCGAGATCTCATGGAGTTGTGCCTGCATGCTTTCAATGCTGTTCTGGGCGTTGTTGAGATTGATTGGCGGAGCTGTTGTAGTCGGCGTCGGCAGAGCAGGAGGGATGATAGGTGGGTTTACACCTTCACGAGGCTGACGCATCTGGTTCGCCAGATCATTTATATCCTGCGCATCGCCTTGAGCAAAGCCCAATCTTATTGGGCCGAACTGAAATACGCGGATATTGCCCCGACCCTGAGCAGGCTGGCCAATATTTCCTGGTCCTGGTGCTCCTCCAGCACCAGCACCAGCACCACCACCGGGCGCACCTGGGGCTGGAGGCTGAGGCTGCCTGCCGGCTTCAGGAGCCTGTGTCGCAGCATTTCTATCGGGGTTCGTTCCATCGATGACAACCGAGCGTCGACAAGTGGGGCATACCTGCTGCCTCTCCAACCAGCCCTTGAGACAGCCGAAATGTAAGATGTGCCCACATGGGAGCTTCTTCGGCCGGGAACGTTCCACTGCACCGACAGCTGTGGGGTCCCAAGGTCTCATATCCTCCCTGCAAATGATACAAGTGTCCTCTCTGCTTAGGTCTTCCTGAGTAGCATCTGGGTACTTGTTCATGTCCTGTAGCGCTTTCCGATACCTCATTAGAGCACCAAGGCGCTTTACGAAGGAACGTGCAGTCATAAAAAGATCTCGCATTATGTGGATGGGGAGCCCGTAGAACATCATGAGGATCGCAAAAAATACAGAGTAGATTACGAGCTTAATCAAGTCTGAATGGCGTTAGCAAAGGAAGCTAATCACAGATTACGTGACCTCCTACCTGTAAATAGGTCAAGGGATAGTATCCAATGTCCCTTAGATTCCCAACCAGGCACTTCGATATCCATCTCATCGATATCATCCTCATCTGGAAGTTCTTCTTGTCGGGCGGCTTCAGCTTCAGCAGAATCATCAGACTCTCTACGTCTCAAGATGTCGTTGCGCTGTTCTCGAACTAATCGCCGGCGCTCCTCGAGCCGTGTATGGGTCTGTTTCTTAGTGATATCGGCCTCTATCAAAGATAGGAGATAGCGGCAGGTGGTGCGAGTGGAACAGGTCGCCAGGATGGCAAACTCGAAGAGGAACATGACCATCATGTTAGGACGTGCTTGCTGAATGACAACGTGAACCGCATAGGAGAATAGCCAGGTGTCGTAAGCCACGCTGAGTAGAAGGGAGACGCTAAGTCGTAGATGAAATAATCTCGGGTTGGCGGGGGGTTGTTGTTCCAGCACTTCGACACGGCCCTCACCTATCCATTCCCACACTTTTCCGGTGACTAGGGCGGTAAACATAACAAGAAACCAGCCGCCAACCTCCTCACGAAAGATAGTCATGGCGAGGCAGGTCTCGGTAACGGCAAACCAAGCTTTCTCGTAGAGTTGCTCGATCTCAACAGGTCGCAGAGGGCCATAACATAATCTTTGAAGTCCCCAGACAAAGGATGCGTATACCAGTAGAACAAGGTTGACTAGGATCTATCGTCGGTGCCAGATTCGGGTTAGTCAGAGGAATTGTTGCGCCCAGATGTGAGTAGAACGGAGAGGGCAAATGGGGAGGCGAACCATGAGGCTGAGGTTGTTCTGTGACAGATAGACCATGGCGGAGTAGAAGTTGGCACGCTGGTTGAAGGCGTAGGCAATGACGCCGGTGGCCAGCCCCGTCGAGGCCTAAGATGATTGAGTTAGACATTAGCGTGGTAAGTCTTTGGGGGTCTTGGAGAGGTGAAGCAGCGTTGGCAATGATGGAATATAGATACGAGGGAACCAGGACTGAGCTTACCCCGGCATACCAAAGGAGGCGCATCTCGGGCGTCTCGGACGATGGAAAGAGGCGGAGGACAAGGGAGTGCAAAGGTCTGTTAAGCTGCAGAGAGGCAGTTAGGCGCCCATTATTTCGAAGAGACGGGGGCTTGAGAGAAGCAAATTGCAATTGCGTTGTGTGCTCTGGAGGAGGAGACGGGATGTAGGTGAACTACTAGCTACTTGTCTGTGTATTTGATGCTATCTCAATGATGCCACCTGTTGCATACTAGGTAGGTTATGTAGATTATGTAGATTATGTAGGTTATGTAGGTAGGTAGGTAGGTAGGTAGGTACATGTGTAGGTACCTAGGTAGTGGGCTGTGGGGCCACGTGCCTCCTGTGCAAGATGGGGGATGCTCAACCACCCAAGCCCGCGCCCGCGCCCGCATCGGTGCCCGGCCCTTAGGGACTCCATTAGTACATACCTAGGTACCTATTACCTACACCAAAGAGCAATGACGTGCAACAAGTGGGGTGCTCAAGTGTTCAATCATTTTATCCTGGTGTCTCTTTTGGGCAGATTCTAATGAGCAGTAAAGACACAGAGAGAGACGTGGCAGAACGTGGGGTATACTAGGTAGGTATGTACACAAGTGGTCAGCTAGGTAAGCGCTCCCAGCATGACCTTCAATCACTACCTAGGTAGGTACCTTCAAGGAGCTGCTGGTACAGCGAATACCTAGGTACATATATAGTTTCAAGAATATACAGCTCATTAACACGTACCCTTGAGTAGGTAGTAGACCTCTATGTAAAATGTCTATGTGCTTGGTTATTTCTGATTTTTTCACGGCAACGGACCACCCCTGCCATTTCGAACTGCCTTGCAGATCTGTGATTGAAGCTTTAGGGATCCACTTTACCTGGGTACCTCCTCAGGACTGATAGTGCTAGAGGTATTGAACTAACAGGGGTCTGATAGGGGACCTGTCGCGCACTACAGGCGCATCCCTCATCTCCATCTGCCCAAATTCAAACTCCAGTAGTTTTCCAACCTACTGTATTGGATCATGCTTCGTGACCTTGATTTTTCGATTTAGTTTGTCTATTCCCTTTGCCTTTGCATATAATTTCCCTGCCTTTCCATTATTAGCATTTCCAATTACCAGCTTACTTACTCGGCTGATCGAAAGTTTGTTGTTGTTTTGTACACAGCTGGCACTGTGTGTCTAGGCTTAACTTTAAATCCGTCCGCCGCAGTCCAATTGCACCGACATCGACGCATGTTACGATTTAACAGCTGTTCGCAGTCGAAGTGATGGTGGCTTCTCGAAATTTGTACCGATATCCGGCTTGAGATATTTTAGACGTAGCCTACGATGGCTGTGCGCCGTGTGAGGATTATACTCGCCATCGTTGCCTTTTGGGTTCTGGCTTCGTGGTACTACAACTCGGGAGGATCAGGCACCACAGGCTTGTTTAGCTCCATGCCCGGGTCCAAGAATGGAGGTGGTGAACGATGGACACGGCTGCCAACACGGTACCAAGTTGATACACTCGCCCAGCTGCCGACGAACAAGCCTGCGCGGCCTATTCCCCGAATACAAGCTCCTAGGCCGCAGGAGGACGCCACCTCGAGAGACGAGCGACTTACGAGGCTAGCCGTAGTAAAAGAGAGCTTCCACCACAGCTGGGAGGGCTATAAAAAGAATGCGTGGGGTCACGATGAGATCAAGCCTATCTCGGGCCAGTATAAAGATCCCTTTGGTGGCTGGGCCGCTACTCTGGTCGATTCACTAGATACATTATGGCTTCTTGGCTTAAGAGACGAGTTTGAGACTTCGGTGAAGGCTTGCGATGAGATTGATTTTACGACCACCATGTCACAGGATATTAACGTGTTTGAGACCACCATCCGATATCTTGGTGGATTTTTGGCTGCATACGAATTGAGTGACAAACAATATCCCAGTCTGTTGAATAAGTCTACTGAGGTCGCAAACCTTTTAATGACTGCCTTTGATACCCCAAATAGAATGCCTATACCTCGATTTAATTGGAGGAATTATGTTCGGGGCAGGGCTCAAAGGGCACCGACGACAGTTTTGTTGGCCGAGATCGGCTCTCTCAGTCTTGAGTTCACCAAGATGTCCCAATTGACGGGAGATATGCAGTACTATGACGCTGTACAACGTATATACGATGAGCTAGAAGTTGCGCAAAGCAACACTCGGCTTCCGGGCATGTGGCCAGTCATGATTGATGCCTCTACCTCACCGATGAGTTTCAAAGGCGATGGCTTTTCTCTTGGTGGCATGAGCGACAGTGCTTATGAGTATCTCCCAAAACAGTACCTGCTTCTCGGAGGCTCTCTCGAGCAGCCACGGAAAATGTACGAAGGGTTCATTGATGTTGCCGAGAAACATCTCTTGCGTCGCGCACTGCACCAAGGCAACCTTCCCATCCGCTTCTTTGGGGATGCCCATGTATCTAAACCACCCAACGCGGAAGCAATCGTGGTTACAACCCCTCGAACACAACATCTTACTTGTTTTGTCGGTGGCATGCTTGGTATGGCAGCAAAGATCTTCAACCGGCCTGACGATCTCAAAGTAGCCGCAGAGCTTACCGATGGTTGTGTTTGGTCTTATAGCGGTACGCCCTCGGGTATCGGGCCAGAGATATTCTATTACATCCCATGTGAGGAGAATGACTGCCAGTGGAGTGACAGTAGAGTAAGTAGTACGATTCTTAGTTGGGTTTTGCGGCCTCAAGGGCATAAATGCCTCGAGATGGTCTTTACCACTTTGAGATTGAGATGAAACTCTAGAAATAGACGATAAACTGACTCTGCGTGTTATAGTGGAAAGATGCAATCAGAAAGCATTGGAGCTCTGGTCAAAGAGATGAAACCTTAACAGATGAACAGATCGCCGAACTTGTCGACGCTCGCCGATTGCCTCTAGGGATGGTTGACGTGTACGACCGGAGATACCAGTTACGACCAGAAGCTATTGAATCAGTCTTTTACATGTACAGATTGACTGGCGACCAGACATGGATGAACAAAGCCTGGGACATGTTCACCTCCATTGAGAAGCACACGCGAACTGCCTATGCATCGGCAGCCCTAGATGACATTACGATGATGAAGCCGGACCAGTTGGACAGCATGGAGAGCTTTTGGCTCGCCGAGACGCTGAAATACTTCTACCTCATTTTTAGTGATTGGGAGCTCTGCGATTTGGACAAATGGGTACTGAATACAGAGGCACACCCGCTCCGGCGAGCTGATGCGTAGAGAAAGGGGAATATAAAGAATCATATGACAGTTTGGATACAAGTGCTTGGCTGCATTATTTGGTAATTGTGCATAGTATTATAGACATACATAGATGGGCTCACAAACTTGAATATACATACTCGACCTTGTCACACGGAAACGAAACATTTTTAATGTTGTTGCATTATATCCGATTGGACAAGTGTGCGTTTTAGATGGGCACTGTCGCCTATAAACTTCGTCTGTAAACTTCGTCTATACACGGAAAAACATGTACATATGATGTGTACTGGAGCTCCGCTTTAGGGGATGCATGAGAGGCTCCGAAGAGTCCCGAAACAATGGAACGGACCCGTATTTCGGCCTTGCATGTCGGAGATCATAAGTAGAAATCGGACAGGTATAAAATGTCCGACCCCCCATAAGCCGATAGGGGTTAAAAGTCTCTATCATACCTAACGGGGATCTCTCGTAGCTCATGACTATGACGAAAACTTGCCCAAGGGTAGATAGACCCTTCGGTAGCACCCCAACCTATTTGTTCCAACCAACCGAAAAACAGGATGCGAGCACGCCAGCTTGGCAGCACCAATTAAAGCCCTCCCAATTCTCCACGGATGAACCCAGAGTCGTCATGGATGATTACTACGGGAGTAGTGTAACTGACGGATGGGCAAGCATTGGGTGACTGAGGTTCTGACCGGGCTCGCATAGTGCCCAGGCGGTGTCGAGCACTCAACACTACAGCACCCGCACGTCACTTGACTACACTACCTACCTGCTTGTAGCAGGCAGGCATCGGCGATGGGTGAAGACAATCGATGTCCCGGGAGCAGCTCATTTGCTGTGGCCGACGCCAACTAGCGCCGCTAACGAGATGAGCAAGCGGATACAACCAACAAAAGCAACTGAACAAAACTGAAGAGACGTTATGTTGGTAAGGAGTGCCGCCGTTGCTGTTGCTATCTACGCTAAAACCTTAAATCGTCTTGGCTGGAAGAAGAGTTGGTCTCTCTTTGGTAGGTAGCGTAGCACCTCTCAAGTAAGAGACCGGTAAGATGATGATGGCCTTTGATGTGGTATCCTCTTATCTCCTCCCTCTTTGATGGTTCCTGTACTATGACTCTCCTTGTCCATCAAAGCCATCGAATTATTTGCTCGAGCATTGACTACCGCGACATTGTACCTACACGTAAACGTAGGTTCTGTTAAATTTATGTCAATAGGTTCTTCTGTCTTGGGTTACACTACGTTTGTCTCGCAACGTTGATCTCGCGAGGGCGCACCCACTACTCGGAACTCACAGCCGAGGGCGGCATTCGCGTATTTGCTTGTCCTTCCATGCCAACGAACTTCACAGTAGGTATCCCGCTTGTTACGGCCAGTAAGGCATAGATTGCTTCCATCCACATTGCCTACCATGGATCCTAATCTAGCGCATACGATCGCAATGCGACCATCTCCTTTCAACCCCAATACCAACAGTAGGCCCATGACACCTCACTCTTCACATTCGCCGATGCCGCATATTTCGCCTCATCATCGTCCTCCTCCGGATACCGCTGCTAGCACTGGTGTAGAAGCTGTACAACCTAGGGAGCTTGTGCGACACCATGCCGCCTCCCATCCAGACGTCGAGTCGCAGAATGATAGTTCGCGGTATAGAGACAGCGATCCTTACAACCTCTCAGCTGCTTTCAAGACCGACCAGCAGCTTGACGAGATCAAGGCGAATACTTCTCGCAAGCGGGACGGTCCGCGCACTCTCAACCTCAAGAGCCGCCATAGCGAAGTCACAGACTTCTATCGCAACCAGAACGAGACTATCGAACGCCTTCTCAAGACCGTCGAGGAACATCGCTCCGAAGCTCGACAGGAGGCAGGCGAGGACCACTTGCGCCACCAAATCGCTGTCTGGGGCTCTTTCGTCGCCAATATCATCTTGTCCATTCTTCAACTCTACGCTGCCATTTCCTCTGTTTCACTTTCACTCTTTACCACGGCTGCCGACTCCGTCTTCGACCCCTTCAGCAACCTAACCCTGATCCTCACCCACCGCGCCGTCAAGCGTGTTGATGCCAACCAGTTTCCCTCTGGCAAAGCTCGCCTTGAGAATGTTGGGAATATTGTCTTCTGCTTTCTCATGGTTACGGTTTCCATAATCCTTGTCGCCTTCTCGATCCAGGAGCTCGTAACCCACAAGAGCACCGACCCCCTTACCAATGGTTTCCACCTGCCCTCCGTCATTGCCGTTGCCATTGCGTTCGGCACGAAGTTCACGCTCTTCCTGTACTGCTGGGGCATCAAGCATAAATACAGTCAAGTCGACATTCTGTGGCAAGATCACCGCAACGATCTTTTCATCAACGGGTTCGGTATCTTAACATCCGTCGGCGGCTCCAAGCTCATCTGGTGGATCGATCCCCTCGGCTCCATCGTCTTGTCTCTCCTGATCATAGGCATCTGGACGCACACGGCTCTCCAAGAGTTCAAGCTCCTGGTTGGTGTCGCCGCCAGCGTTGAGATGCAACAACTCATCACGTACGTCTGTCTGACGCACTCGTCCACCATCCAAGGCATCGATACCGTTCGCGTCTACCACTCGGGCCCGCGCCTCATTGCCGAGGTCGATGTCGTCATGGACCCTGATGCCACGCTCCGTGAGACACACGACGTCGCCGAGGAGCTGCAGTTCAAGCTCGAGGATCTCCCTGATATCGAGAGGGCCTATGTCCACGTTGATTACGAGACCACGCATAAGCCGGAACATGCATTCAAGAAAGACCTGTAGAGCGCTTCTTGCGGGATGGATCCTGAAGATATAATCACGGCACTTATTGACTGGTGCACAGAGGCTCGTGCGAGATGCGTTTGCTGGCTTATCATGGTGCGGTAAGGGAGGCTTTCATACCCGGCGTAGATTTGATTTTGAAAATAATCGATTGTTCAATTTATGTTTCTTGAATATGATAAATGCATGACCCAGTGCCGTCGTGCAGGCATATCCCTTTGAGTCTATCCCTTCACGTATACATATTGTAGTCTAGAGTAAGCGTAGGCGTTCACTTCAAGGCAAATGTAAGAATAAGAAGGGAAGGCAGTTTTATTCATCAGAAATATGGCTCTGATCTTAATGAAAATTACGCTATGTGCCGATACCCGAACGCACATGTTCCGTTGGGCACTTATGTGGAAGGAACCTATCCTATACATTCTGTTTCAGGCACTGAAGGATTCTCGCATCAGATTCGATGAATCCCTTTAATGGTTCGTCCAGTTGCTCGTCGAGTTAGACATGCTGGATCCCGACTTGGCTTTCTAACTACCGTATTGTGAGGAAATTATATCGTCCTAAAGTAGACTTTACAGCATTTGTTCGCATTACAATTACACCCTAATCGCATCACGATTATACATTCTTCATGTAACAATTATACTCTGTTTATATCACGATTATACCCTGCTTGCATTACCATTCCACCTTGAATATTTCTATCACAGAGCGGTGATACCACGGCACTATAGAGACTTATGATATTGCAGATCGGTACTGCGTGCATATGCAGGCTGACTACTTCCCCATACGGATCGGATTACAATGATAGGTAGAATAGTTTAGTACGCATGCATGTAACGATGCGACGGAATCCTCGAGATCGACGCTGTGAAGGAGGCAGATGACCTCGAGGTATATGGACCGGGACTTGAGTAGAATGGTAGTATGACGTCGCGTGCAGCGAGCGGTTGCTGCTTTGCCGGTTCTAGGAAAGTCGGGCTGCGTTAATACCGAGGTTTTGCTCTTTTATAGATATCTATATTGGTATTCACATAGTTATGATTCTTTCTCTAGTGTCCGTAACCAACTTATGTATCTTCTCCTATACCTCGAGGCCAGATGTATTGGAAGCTACTTACTCTGCACGTTTTGAGTGACATAGAACCGAGCCGGTTGCAAGTATTTGTTGCGACAATAGGTAAAAAGAGAAAATTCATGTGAGACTTGGACGCCTCAAACAGCACACAAAGTGTGGGGTTTCCCCAGGATTGACATGCATTTGGCGCACCGTTTTTTGATGGCGTCATTCCACATTGTTAGGCGTAGCTCAATTGAACCTCATCGTTCAGCCATGGGGGATGCTATTCCTATCTGGACAGATGGAGGAATATTGTATAGATCATTTCTAGTGGGATAAAGTATTCAGAATTGGGTACTCGAGGTATCTAGGTGTCGTTCTAGGTCAACCGCATCTCCATGTGAGGACGTATCATTTTACCGCCAGTCTAGTTACACGGGTAAAATCTGAATATGGAGCAGAGATGGAGGAATTCTAGACTCGAAGCTCACCCCTGTCTGTGTTCATCTGGCCTAATTACAAGGAACTACCAGGGTATGCCAGCCACCTGATCATACCTTAAGGCGCCGTTAACGTGTTGTCGCAGATCCTTGATTGCACAGCATGGGAAAGTACCTACCTACCTACACTTGGATGTAAGTATTTGACCGTGATATTTCATACCACTGAAATCATAGGATGCTCTTCTTGAGCTGTCAATTAAAAACCGACTGCCCGTGACAAGATAGGTACCTGTAGATATCTAGATCAAAACGGGGTTACATGGTTCCGCTCGCCGGCCCTAAAATGGCACGGTGCTATGAGCAGGTCGTCGAGGTACCTAGTGTCGCTAAGGCGGGGGAGGTTGTTAGGTAGGTAGGCGCTGCTGCAGGAGGTATCAACAGCCATGAGCTCCCCACCGCGGTCGCGACGCTACTAGGTACGCTACTATACACCACCACCATGTCTATTGTTACGAGCTTTGCTCTTTCTACTCTCCTTTCTACTCTCCCGTCCTACAACAAAAACACAGCCTATGTGGAGGTAATATTGGATCATACGGTTGAGCTATTTGCTTAGTTTGACCTTCTCAATATTCAATTCATTCTCGAACGACAGTATATACCTACCTACCCGTCTACCTACCTAGACTGTCCACCTTGAATTCTCTTTCTCCTTGGTGACCTCTCCAGCCAGCCCTTGTCGCTTGGACACATTGCGGCCCAAACCCTATCCTGTTCTGTAACTAGTGAGCCCATCGTCTTGAACATTCTGGCGTCGCTTGGAAACATCCTCGGTGCACAATGGCTGCGCGGGGCGGAGGAGGGGAGGACGTGTATGCTACAGTTCGTCAACCAACCTTCGGACTTCAAGTGCCACTCTTTTCGACCCAGCATCTAACCCTGCAAAACTAGCTGTTGTTGACCGACACATACCTGCCAGGTAGGCGCTCCCGCTGCGATTGGCATCGAGTATCACCACTGACATCTTATGCCAAGGCGCGCTGGTTCTGGCGCATTCATTACGCGATGCTGGTACTAAAAAGAAGCTTGCCGCACTGGTCACCCTTGACACCGTATCCGCCGAAGCCATCACCGAGCTTAAGGTCGGCTCGCCATTGAACCTAACCGGAACATGGACTATGCGCTGACCGTAGCTTTGATCAGTCTGTCTATGATTACATTCTTCCCGTGCCTCGAATTCGCAATGCGCACCCCACCAACTTGGAGCTGATGAATCGAACCGACTTACACTCGGCCTTTACCAAGATCAACCTGTGGAAGCAGACCCAGTACCACAAGATTGTCTACTTAGATGCCGACGTTGTAGCCTATCGAGCCCCCGACGAGCTCTTCGACATTACACACCCCTTCTCTGCTGCTCCAGACATTGGGTGGCCTGACTTGTTTAACACCGGCGTCATGGTTCTGACCCCGAATATGGGCGACTACTATGCTATGATGGCCATGGCTGAGAGAGGCATTTCGTTCGACGGTGCAGATCAAGGCCTTATCAACACGCATTTCCGCAACAACTATAACCGTATAAGTTTTGCCTATAACGTTACTCCGTCTGCTCACTACCAATACGTACCTGCCTATCGCCATTTCCAGTCGAGCATAAACATGGTGCATTTTATCGGCTCAGATAAACCGTGGTTTAATGGACGGCATGCAAGTGTGGGGAGCTCACCATTCGACGAAATAACGGGGAGGTGGTGGGCAGTCTACGATCGGCATTATCGAACGGCTGTAAGTACCTTCATGCCTTCAGAATTATCGAGCGCTATACTTACTTCATTCGAGTCTGCTGAACCCGCCCCTCTAACATCGACGCAACCCCCTGCTATAGTAGCGACAGCAGCGCCGGTTTCAGAACTTGTTCAATATCTTACGAAGGGAGAATATCAACCTAAGATGTCACATATAACTAGTAAGCCGTACGATGATGGGCGTGGCGGACATGGGCAAGATAGTTTTCACGGAACTATCCAACAGCAAGAGCAACCCGTGCAGGCCCTCCACCAGCATGATTTTCCTAGCTCTCTAGTACAAAGCCTGCAGCACCATGGTCATCATGATCATAGCCATGAAGCGCCCGTTTCTGAAGTCGACACCCAGAAGCCTGAGTCCTCTAGTTTTCTCTCTAGCGATGTGATTTCGTTTTTAAGCAATAACGAGAACGCTCCAGCTGAAGCTGCTAAAGAGCAGATTGATACTCAGGAACCGCATGCAGCTCCCACTGAGGCAGAGCAAAAACCTCCATCGTTCGAACCCTCTATGTCAAGCTGGGACGCTCAAAGGTTAGATTCATTCTGTCAATTAAAATGAGGATATCAGCTGCTAATAGTTCGTTAGGCATCCACCTCCCACGGAATCCAAACCGGAGGCCATGAACTTTCCCGCTACTGTGTATGAGATGTCAAAGAGCACTGCGCCTTTCGTCCCTCCTCAGCATTATCCCAGTCCTCCGAAAAACATGTGGTACGAGGTACCCAAAGAAGCGCCAGCAGCTCCGTCAGAACCACCCAAGCCGATTTTTCCTTGGGAGACTCATCGGCCGAAGCCGTCTCGTGTGTTTGTCGACGATGAGCCTGAAACGAGTCAAAACCTAGTGCCTGGCTCACAGCCTCCGCTTGAAGTGCAAACGTCGGTTGCTTCTCCGGGCACAGAAGTCTCCCCGGCTGAACAAAAGAACGAAATTGTGACCCCCACAACACCAACCATCACCATCACGTCATCGAATCCATGGACTTCATACACACGGACAAATGCATGGGATGACCTACCGGAAATTGAGCGGTATGTCGATTCTTTACAGAAGAGCCGAACGGCAAGGAATCGCAAAACTCCGGGCATGATCGATTTGCCGAGTCCTGGCGAAGGCGCAAGAGGGAGTAAATTGACCGACTTCCCAAGCGAGGTCGAGCGTCCCAGTCTTCCGGTGACTCCCGCGCCGATCCGTCGATCAAACTTTTGGGGTGGTGGCTCAAATACAGGTGGCGATGCTGGCTTAGAGCTGCCGTCAGCAGCAGGCGTTCCCGGCCAGAACGAGTGGGTATGTGTGCATGGACGGAGGTGGACGTGGTCCGACTGTAAATGCTAACTCACTCACTAACTTCCAACGCGTAAACAAGGACCCTGTGGCCCAACTGCAAGAGTTGGCTAAGAAACAAAGCGAGGAGCTTCTTAAGAAGCTAGGCGGTACTGGCCGAGATAGTAGCGACCTGCCGCCTCGGCTTCTGCCTTTTGGTTCAGAGGAATTAGTGTCACCAACTTATGTGGCACAGTCGGCCCGGAGATTGAACCTACAACCGGTAACAGGAAGTGGGAGTTCAAGCTCTGTTAAGTCGACGCCAGATGTGTGAAGAATACCCCTAAATCTCTGCTTAGCCTGAGAGCCAGTCTGTTACAAATACCTCTTTTGGTCAGGGATTGGCTTGATGTTAGAAAGCTTGGAATTAACAGCCAGAACCTGGAGTCTGAGAATATTAATTGCTTGTTAGCTTCTACTCATATCTGCCGACCCTCACAGAACAGCCGGAGAACAGGCGGTGAGGACGAAGAGATTGTTGATAGGGTATTAGTTTTCATGACAATAACGCATGCCACGAATGGGTCAGAAAGGAGGTTGGAGCGCTTGGATTTTTACAGGAGATATATCGCGTTCTATATTTCATTGTTGTCTTGCATATATTTTCTTCTTGGGACGAAGCACTGAACATTCACCAAGCAGAGACATTCAGGCCAGCCAGTCAGTCAAAGCATTGATACCCACGTTCAGCACTCGTCCTTTGGCCTGAACGCCGAATCTTGAGTATTCCCCTATCATTTCTTATATCTGTGTATCTCTGTACTATTCAATTTTTTTTTTCGTTCATTGCATTGCATTGCATTGCCTTCTTGGGTGGTTAGTTTGACTAGGTTTCACATAACGCTTACCCAGTACTTGTTTATCTAGTACCTATATGTATAGTTATATGAATAGCATGATAATGGTTATGGCTTTTTTTCTTACCGATATTGGTGTGTAAGCAGCTCTGAACCAGAGAATGATCTGATTGTTTTCGTATTATCCCAGGATAACGCATTGTACTTTCGCAGCTATGAAATAGCTAGTTTTACGTTTATATAGGCTTAAGGATGATGATGGGGTAGATTGCTATTTTCTACATTACTCCGTGGCCATCGGTGTTAGCTCAATATAGGAATTGATAATTCTTCTCTTTACAAGTATTATAACCAAGGTGTAATTTGTTATAATTAAGGTACAATCACTAAATAATCGGTTAATAAGAATGGCATCATTACAGTATGGCTAAGGCATAATCATAGTTTAAGTTATATTATAATAATTAATTAAGATTAAAAGATGGAAAGTAGGACTGAACCAACATTGAAGACCATGAGGGATGTATATCCCATCAGCTTTAACAGTTTCATTACACTCCTAATATGGCTTGGTATTCCGTGTTAATATTATACCCTCTGTTCGTAATTGTATACTGTGGCTAAGTTCACGCACTAAGAGGAACATAGGGAATTATTGTGAATCGCAACGCGAGGCGTATTGCTGTAGATCAGGACTGTAGTATGCTAAAGTTGTATTTTGATAGTATAATATTATGATGAATTGATATGAAGCCTTCTGTCGTTACATGCGCATACCAGCTGAACACGAAGTTTGCCTGCAGCTGGGCTACGGCGGTCGAGTTACTCTATTGTTAAGGGACACACAGCGTCGTATGGAATTATTTACATGTGTAGCTGCCTACAAAGCCTCTCTTTTTCGAATCACTCAAGTATGCATTCATGTTCGCCGGAGTAGTAATTAGTGAACGACACGGAAGAGAACCAAAGTAACGCTTTTCTATGAAGTCTCAAGTCTTGCTGTCTCCTAACCGCTTGCTTTAATCAACTACAAACGTGCGTCTTCGACTGGGGCGATTTGGGATGAAACCGCTCGAGGGTCCTTTTGAAGGAAGTTCTAGGACGATGTTTGGAGCCGCGCTGGCAGAACCATCAGGCTTTCCAAAGACAGGAATCCACATAATGGTCTCTGTCCTCGGCTCACGTCTATATGGGAATATTCCCCAGGTCGTGAAAGGGGATTTGTATGAGATCTTCGGGCTAAAGCGACCTACAGAACCAAGAGTGTCGCTGAAACATTCGGGCTCTTTCCCAGCGCGGTAAACTAGTTTCAGCCCACCTCTCATGATGAATGTCTTCGAAGCAATGTCTCGAAAAACTCGGGAGACCTTGTGGCATGCAGTGTTGGTCTGCAGATCCGCATGGTGTATGATTCTTTGATACACTTCATTCGGGAATACCCCCTCATTATGCATCGTGGTCGGCTTCAGCCTAAAGGAAGCAACGTTAGTCCCAAGTCTATTGACCTATGTTAGTGAAACGTACCCCTCGTTTTGCACAGCATCAAAGAAATGAGCCATTATGTCGAAGACGGCAACGTCGGCGTTCTCGGACCAATCATGGTCGGGATCATCTTGAGCAACATCGCTTGTCGAAGGAAGGTCTTTCTCTTTAATACGCCCAGGGCGCTCATTGACATTAAATCGCTTGGTATGTTGGACACTTCCATCAGCGAACTTGAGCAGAATGAAGTGCTTGAGAGATATAATGATGGCATGGAAATGCGTCTGCCCATCAGCTTTCCCCCTCTCGACTGCCGATACGATCGCATCTTGGAACTTTCCACGTGAGGTTATATCACGCCTCAGGTACACGAGGACTCCTGAGAACCAGTATGAAGTGGACTTCGGTGCGCTTCCCGCTTCCCTACCTTCTACGTGAAACCCTCGGAGAAAAATTGTGGTAAACTCCTTGGGTTTTCGGGACTCGTTATCGAGTATGGCTCCATAAGCCCAGCTCTCCCACCTATTACTTGCCTTGTGCAGTATGTCTGGACCTGACACGATCCGAAGCCACTCTGGGGAGCAAGAAGTGAAACAGAGAAAGGCGAAGACCAGCTCCTTAAACAAAAAATCCGATTCGACACAGCAGTCTTGGGCCTCGCGTAGCTCGTCATTGTACCTTTTGATGAAGAGCTCATAAAGCCGTTTGAAAGCCACAAAACATGGCATATGGCTTAACTTTGAATCCTTCTTTGGGATGACCGTGGTCGGCTTCAATTGCGAGAAAGCCAGGGTTGGATCATGGGTTAGTGGGATTGACTGCACATCGTCGGTCGTGATACACCTGGGAGTCCCAGAATATCTGACCTTAACTAGCCAGTAATTTCGGGCTTGGTACAAGAGGCTCGGGAAAGGGCGAGGTATCTGGGACATGTGATAGAAACCGTAATTGTGGATTCCGAAAATCTCTCTGTCAAGGTCGAAGATGTAGGCCTCACTAATATCAAACTCGCTCCTACGTAGAGCATTAGAATTAAATGAATCAAAGCCGATGGCATAGCAGCCGGCGGAAAGGAGTGTTCTGGATGGGCCTCTATGAAGATGAAGCACGCAGAGAAGCGAATTCCAGCTTCTCAGTCTAGCACCCAGAGTATTCAAATAGTGGTAGAGATACATACGGGGGAGGCATATAATAGCCTGTTGATAATACTGGTTTCAGATCCCCGAGGGCCCTTTCTTTGTCGCTGACATGCGCTGTAGCGGTATCTTCACAACCAGGCTTGTCGACAAATTCGTCCATTGATATGGTAAAGAGACCTTCTTCAAAGGTCTTGGCGATGTCGGAATACTCATCACGCATATGTTGAAGCCACCCCTGGTATTCATCGGGGCTTGTGGGTACCGAATTTGCGAGTTCTTCCCTTAAGCTAGAGGGATATGAGTTACGTGGTGGTCAGCCTCAGGAATGGGCTAGACAACAGGGTCATGAAAGACGGGCACTTACCCGTGGTAATAGACATAATACCTACCTTTCCATTTGTAGGCGTAAAAGCCATGCGAATAATACATGGCGAACAGAGGTTGGATCAGTGGTGACAGGGTCGAAGGTCAAGTTGTATTCCACGATGGGGTGAGTGAGATGTGTATGAATACCTGGGCTAGGTAGGTAGATAGGTGGAAAGGAGAGGACAGCAGCTCGAGAAGCGTCCTAGGCAACCTTAAGTACCTAGAAATAATGGCAAACATGTCACTTGCTCACTCCTGTCCTCGTTGAGTTGGTATCTGCACGCACAGGCCAGATCGTAAGTCAGCACAATGATAGAAGCCAAAAGCCATGGTTTTTGAAGTTGATGTCCCGAAACACGCAGAGCGGAAGCAAGGTTCTAACTGAGGATTCACGCCCCCCCAAAGGCGGCCACAGTTACCTAGTTTGAAAAATGGTGTAGCCACAGTTAGTTTTACAGCGGCGTGATAGCCAACAGGCTTCGCGTACAGCTTGCCAGATAATACATACCCCGGTTGGTTGGAGGGGATGATTGTCACGCAAACAACGCTGTTGGCTCCCCTTGCCTCACTGTTGAATCCCAGACACCAGCAACAAACACGGTACTGGTCAGGCATTTCTCAATCTCTCTTCCTAGACCATCCAGGTAAATATCTAATTCACGAGAATGTCATGGCTCAATATATGGCCCCTTAGTATCTCTTGGAAAGTAGGTTAACCTAGAATGTTCTGATGGGGAAGATTATAGTCAACACTAAAAGTGATGGAACCATTATGCCACTTGTGAGGATGTCATCTGCGTAAGACGTCACTGTCTGTAAACCCATTCCTATATAAACCCTAGCTAGTAATTAAAGGACTATATCTCTTGCATGACTACGATAAGGAGAATACAGTATGTTTCACATAACCGCTAACCACTCTTCCTCATCTTGTATAGACTGGTGACCCTGTGAGTCTTCTGGACCATATCGTCCTCAGAGTTAGTGGTAGATAGACTCTATATAGAGTCCCATATTGCAGGAGAGTGATCTTACAACTTAGCCAATAGAATTAGGGTATCTTGCCGAAAGAAACCATTCAAGGCATTGCTATAAAATCAAACCGAATTGACACACTTACATGCACTCCGAGTTAGGGCGAGGACTCCTAGCCAGCTACCTGAACTTGGGGATTAAGCTGTTAGTTAGGTATTGATAATTCCTTGAGAGTATACTGCAAGAAAACAGACTAGACTCAAGTGGTATGTAGCCATACCTACCTACTACTACCTATGTTTATGTATTTCTAAACTCTAAAGTTTAGCAGTACGACCCCGTGAAGACTAGCTAAGCCACGTTTCTAGCCAGCTAACTTAGCCACAGGCTGCCACAGCACACTAAAAAGAATAATATCATGAATCGCATCAACCCCAATACTAGGGAGGCTACAACACAACAAAGAAAAATGATAAAATAAGAGGATTGGGTAAATACTCTATTGGATGACCTCGCTGGGGGTCGAACCCAGAATCTCCTGATTGCGCTTGTGAACTTGTTATTCAAGTTCTGATCGTAGTCAGACGCCTTGCCATTGGGCCACGAAGCCAGATGATTGAGCTATTGCTTGTTGAGGCAGCAATTCATAAAAATTGTCTAAGTAGAAAAAGATATATAGAGGGACTAGCTCGCTCCCCATATTGGTAGTATACTTAAAGCCGCTAGTTTATTGTACTGCGTTGGGATTCGTTGAGTTCGTTGGTTAAGAGGGCCCCTGAAAGTTTTTAAGAAAAAAATGGGGGAACTCCCAACATAGTGGGTGGCCATGTGGGGAGACTCTACGCGTGCGTACAGTTGCAAAAGCCCTTTCTTGGAAACATGATGTTGTCTCGTAAGCGATTGGATATCTTGGGATTTAACGAATAGCAGAGGCCGCATTGGTTGTAGTCAGCCAATAGGACCTAGAAGAAGGAACTTAATAGCCAAGAGACTTTTTTGTAGACCTAACTGATTGGTATGTCACTGATCGCTTTAATCTCAAGCGGTGTTCCTAGCCTCCACTATACTTTATTATTCAAGCTTCTTAATTGCTGTTGTATCTTCCACTATGAAGCATGAACCAAAACAGTAGGTTATAAAATAATATAATGATAAAGATTAATAGTATTTCTTTGAATGGTTATAACTAGTTATTTTAAGGTTATCTATTTTATCAAAGGTATCTAAGGCATCAATCAAGGCTTATCATCTAGGACAGGCATGCCTGTTGAAATCATCTCCAAGGGAATAAGGTAATCTAAGGCCGGTGGGTTGTCATATCTATGCATTCGACTCATTAAGAAATGTGTATAGTATATTGGCAACTTAGATCTCTTGCTACAATGGCTATCATATACAGATTTCATAATGGATAGAAAGTTGCTCTCTAGACTTGGGAAGTGTTCATTGAGTTGTGTACTTTTATTATTTTAACTACGAGTATAAATATCTTCCTAAGAGATAACAGAATGGAATCTGGAAAGTGAGGTCCGTGTAGCGCACTAAGCAACACTTGTCCTCACTTTAAGTATTTTATTACGACTTATAGGTTGGCTGAACTGTATATATATATAACAAGGGCAGAGATACTGGGCTTGGAACTTAGAATTCAGATTATAATGAATAACTAGGGCTGCATGAGTCCTTGACCAACCAACTCCTTCTTGGCTGTTGGTGGCTTGACTCGACTTTATATACAACTGGTCTGCCAGCCTAGACTGCCTAGGTCTTTGGGATCTGTTTCAAGAAGCGAAGTCTGTATAACCTCACTTTCCAATATTGCCCAATATTGCCTACATGTCTTGAAAGATTATGAACAGCCTGCGAAAGTCCTCCGTGCGGCCGAAGTGCAAGGCGAACTGCATATTCAGCTGGCACAGAGGTTGTGCGTGTAACAATATAATATTTCCATTCTCAGAGCTTTCTATGATTAACACCAAAATATGTTGATTCATGATGGAATGCGAGAAAGTGATACGAGGAGGACTTATGCGCTATCAGTTATGCATCTCTACACTTAACTGCTAGACTACGTTCTAGGAGAGAAGGAGGAGGTAGAGAACAAAACAGCCGTCATTGCTAGTTAACATCAGGTCACCTGACCTTGGTTCAATCTCAGCGTGTTCTCGTTATTATTTTTAAGTTGTGTTCTCAAGCAAGAGATGTTTTTGTTGACGTGACTTCCGTTCTCCCGAATCTAGAACATGATCTATGCGCGTATGTTGAGTGGTCAATCGACTGGCGATCAAACAACGATCGGATGTTCGACGAGATACATGGCGCGAGCCATCAGAAGAGATCCGATTTTCTCTGCATAGATTTCTTTTGCATATAATATCACACATCCTCTATTGCATGCTCGTAGTTTATGGGGATGTCTGTGAACAGGAAGCTCTTTGGTCGTTTCCCATCAGTCAAAGAGAAGTATCCCTAATAGCGATATGGTAGCTTTTCTCGTTTATGGAGGATGATGGGTGATTGGACAACAAGCACATATAGTTTATATAATTCTTGAGTTCAACAATCATGGGTATAACTACCTAACCAGGTAGTAGACGAATCATTGTCTAGAATGGGACGTGTTTCCCCCCGCGAGAAGTGTTCGCGGTTGGATGATCTGACCAATGGTGAACCAATGCATCATCCATACTGCGGTTGAGCAATCCATGTCCGACGGACTTCATAATCAACTCGGTCTCTGGAAAAACATCGGAATGGACATTACAGACTGAAAACAATAACAGGGGCCGAATGTTTCTATTTCTCTTTTATCACATGCGTTACTGGGTATTCGCCGAATGTTACTCTTTTGGTGCCCGCATTCGTATTATGTTGTGAAACATTTTATGTATCTCGATGACGGGAATCGTCGCAAAATTCTCCGCTGCAAAAGTAAAGCTAGTGCGACGGCTCCTGTAAGAAGAATCCTCCTCTTCTCCTAGCATGGTCGGCCGGTCGGCATTCGTTATTTCCGCTTCTTGTCCGCAACACACTGCTCAGATCAATAGCGAACGAGAAGGATTCAAGAGGGGTAAACGCATGTGTCACCCCATACCCAATCGCCACGCGAGAAGTTGTGTACCTGATCACGAAGAGAGCCCCGAAAGCAAACCAAGCGAACGTTCGGATGAGTATGTTTTTCTCAGATTATCAGAATCGAGGCTACTCTCAGAGCACTGATGCTTGGCTCAAGGTGGTCTGCATACTGTACGTAAATGCTGCGTGAAATACATGTATAAGTCGTCTAGACCCCCTCTGGGCAGACTCTGGGTATTGACGGTCGAAGTCTTTCTACTATGCTACGTACATCCAGTTGATAGGTAGCCAGCGACATATAAACGAAATAGGTAACTCCGTACGTCCGGATCTTCCTCGTCATCCTAGGCGCACAGATGCCGGACACAGACGTTGAGCTTTGTCAGCCAGTCAGACTTGGTGCACATTTGAAATGGCGGGTGTATATGTAAGGCTATGGCCACGATGATGCGTGATTGACCGTGCACAAGCAGGACATGTGCTATCTACATGTATCTATGGAGACTACTACCACCTAACAGACTTGATTAGTACTTCGTACTCGCAGTGGCAGTGGCTTGTGTGTATCTGTAGCCCAACACAGTACACTCAGTGCGTGTGATACAGACATGGCGGCTTCACCACCTGTGGTGGTGCCATACATGATACTGTTGCCGCTCACGGCATCATTCAAGTCGCGTCGAACGATGTACGTATCCTTCGAGCTTCGAGAGCGTAGCCACATGCAGGAGCTTATGGACGTTGAAGTTTTTAACATGCATGTACAGTAGTTAGATCGGCTTCTAGAGTATGTAGGGCGTCACTTCGAACTCTTTAGCACCTTGGCAACCTGTTGTGTTGAGAACGTCGAAAATGTACCCTTCCTTCGGTACCTCAGTTCACACGCTGCAAATTTTTGGTTATATACTCCGTATAGGTCGTAGTCTAGGTTATGAAAACTGAGTCTACACAGTACCCTACGATAGTGAGCACGGTGATTCTCGCGCTGCCTGATGTCTATCCTACATGTACATAGTAGCAGTCGATGGTCTCCTATTCCATACCTAGCTCTTTTCTAGATCATGATAGTGGCCGGGGTTTTACTCAACTTCTCCGTCGGGGCTGTTAGTGCTTCCCCGCATATGTACGCGTCGCATTGATTTTTTGATAGGTAGTGCGAGAATCAAACCCCTGTGCCCTATTTGCATTAAACTAATCCTATTACAGCTCGCAATAGATCGGCTGTAAAAATCTTAGAAAGGTTAGACTCGGCTATACTATCCTAAGCCGATAATAGTGAGCTTGAAGCTCCAAGTTTCGCTGTGATGCCGTCTTCGAGCGGGTGGTGGGAGTACGAGTATGGAAGTACGGCAAATGCCCCGAATGCCTGTCTATAAACACGTACAGGAACAATCTGGAGAAAACCTACGCATCCCCTTGAGGGATATAGTTATCATCGTGTACTGTTCCCGTCTTTTGATGTGATGCAAACGTATTCGCTGTGTTGTTGTTGGGACAAATGCCCCTACTGCTGCTGTTGGTTCATAGTGTGAACACACTAGCATTTCTAATCTCGTTTCATTCAACCAACAACTCAACCAACAATATCAGCATCGTAGTCCTTTTGAAGGAAGAAGATCCGGTCGGTGCCGATGGACGAATACCGGTACCGGTACCTGTCTCCTATTTGTTTCAAGACCTTGATTGGCCGTGGCAACTAGGTAAGTAAGCACTATACTGGGGAACGAAAGACCTGTCTTTTATGCGTCTCGAAAAGTGACGTTTACTTACTGCTGTCTGTGCTGTGCAGGTATTACTCCATTAGATGATCCATGAGTGAAGAGACCCCCCCCCAAGTAGGGCGATCTTTATGACGGACTAGGCCCAGCTACTCATGATAGCTCTTCCTGTTCCCTAGTGTTGTGGCGAGTCATCATCCACACCCTCGTCCTACGCCGGTTGCTTGTCATCCACGCTGTCTACTATCTAGTTACATAGTAGCTCATCGGCCGGCATTAGTTCTTGTCAGGGTGCTGCGTGAACCACACGCGTGAAAGCTACTACTGTACCTAGCCTACCTACATCTAGGTACATGTAGATAGCAGGTCCTGAGTCTAGTATTTCTAGATCCCGGTGATATATACCAATCTCCATGGCCGTGTATATCACATCCAACTTAACCGTCCATCTCATCCCTTTTTCCATCGCAAACCGCCACCATTATCCAGCGGGAACCTACCAAGTCGCACGTGGCGTTGATGGCATAGCCCTCGTGTCTCCCGAGCCGTTTATCCACCATCATCATTTATAATCACGCTTGCGCTGTGCCACGGCTGGATCCCGGAACGAACACTTGATTAAAGACGGCATAGACAGGCACTATCACAACCAAAAAAGACAACAGTATCGATTCATTATCACCCAAGTCTTTTGTTCAAGAATCGGCCTACCATGACGTTCAATCTCTTTGCGAAGGAGAGCGTGATGTTCCCGTCGCAAGGTGCACTACGCGCCATTACCATTATCGAACGAATTGGATCTGTCTTCTCACTATTAGGATGCATCTTCATTATCATTACATTCACAACTTCGAGTGCCTTCCGAAAGCCCATTAACCGGCTTGTATTCTACGCCTCCTTCGGCAACATGGCAGTAAATGTCGGGACCCTCATAGCCAGGTCTTATGTTGAAGATGAAAACTCAACTGGGTGCCAAGTCCAGGCTTTCTTGATCCAACAGTAAGTTTGTCATTATTCTATTGTCTCTACATACCTGATTAGAACGTTGCTGCAGATTCCTGCCTTCCGACGCTCTGTGGGCATTCGCTATGGCCTTCAATGTCTATCTGACTTTTTACTTCAAATTCGACGCCGAAAAATTGAAGAGAATAGAAACGTGGTACCTCTTGATTTGCTATGGCTTGCCGTTTCCACCAGCCCTAGCTTACATCTTTATACATACCCAGGAGAAGGGAAGGGTTTATGGCGACGCGATTCTATGGTGCTGGGTAAATTCCAATTGGGATGTCTTGAGAGTTGCCACCTTCTATGCACCCATTTGGTAAGTTGATCATCTGCAACTTGCCTAACTGGCATACAATGATACTGACATATCGAAGGGTTATTATCTTGGCTACATTTTTCATCTATATTCGATGCGGCAGCGAGATTTACAGGAAGCGCAGGTTATTGCGGAAAGCAGACAGCAGCAGTCATGGTGGACATGACTTTGAGTTAAGCAAGTTGGAAGAGGCCTCCCCACCGAAGACAACGGTAACAACCGAGATCCGTGTCACATCCGAGGTTGCGTCCCAGGGCAGCGAGCAGACAGAGGCCGATCTTCGAGATGCTGAAGCCAAGGGTCCTGGTGCTTACTCTATCATGATTTCATCTGGCTGCCGAGCACCCCCTGCTCCCACTGTCGTATCAGCGAATCCATCCCAAAGCAAGCCAAAACGGAAGAAGAACAGCAACGACGCGGCTTGGGCATACACGAAGTGCGCTATCCTCTTCTTCACCGCTCTCCTCGTAACATGGATCCCGTCATCAGCAAACCGGGTGTTCAGTCTTGTTCACACAGGTGAGACTGTGGTGGCATTGGAGATTCTGAGTGCCATCGTCCTTCCCCTCCAAGGGTTTTGGAACGCTATCATATACTGTGTCACATCTTGGTCCGCCGTCAAGTTGTTTTTCTCGGAAGTTCTACACCGTACAAGACACGGCGATTCGCCTTCTAACTTTGTATCGCAACAGAGAGACCGGCACGACCTTAACTTCAGCTTCAGGGGACGGAGTAACAAGGGATCTGAGGACTCCGACAGCATGAAGGAACTTGCAGGAAACGCGATCCCGATGTCAAAATCATCATGAAAACGATAGTGATCATCTAGCTTACATTAAAATAATCAATAATATATTTCTTACTTGATAGCTACAAGCCTGCCTATTTGTCACTTCCTCTGTTGACCTACGATACTGGGTTTAGGTACATATTCGATTTATATAGTTCACCTCCCCTCTCCTCTCCTCAAATCCACGACCACGCCATTCGCGATGGTCTAGATACTATGTTCACATTTTATAGTTTCATCTTTTTTTAAAGGGGAAATGGACGGCGGCTGCAAGATACCCTAACACTTTGATCACTTTTTCTGCTTATCAGAGTTCTGGTTCTACGTCTTGTTCTCTCGTCCGTGTGCGTCTCAAGATTGCTCTACATCGTAAGGGGAAAAGCTCGATGATCAGAGTGGAAGTTGGTCCAGTGTTGTCACAGACAAGCGCGGACAAGTAGGTCCTATGGTACGTCCCCTTGCATGTGTGGAAACACCTTGGCGAGACGCACTGACAATGATGGTTCCGCCCACCTGGCTTGGCACATCCCCCGCGTTGTAATTCATTTCTCCTGCAGATATCACTGCATAATACATGTGTGCGACCTATCTTCGCTGATTGTTCGTTGGTAAGCTAGCCTTTAGGCACACACAGGTTGGAAAAATGAGGCGACCAGACTAGGCACGACCAATGAAGAACCTAACCCTGTGTAATAGCGTAGCATAGGTAATCCCTAAATGGTATGTGATCGAATAGGGATCCTAGAAGTGAGTGTCAGTCAGTTCTGGTAGTCTACATATTATGCTCACTTAGTGGTACAGTATAGTGGTGTCCGGCGTTGTCGGATTTTATGTGCATGAGCTCCGCGCTGTCTCGATCACCTTAGAAGGCCTACCATCTCGTAGGCTACGCCGTAATTAGTTGGATCAACGAAATGCGCTTTTGTGGTCTCTTCCTAGTGTGGCCGCTATGTGAAAGAATTCTCCCTAAGCTTCGTGTACGTTTACATAGTATGTACATTAAATGGCGTAGTCTACCGGTAATTTCACTTGGCTTCTCCGGGTTCAAAGACCCATCTGCAAGAGGTGTTGATTTCTTGGGAAGTTATGATGGCGCTGCCAAGATTTTCACTCTCGTCCATCGAAGCTTTTACCCCATGACTTGGTGTTCTGGGCGTCCAGTCTGTGCAGCTGAATAAATCCGGGGGAGGGAACGCCAAGGTCGGCAGACGAAGTGTGGCGTATTTGGGTAGTTGTTGTACACTCAGATGGGGAGATAGGAAGAAATAACAACTGCGGTGTACTCCGTATACTTTGGAATTCTATGCCGGAAAAGCAGAGGATAAAGCTTACACGGAGAGGTTGCTATGCCACAACTGCCTTCATTGGTAAAGACTCTTCCGGCCAGCCAGAGAATATCCAGCGGAAAATATCCATGTTCTTTAACTGTTGCCCTGGCATTGGCCGAGATCTTGAAGCTAAGAGTGCTAACCCTTGCTAACCCCTTCGCTCTCTCCACATCCCGGAAATTTCGTGCATTTGATAGCTCTGCATATTATGCCCGAGCGGGGTAGAGCATGTTGGGATTCCAGTCATACATCGTACAGCCAAGCAATTCTAGCTGGTAGCCAAGTGATACAAAGGCTAAGAAAGACCAAGGAAGGCTTGGCGTTGAATTGGTTCCCGATGATGTGGTTTAGGTGGCTTATAATTCTGCATTAGCACACTCGCTAGAATATAATTTTACTGGTGGCCAACGTGATTGCCTAATAGTATCTGCTCCTTTGAATACATGTATGTAAGTACAGTCATTTTTCGTGATGACTAAGTTAAAGTACCGTGACCGATGAGGCATACCGGTATAGCAACTTAGGTTCGATTCCTAGCTACACGTGGCTGTCATTAGTAAAAGCAAACCTAGCTTGACGCCTACTTAACACTACATATGTATGTGGTTGTCGTTGTCACGTAGACCCTATCCCTATAACATCAGTTTCTGTTTAGTAAATTGTTACTTTTACATGTACTTTTTCGGCGAGTTAAGCTGAAACCCAATTATTGAGCGTACGCACCATTGGACTGTTAGTTCAAGCTCTAATCTCTAAAGCAGTTTACCATATAGACATACTTGTAAGTATGCACAGTGTGTGGGGCAAGTTAGAGAGGCAGTTTGTCTGATAAATGTCTAAGCATGCACACTTGGGTCTACTGGCACTCGAGAGCAGCTATTAGTACAATAGCTGCCAACATGTATTGCTCAAATCGCATTGCATACTAGTAATATGTGTAGTTAAATGTGTTAGACAAGGGATCCCTTCATTACAACCCGAAAGCTTCAAGAGATACTCGCGTGGCCTACTCCAGCTTGCTCGTGATCTACAACTACCTAACTATTAGTGTATCATGACGTTTTAGTCTGCTCACTGTGAACTAGTCCGTGCCAAGCCATGTACACTAGGTAAGTATGTCAAAAACATACCTGTATGTGGACACTATTATATACATAACTGAATGTCTGGTGAAATCACCGACGGCAAACATCACGATCTATGTTTAGATCATAAACAGATCGTATCTCATTCTGTTGATTTGAAAACTCCTAGTCCCTTTTTTTTTTTTTTTTTTTTTTTTTTTTTCTTTCAGTGTCATTACTCTCAACTAATAGCTTGACAGTAGGGCCGAGGGAGATGCGTTAGCTTCGTTGAAATCATAGTGTGGCGTCTTTTAGCAATAATAGGACGGGTGCGATACTAGGGTTTCGATGTACCGTACGTGTGTTCAGGCTACAATTTCTGTGTACACGTAAAATACCATCGCGAATGCCGGTATCCGTGAAAACGGAAACTTTGAATCCGTTTCATTCTAGGATTTGCAACACCGCAAAACCAGTTGCTTGCATAGAGTAGAACAACAGCCTGGCGTAAATTGGGGGGCGAACGAGGCTTAAGATATTTGCGCGATTAAACAAAAACTGCCTAAGCATCCAGTTAAACTCTGGGCTGACGGCTTCAGTCGCTGCATCGTGCGTCATGTTGCCAGACAAGATAGGTTGCAAAGTCCAGGACACTTTGTTGGGTGACGATCTTGGTCCTAATTAGGCAACTAGCGCAGTCAGCTATTAATCAGCGCGAACAAGTTACATCAGTATATTTTGATCTACAAGGCTAGATACCAGGGTTATGTGACCCAGTTACTTGGTAACTGTTATCCTCTGCCGAAAGCTTACGGGTAATAATCTCCGCAAGTGGTCTACATGTAAATTTGGCGGTATATTGGAGGGCACTACAAATATTGAAGTTTCTTTATTTCTTAAGTGGTCTGGATTACCTATACTGAAGATCTACGCAAATACCCACCGAAAGGGATGAGCCCCTGGATCTAGATAGGCTTATGTATATTGCAACGCAACGAACTCTACAACCAACATAGGCTGCCAACATACTCACAGTGTAATTATGCGTAAATAGTCTACGAGGGTTACGGGCAGGCCCAACAGGATACGGGCTGCACTTTAATCGCACATAACGTGATGCATGTGAGGATGAAAGCGGTCATAGCTCAGAAGTACCTCTGGACCGCCATAAGACTGCTATGTTATAGGCTGGCCTTCACGCTTCGGGTATACTGCTGTGACCGCGCTTTTCCACTGGCTGAAGAGTGCGTGAGAAGCGGACTTTCTTTGCAATATGTATACATCGGCACGCTAAGGCTTTTTGGCTTATGATCAAGTCTGGATTGTTCTGTGACACGCCCTTGTAATTACGAATGGAATAAGAGAGGGGGTTATGAAACTCCTCTCTTAATCGATGGAGTGCTCTCAAGACGTCGTACCGGGTCTTGTACAAGTGAGACCGAGAATCATCCTCCAAGGTCATGGGAATTGACGATTAGAGACTGTAACCAGAGCGATGGTGCCTTCGTATTCGCATAGTTATGATCATAAGAGAAGCCTGTGAGGGGTGGTTACCTAGATCATATACACGTACTACTCAAGAGAGAGACATTATCTCAAGTGTTACATGTCAATCATTACGTTTTATGTAATGTGTACCAATATGTATAAGCTACATAGATTGCGGAATATCTGGCTTGCCAATAGAACTGTGAGGACTACATACACTAGTTATACAGTCAGCTATCAAGGGTCATTACGTTGTTTTATCTATTCTAGAAAAAAGAGTTTACTATAATGCTCAATACAAGTAACTATGAAGTTCTAGGTTACTAATTCTGGGAAACAGTGACTGCGCAGCTTGACGGGTTCACATCTCCGTATGTAATAACAACAACCATAATGGGTACAAAGGTAGAGGCAAAAGCCCCCTGTATCTAAATATTTAAATATAGTTGAAGAAGAAGACCTAAGCTCTTCGTCACATTCCATAAATCAAAGACTACGACACGGTCTCCGAAAGGACCTCGCCACCCACTTCGTCACAGAACATGGTTCTTTCCAAGGTAAAACGTCCTGCACACCTCGCATAGTCCGTTGTTTAGGATTTCAATTATTTTCGAATTCTTGTGGTTTAATGGATGGCTCGGCTCGCCGTCCTTGAGGTCCGAACACCGTCTCATAAGCTTATGACCTATGCGCTCGATTTCGCAGTTTTCGCACATATTCACCTGGTATTCACACATCTGATACTCCGTTAGCGGCGAGGACGAAGAACGCATTTTGGGTTAGGTGGGGATACCTACGGTTGGATGCGGAAGACGTAAAAGTGAAATAACCTAGTGCGTTATGTCTGAATGTCTACAGGGTAGGCCAAGATGTCTTGGGAAGTTATGTTGAGATTGCAGCAAAAGCTTCTGCCGATGGTTCCTTGGATCGGGGCTAGGTTGAGGTCGTATGAGTATTATATGGACTAGAATGATTTATTCGAGGCAGGAAACCTGTATCATTTATATAGGAAAATGAAGGCTCTTTTTACGCCTTGTATTACATATTACAAGCTGATGACCCCGACTTGTCAGTATCTCAAACATTTCAAGCAAATTATCGGAACCGGTGAGCCGACAGTTCCAATAGGGGCTTACACCTACAGGAATATTAATCAATCTTACCACTCTCATCGATCACAGACAGGACACCGGAATTTTCTCAGGTAGCAAACACTTTCGGGGATACGCGTATCAATGGCAATGGTCGCTCAAACAGAGCACAAATTGAAGTGACTTACAACGAACTCTCTGCTCCTGTGTAGCGATACTTAAGTTACACTCACATAATCGACATGGCGAAGCAGAGAGGGGCTGAAAAGGGCCTCATATATGAGCAAATGAAACGGCCTCTTAACTTACCGATAAGAAAGAACATGGTAATAGTTGGTAGTCCAACTAGGAAATATGAACACTGCGAATGCTACTCTCCCGTCGCAGCACTTCATGATCGAAAGACCACAGTTGTCCAAAAGCCTAGATGTGGCCGATGCGGTGTTATTCAAATTAATTTCTGTTGTTCATTAGCAATGTCTGTGCCTGTTTGTCTGCAGTATCTGTTAGCTACACAGAAACCATGAAATCCCGATGCTCACGCTACGCGGCTTACGGTAGTACTAATACGACCTACAGGCTGTTCACATGATGATTTTTTTTTATGTAGTTTTTGCTATCGTGGTTGATCTAAATAGCTGCATAATTGGCACATGTATAAATTGTCTGCGACTGCCACATTTTCTAGAGGTTTTAACAACTTACCAAGAACAAAACCTCCTCAGCAAGCCCCCCACTTAGATGAAAATTATGATGCGAGCGAACATTTTTCTAGCCTTATTTACTTGGTCCCTGCTTGCTAATGGGAGATGGGGCAACCTGAAAGATCCAAATAATAGACAGCCGATGCTGACAACGACCATCGAGACCGCACCAACCTCGACGAGGTCGACGAGCCAGATGTGTATGTGCGACGACAAATGCAAGCTTGACAACGGGTGCCCATGCACATGCAATGAATCCGAGTGCGATGAGCGCTCGCCGTGGTGCTGCGCGAACGGGAGCTGTCCGTCGTGCGACTGCAACGAGAAAGAGTGTTCGTCGAGCTCGCCAGCGTGCTGCGCGTCAGGAACATGTGCTTGGTCGTGGACTGGTGGTGGCGGTGGGTTCGACTTTGTCGCGGCACATTTTTAAGATGCCAACTTCACCAAAGTCTCAGCCGCCGGTCAAGGCGTGTGATGATACCAACCGTGTCGGGCATGGGGCCATTTACGAATGCTTGTGTTCGATGACTTGATCACAGCCGCGGCTGTATACAACTAGATTATGTCCAGCCATCTGTGGCTCCTCGGCTGGTCTGCAGGCGATTTATACGATCCTGAAGGTGTATGGAGGCACTTGCTATTGCTAGGCTGCTGTAGCAACGTATGATGGTATCGTGTCCGGAACGGCGGATGGGGGCTTCGAAACGTGAGTATGGTCGCCTGCTTTCTGTTACCCTGGCGGATTATGTGGTTCTAGCGGTAGTGTTGACGAAAAGTTAATTGCCAATGGTCCTAGTCCTGGGACGCAATCCGATTAATTACTCCCTCTCTTTCTTTCTTAGCAGAACTAACAGGTTATCATAATTTGTTAACGTATTTCCCGTGCGTGTAAAGGTAGTACGAGAATCTCCGATAGAATTATTGTCCACGTCACGAAATAAGGCATACTACACTTAGACTGAAATAGGGCCGGTGAGCTCCCTATAGGCCGCGCATGATAAGAAATCTTTTGGAAATAAAATCTAGTTGGCGTTATGTGATTCAAGCAAAGTATTCTGAACGATAGTCTATCAAAAAGTGACTCTACGCTTCTAAAGTGGAATAGACAGGAACCCAACACTAATTCCTACTCCAAGCACTGTCCAACAAAGGATCAGAAAGAGCCTGCTTTTTGAAGTCCGCCCAACTAGGATGGCATAAAGAGTGCCGAGAGACAACCAGAAGAGGATCGGAATGCAGAGTACATCAATAATGTATTCTTCTTCATATGGAGCAACCCGCAATAATGTGTATATGCCGCTTGCTAAGACGCTTGCCACCAATATGCACAAGCCTACCAACCATATGCGCTCCCCAGCAAGCCACTGTCGAAATGTACTAGTATGGGTAAGTGTGCCGAATGATATAGAGCCACCACCTAGTTCAGTTTTGATGGTATTCTTCAATAGTTGATCCGAGGTTGTGTACGCTTTAACATTACTTTCTGTCAATTGTTCGTCGATGCTCCCCACCAGAATTCCCATAGCCTGATATCCTTCGGGGATCTCAGTATCTTTCGCAACTCGATACCGAGCATGGCTTGAGAGAACCAAGACGAGACAACCAATGATCCAAAGTACGATGAATTCGATTAAAAATAATGCCTGGAGAAATGAGGCACCCCACTGATACCTCTATCAACACATGTATGTCAGCCAATTCTTTTCATACTACCGGTATCTAGACTGCACCCACGTCTTTGACTGGCACGCAGACCCCCTGCCGCCGAATTACGCTTTCGTATGTCTCATTGGGGTTGGTCATGTCTCCCCAGCTGGGGCTGGAAATTGGAATTAGGTTGTTGTCATCAGTGTGAATAAAGGCTTCATTGAGTGTTGTATAGCCAGTTGTACTTCCAGCTAATGTCGGAAAGGCCAAAGACAACATTATGCTGTAAATAAGAAAAGCGCTGGCCCATTTTGACGCGAGGCCTCTAAACTTAATGAAGTCGTAAAGTAAGCTTGCTGTAGATGATATAGAAGGGCCACTGTCAGTGAATAAGATGCGATACGTGGCGAATGTGACAGGCTGTATAGCCATAGACACCGCCGCATACTCAGCGAAAAGTTTCCATGTAATGAGAGTCAAAGTTGCCTGTCCGCCACGTCCAACTATCTACGAAGCAAATATTAGCTCCTCTGTTGCAGGACTATCAAGATACTAAGCGGCACAGCAGAAACTAGGATAGGGTTCTTACTAGGTCCCAGATAGTATCGATGACCTTCGCCTGTGTGAATGTCAGGTTCCCAGTAGCGATGTTCACCTGGAAAAGATCCGAGGTGGCCCAGAGATTTGTATAGACAGGCTTGATGGATCCGTCAGGACTACAGTAGCTGGTATTTAGCGCCCCGAAAAACCTTAGTTTAGCCACAATCATATAAGCTGCGGCAAAAAATATCATAGAAAAGATCCAAGGTGTGAGGTTAATAGGGCTCTGTCGAATGTCCGCTATTGTTTGGTGGTAGAATTGAAAATAGCGTTTAGCGACAAGCCGGTTCGATTTCTCAGAATAGGACAATTCAATGTCTGAATCGTCTTGCTCTAGGGGCTGTTCCATGCTCAAAGAGTCTAGAGATAGTCTCGACAAATCGATTTGTCCTGGCTTTGTGAACATTGTTGGGGTGAAATAGGGTTAACCATGCGCAATGCGTTGAGATGAAGCAAATTTAGAGACATTAGCAGGGGTTCATCTGAGATGCCCGGAAATGATGAGGGGACGGCTGTGTATTTACAAGTAAGCCGAGCAATCACCCATATTAATTGGAAACAGCAATGGCTACTTCACCATTGACGAGGCAGACTGATAGTGGCGCGGACCACTCAGGCATTTGGCCCCCAAATACGCCATCTCTCATGACACGGGAGTCTTACGGGCAGCGAAAACGGAGCCATGACCTAGTGCAGTCCAAAGGGAGAAGATGGTTACTGTAATGGAGTAGTTTATGTCTAAATGGCAGGTATATAAGCGTTACATTCAAATAGATCTGTTTGATGAGAGAAGTAGGCATGCCTCTTTATACATATGAACATACTTTCTTGTCTTAAATACGTAGACATTACGAATTTGGTGAACAGGTGATTGTGAGGTCTCAGATGAAGCCAAGCGAGCCTGCCTACATATTATGGTCAATCATCGCTCTTTGATTTTGGTGTGGTGGAACAACGGTGCAACCGGTAGGGGTCCCGATGTTGCAATTGGCTTCCTGTTCCTGCAGGTTATAATACCTAAAGAAATAAATGGTAGGGGAATGCAAAATCTGTGATATGGAGTTGTAAGCGAGCGCGACGTTGTATTGTTGAAAAGACGGTTTAGAAGACTATACGCACAGCCTCAGGTAGGTAACGTTTCAGATTGGGTAGTTGGCACAGATTGGGTATCTGAAACCCTACAGGTAGGCAATCGGTATACTAATGAGTTGTCACAAGTTGCTACCTGACATAGCATGGCTTTGCTCCTTGGTTGTACAACTTTCTCCAACAAGACAGGGCGCATCACTGGCTTTGGAACTGACTCTGTGCCGCTGAATCGGGGTGATTTATGCAGCATCGACAGCACAGTTTGAATCGTTCATTGATCTGTCTCCTCCAATCGCCTGCCAAGAATAGCTCCTAAGATACTCAATAATGAGAGGCTGTGTATATCCCGCAATTATCGCGGCGGTAATAGAGATATTGAATATAATAGCTTATCGTAGGAGCATAAAGATTGACGGCATTTACGGAAACCACATTCATTTTATAGGATGCTTCGAATGTACATGAAGCCTAATCCTTTATCAACACGACGAGCAATACAGACGAGTACAGTCGTATTTGACTTATTACCCTGTGGAATTGTAGCCGAAACTACAGCTGATTACCTGCTCCCCAGGTTCATGTTACAACAGGGGGAAGCTCAGCACGATGCTTGAGGAAGAATCATGAGCATTCAACTGAGTAGAAACGTCCTCAGATGTTGCATATACTTCTCGCGCTGATCAATATGAGCAAAATGAGCTGCGTTGTCGAGGGTTACCCATTTGACCTTGTCGATATTGTCGAAGAAAGGTTGCATCGCAACATCCTTTGCCTCATCTTCAGCTCCGTTTATGAGCAGTGTGGTGGCCTTAATACCGCTCAATTCCGGGATGGAGGTCCAATTACGGAGAGAACCAGAAACGTAGAGTTCGCTTGGGCCATACCTAGCTCAACTGTCAGTTACTACTGTCATTCTTTTCATCAACGACTAATAAACTGTCGTAGCAATAGGTTGCTGGGGTAGGATAGCTTACATTGTGCCGTACGTGGTCGAGTCCTTGGCAAACCACTCGAGCGCAGCCTGAACTTCCTTCGCTGGCCAAGGCCTAGCAAGGCTAAGATGTCTCTTATAGAAAACCTCGACAGCGGCCTCATATTCCGGCGTCTCAAACTCCAAGGTCTCTTCGGCGCGATCAAGAACCTCCTGGACATCAAGAGGTAACTTCTTCCGCAAAGCCGTAATGCCGATGCGCCAGACATCCATACTAGCCAGACTGCTCGCGATAACGAGGCGGTGAAGATTCGCAGCGCCCGGCCGCGCGGCCCATTGCGCAATGAACATCCCACCCCACGAATGGCCGTACACATTGATGGGGCGACCCGTCAATTCGAGATGGCGCATCAAGTTCCGAAACTCGTCGATGAAAAGCTCCGGAGTCCAGAACTCTTCATCTCCGGCTTTATCCGGCAGATGAGTTGAGCGGCCATTCCCGATCTGATCGTAGAAGACAAGCGGCATCGACGGCGCCAGGTCGGCAAGTGGGAGCAGGTATTCGTGGCATGCTCCGGGTCCTCCGTGGACGATGATTAGGGGCACAGCTTCGGACTTAAGATCGCCGATGACCTTGTACCATGTCTCGCAGGGAGAGGAGACACCCGCCACCTTGAATTGAGCTATCCCTTCCATTTCCTGATTTCGCGATGGAGCTGAGAAAACCGATTGAATGTGATATATAATAGGTCGTGTACAAGGGGCTGGTCTTGGCGATGGGAAAACTGATACGGTATTAGATGCGCTTTAGATTGGTAAGCATAACATATGTTGATAGATGCATGTAGATATGGAATCCCCTTCCAAGATCTTATGCTGTTGGTCATTGTAGATGCAGAAGATAAATGTAGTAATAAGAACTCTACAGATAGGCCCACCAATCACTCCCCTGGCTTGGCCTTGTGTCTATCCCTCAGCGGCATGCAATTCCCGGTTCATGTTCCCGGTTCAGCCACACTGTATCAGACAGGTAGCTAACTAACACCTGGATGGTGAAAGCAAAGCTGTCATAACAGTATTTGTCCTAGGAAAATATCGCAAGCACATGACAGTAGACATAAGCAAGCATGAAAAAAACTGCACACTATATTCTTTGAACCTATCTCGAGGATCTATGCCCTAGAGAATGCGTCCCAGCGTAGCTGAACCTTCTTGAGCCCCTTACCATCACAGAGCTGTCAATGTACTATCAACCGAAAGATAGACAACAAGAATAGAACAAAGTGAAGAAAGCAAATCCTGAGCCCGGAACTAGCTATAGCTCACTAGTTTCCGGTGGGGTATAGAGTGTCCTGCCATGTAAAGTCCCCTGAATACAACCTGTCCTGGACGCCTATGACATTATGTCATGATACCTTTTGAGCACCATTTGGTATGCTGCAAAACAATGACCAATAGCCCATTTCACTGCCTAGTGAACAGATCTTGAACTCTTAATAGGATCTTCTTTCACAGCAACAATGTGAGAGCACTGCCAGTATGTACCTAAGCTCACACATTCCTCGACTATCTCCTGATCTTCCCACCACCAGTGTGATGCCTGAACGAACCCACCCCAGATTTCTTGCCACAGCATTCTGTTGGACAAGCAGCGAAGCTCTACCTTTAAGTCTTCTTTACTCGGGTTCTTGGGGATAATTGGGACCGCTTGTATGGTTTTAGTGGCAATGGTACTACCTTTCCCGCGAAGACGCCCCACCGCTAGCCAGGCCGGGAATGTTTCACTTGGCCACGTGGTACGAAAGGCTTGTTCTAGGTTAATCAAAAGATTGGTAAATAGCCACTGTCTTAGTTTAGGCCCCATGGAAGATGACACTGGCTGCGGGTCAATGATGGTCAAATGCAGAGCGCCTCCTGGTGCCAGGCATCTGTTGATATGGCGGAGCAGTGGAGGTATGTCTGTGGAGGGAAGTAAAGCAGGCATTGCCAAACATGTCACCGCGGAATATAGCTGGGGAGGGAGAGCTCTGGAGCTCGCTGATACTGAAATCGTCGGGACTAGTAGTGGATGAATGTTAGGGAAAGAATGAGGTGACAGAGGTTGAGGTGAGAGATGAGTAATAGAAGCTGCCGGGTACAGAGCCGCGAGGAACGAAGCAGATGCTGTAGATATAGTTTAGCCTTTTTCTTATGGAAACACAATTAAGGATAAACTTACTTGGGGTCTCATAAAGTGCTAGAATTCTGTTCCGCTTGGGTACAGTTGCAGATTCTGGACGCTCGTTTGGGCGATCCATCAATTGCGCGTAGCCGTCCTGTCGGTGCAGTGCAGAAAACATCCAACGCTTCTTAGTCATCTCGAATTCTTTATATACCGTTGCATCTGCGGCTTCTCCCATGCTTGATTTCAGATTTGCCAGCATCAATTCTGAGCTAGCTGCTGCCATCATTCGGAGCTCCCTCTGTACTACTGGAAGAGTTGGGATCGCAGAGTTGTTTGCGTTTTTTGTGACTAATGTCGTCTGTGAGCATTCGCTAATAGTATCCGCGTTGCTTTTTTTAGTTGGAGTGCAATCCCACTCATGCGGCGGCTTCCACGCCTCAGAGTCTCCTAAACGGCGACGGCCTCTACATGTCGGGGACGACACAGCTCGGCTGGTATGATTATCAGTAGGTGGCGGTGTGTGAGGAAAGTTGTACGGAGGTGGGAAAGACCCAGACTCTTCGCAAGCTTGCGGGGTTCTGTGGAATATATCAGTTACTCCTTCCCCCCACGAAGATATAATCACTTACGACTCTTCAGGCACATCCGCCAAAGGTGGAGTTTGGATTTTGACCCCATCCGATGAAATATGAGTTTCAGTGAGCATTTCATCAATTTGGTCAATGTCCTCTTCTGTGCGTTTCGAGAAGGTAGTTTCGATAGTTCGAGTGACGAAAGAGGATGGGCCAAGTCTTTGCACGTAATTCTCTGTTATGACTTTTGGTTCAGCCTCCTTTGCGACGATCTTTTCAAAGACGCCAGTTGCGACGGCCGCTTGGTGGGCCCATTTAGAGAGAGCAGAGTCTAGTGTATTCGAGTTAGAATCATAGAGAAGCGAAACTAAGGTAATGATTCTCACCGCGTGGTACTGGTGAACAAGTTGCGCCAATCTCCGTTGGAGACTGTAATGGTGCAACGGCACCATCAGAAGTCTTGGATACAGCTTCAAGTACATCATCATTGGCGACCGCAGCTTTAACCCCATACTGCGAGTTTCTATTGGCCTTTGTCGTGCCGCATTCTGATTCTTCGCAGCTAGCAGCGTAAGGGTTTGCCTTTCCATCTGACGTTGTTGAGCCCTTTTTCTTGGATTTTCCAGAGAATAAGCTGAAGCCTCGGTCGCTAGTCGCAGACGAGCTGCTGGTTGACACGGATTGGCGAATGCTTTCAGCCCTCCTCTTCTCCTTTTCCTTTGCCTCTTGTTCCTTTCTCAACATCCGCTGCCCCATACGCTCCACATTGGGATCGGTCCATATGACGTCAAACATGTTGGCGGACTGAAGCTCAGAGTGATCGTCTCGGCACGTCTCAAGTCTCTATGGGATTTATATGAGATGACAGGGAGAAAACTGAAGGTCTGTTAGTAAAGAATGCGCGGTTAGTCAAGATCGGCACCCGTGGGGGCGGTTGGCGTCCTCGTACATTTATGCCATGCCTTGCGTCCTGGTGCGCAACATAATTGGTGTTGCCAACGCCAAGGTTCCCTTCCCTGCTGTAAGGCGTTACCAGCCAGCGGGCCGATGAGGTTGGCGCGATTGAAACAGCAAGGCAGCGTCCGATTGCAGTAGTTGTGAAACGGACAATATGGCGCAGAGGATCAATTACTCGGATCATATATCGTGGTAGGTAACAATGCAGAACACAATTCGGGTCATGAAAAGAGCTTTCTCGTCTTCAGCTCCTGTTACAAAGTCGGCAAGTCGTAGGAACAGCCGTAGGGAACAATGGGAGTGGAGGAAGAGCGTGAACCACAGAGAGGATCGAAGTTGATCGATGAGAGGTAGAGGCGAAAGCGGATGTGTGTGTGTATGTGTGTGTGTGCTGGAGGAGAGATCGCAACTGGTACAACAGAAGCTTCGGGGATGACACGAAGACGCGACAAACAATGGAGAACAAGAGTTTCAGTGAAACGCACCTGAAGCTGGACCAACCCCGATTTCGAACACGGAGGCAGCTTGCAGGAAGTCGCACTTGCTCTCACTACAGGCACAGAGCACGAATGCAACTGCCCGCCTTGGTGTTCTTGCTCTTGCCTACAATCTTGTCTACAATTCGGCTCGGCGGCATGGTCCGCCCTTCGGCCGTGGGGTGCGCAGACGGGTGGAAAGATACAAACAGAAAGGTAACCAATGGTGCCAGATGCCACAATACAGACACATAGATGGACCTACCTATGTAAGTACCTGCATGTACCTACCTACCATCACAGTCATTGATTCGGGCCAGGAGAGGTGCCGAGCACATGCCACATGCACATGTGGCTATGAACTGCCAGAGCTTGTGATCTGAACGTCTGGTCTTTGCTTGAAGTACATCGGACGATTCATGAGTCTTGACTGTTGTATCCACCTCCCGGAAGGCACAGATCACCGGGTAGTTTATTGTTCAAGATCTGCTTGTCCAATCACCCAGCCGGGTGGGAAATGTGCCCATGTACCCAAGGGTGGAATGTACAAGGGCGTACCTATATTGGAATTGCCCTTCGCGGGAGGATACCTGTTGTATGTTTGTATTATATACCTCCTACATGTACCTACCGAGGTACCGAGACACCTCCGTGTTGGAAAGGCATCGAGGATACATATATTCCTAGAAATTTCTTAACCGCGTGAATATCTTGGATGTCGTTGACGCTTCTAAGTAAAGTCATACGCACCCAGCCCAAGCTGCTACATGTGTAGATATTATACCTAGCACAAGTCCTGTGGTTATAGCTGCCAACGGGATGTGCATATTGTGTCTCCTTGGGTGTTCCCAGGAGTCCCCCTCCCTATGATTATTTGGCGCTACACCTTACACTTGTACTACCTCCCTAAAGGGAAATTGTCGATTCTTGGGTTGCCTATCTAGTAAATTTGGGTATAAATTTCCCGTATGGATGACAGGCTAACCTGGGCAGAGGGATCCCCGGGTTATTGTGTCTGTTAGTACATGTGAGGGATTCCGTTTGCGTCTGGTCCAGATGCTATCATGTGAATTACGAAGATAACATGGAACTGCTAGTCTTCAGATATCGTGTCCGAGCTAAATAGCATAACTATGCAGTATAGCTGATATCCGCTTAATCAGATCCTCTTACCTAATCTTGGAGCTATACGACGTTGCAGAAAAAGCGAGAAAAAAAAAGGATTCTACAGGATTCTGTCACGAATGTCTAACATGAATGCAACCGCAACGGCGGCTGCGCTTGTGCAATCACCGAGCCACAAGTTTGCTCACAGCCCCCCACAAAACCCGTCAAAATTCTCCGAGTTCCAGGGCCGCGTGTGATATGTCTCCAGCTTTGATTCGCGATGCTCTCCTGTCTTCATCACATAGTGGTATCCCAGTCTAGATAGTAGATGCTGAACCCCCTACGGTTGCGTTGTCTGGCACAATAAAGTGTCCTATATAGGGCAAAAGTAGCTGGAAGGTATCATCATGTCAACTCAATTCAGAGTGAAGGCATAATCACTGCTATCTGAGCACGATCTTCAATCAGAATGTTGCACCTTCAAGCGTCTAGATATGCGGTTTTCTCCCCCTAACACTGTATAAACTCCAAGTCTCTCCTTTCGCTTGCTCATGCAATCATCTTAGTGTAGGTTTGTTTTGGTCCGTATTGTTGCTCCATAGTGGCCCAACAGTCTCAGCAATGGCTGCATCGTGCCCTAAGCTATGATATGCAACTGGTGCGGCGGTGTCTTAGGAGCAAGCCATAGTGTATAGGCGGAATCGGACTCATGAAACACCTCGTTATTTCCACGAGTATTCTAACCAAATTGTCTTAGTAGGTATTTGTTCATCAGCAAGCCCGTCGATCTTATTGACCCATCGAAGACCTATTGACACTGTGACAGTTTTAGTCAATGATGCATATAACCCCACATTGTCCATTGACACTTGATTGTTTTTTCCCAGCTATTTTGATCTTCGAGAGAAATATGCATCTGGAGTACTTGTAGGGTCGATCTAAGATATCTTCGTACCACGATTCCAAAACTCCAGGCAAAGGGAGTCGCTGTACATAGGCGTTGAAGCCTTCGTTCAGCAATAAGTGTGGATATAATACTCCATGGTTGCAGTTCTTACAATTTGACATATGAAATCCGTCATCAGTTTGATATTCCTAGATATATGTTTACAACCGGGGATATCATTGACGGCTTTGAATATATATTGTAGACATTGCCATTTCGATCCAACTGCGGTACCTCTCCTAAATAGACGTTGCTGACATCTAATATGGCGCTTAGTAACGTGGAATCACGCTGAATTGACGACCCGGCTGTGATGGTGTCGAAATTCTACGTAGCCTACCACACATGTATTCTATCCTCTGTGTGTCTCATGGGAATAATATACCTTGAAATGTCTTATTAGATGCGTAAACATGCCTGCCTGAGAGATTTATCTGGCTCATCTCTATTTCCGGAGACTGTTCACAATCAACGGGATCGTAAGCGAGGAAGTCTGCATCATCACTGTAGCAATGAAGAACCTACAAGTCGGACAACCACAACATACAGGTCTATATCGTACAGAGAACATATGATAGACTGCATCGTCTCCAGACCCCCGCTTCGTCTCCCGCGAACTGGTTCATCTGTGACACCCAGATCTCGGCAATTGGCCAATTTTCCCGCGTGTCTCGTTTTTTCGCCCGTTGTCAACGCCTATGACGGGACTACTGTCGATTCGTGGCTCTCGATAATGTAGGACGAGGCAAGACATTTCTTCTGGCAGCTTGCATATTTGTGTCGACCTCGGCTCTACTCCTCCCACCACTTCGAGCCCACAAGAGACCCGTGATTCCTCTGATATAGAGTTCATAGCAAGATTAGCGGCTCACCAGATCCTAGAGGCATTTGACTACATCGAAGGTGGGGTCGGCAGTTGAATCCACCTAGTAACAGAGCAAACTGAAAAGATCCATGGTTGCGGGTATGCATGCAGTGGTCGACCGGACAGCTGCAGGGGGGTTGGTGGTTTGTACAGCGGATCAATTCAGCACAGGCAATTTTCCTAGTTTTCACAATGTAAGTATGACAGCACACCTTACTCTGCTGACGCTAAAGATGAAGATGTTTATTGTAGAGACGCTGTAAATGTGAGAAAGGACAATGTAGATACCAACAAGTGCCTGGCGGAATATCTCACAATTGCTAAGTAATATATCAACGGCTGAACAGAAGTGTGCACTGCCTTGAGATAGTAGTTCGGAATCGGCTGTATGTACGCATGGCCGGGTCTAGGGGTCGGCTTCCCGGCATCCTATCAGCCAATTCCCAGACATAAGGGGAAGCCTGATCCAGCAGGAGACCGTTCAAGCAAACCCCTTGCGTGGATCCTGCCGTTCATCCCAGCATCCCCCTGCCTCCCAGCAACGTGGTACGCTTTAGCACGTCTTTGCTATTATTGCCTCCGAACGTTCCTGTCTATACTTTCCGGCTGAAATACAGTGAACTATATGCGTCATTAGAAATAGCGAGCTGTTTGTCGCTCAGCATGTTCTTGGGTGGCCATTTATTTTAAGAGAAGAATCAAATGGCTATGAAGCATGCAGAGGTAGAGTGATAGAGATATCACCTAGGTAATTAGCAAGAACTGAAATATTCTAGTTAAAACTAAGGGTTGTTACACGAAAATTACGAAAATTGGAATCAGGAACCACTACATATTTCTTGATAAAAAACTGGTGCTGCTGCTCTTTAGGTAAGTGGGAGCTTTATAGGACAATAACTACCTTATCCCCTTAACCCTTAACCTTGCACATCCTTGCCTCAATATTGTACATTGTATACAGCTCTACAAATTCTGGAGATCTAACTGGTACTTCTTCCCTGAATACAAAATAAACAATGGTGGGGGGGCTGAAAATTTAACGCTAAATCTTCAGCAGGAGCAGATAACTCAATGGAGGACTTTATAAGCCGCAACCCCTTACTTCGTTTTCTCTATTTATTCCTCCAACCACAGTACAAACAGCTTTCAAGTGAGGAGGCCACATGAAAATTTGAAAAAGGCGGTCCCAATAGGGATTCTAGTACCAAGGGCGGTGCAGGTACCCGTGCAGATACCAAGGATATGCCTCCTATACTTACAACCTGGAGGTGTGTGCTACCTACCTAAATACATACCTACCTACTAACATAGGTAGGTACATATATCCGTACACAAAAGAGGTACATTGAATACAACATTGAATACAATGCAAAATACAAGGGGACAAAGGTAGATGGGATACATAGCACTTGCTTAAAATTAGGTATTATTACGTGCCTTCTCTTGCTACTCCATGCATGCTCCTGCTCATGCCCATACTCGTGGATTTACATCCCACGCGCCTTCTGTCACTAAGCAACGGGTGCTCCCAAGTCGAGTGTATGTGCCCACTCAAAACACATTAGAAACATGGGTCAATGATTCATCCTGCTTTCTCTTTTTTCTCTTTCTCTACACACAAGCCCCAAGTACCTAGGTACCTACCTACCTACACACATGCACATGCATACATCGTGATGGTGGACTTCCTTTGGCGTTGCACTAACGCACATACCCATGTACCGTGTTTTTCTCCATCTCCCCTATTTCTTCGACTGGATAGCCCGAGTCACTGGTTCCCATCATTCCCAGCGACCTGGTTCTCTGGTGCCCTGGACCAAGCTTGGTAGGTTCAGGCTATGTTCCCTCTCTACGTCAACTGTACAGACTTGTTATTGGCTCGTGTCACCTCTAATTTTGATTCTGTCCTCACCGGAGATACATCAATTGTCTCTCAACACACTCTCTTCTCACCTTTCACGGGGTGCACCTACAGTCCATTTTCAGTCTGTAGACACCTTGCCTCCCTTGCCTACCTCACCTACCAACCTACCGACCTACCTACCGTACAGGCCGTCCCCTTGTCCACCCGTCTCTTCATATGTTCACATGTCCTATACTTCTCCTGTCTCTCTCTTCTTTTCTGTGAGGCACCACCTTAATACTTCTCTCTGTCTTTCTTGTCCCATTGACTCTGATTACTTCTATGTTGTTCTGATTTCAAACTCGATTCTGCACTAATTGTGCCTTCATACGCCACTGTATTTCTTACATTCGTTTTGAGGGTTGGAGCTGTCTCTGTTCTGACAGCTCGGTCGGAGACTTTGGCACCTTGATTCCTATTCACGGTGCCAGAAGACTTCACGCAAAATAATCAAAACAAAACAAAGATCCATTATCAACACAGCGGTTATTTTGTGTGCCTACTTCCAAAGTCCAACGCATACTCTACTATCCTGAACGTGTCATCATACTTTTATTATTCTACTTCATCCAAATTCACCAACTTTGTTGATATCAGCTAGGGGTCTAAATCAGGAGACAAAATGCGGTGGTTTGCCTCCATTCAGAATGCCTTTGACAAGGCAACAGAGAAGTTCTCTGCATTGGACCAGAGGATTAACAGGTCGACTTTTGGTAGAGTCTTCCGTCTTGACGGTTCCGGCCATGTAAGTTGATACCCACAACCTTTACAGCATCTTACTTCGGGATATTTCCTCTAGAACAGCCCTGAACCCCAATCTGTGCACTCGACACGGTACATCCTTGCCCTATACTAATCATGGGCAGCCAAAATCCATACGAGGGGCCACTTTCTTTAGAGAAGTTCGGGCCGGCTTGACAACATTTGCCACCATGGCATACATCATTGCCGTTAATGTAGGTATCGCACTTCCAAGTCTTGTACGTACAGTCTCCTAACTCTTACCTAGTCAGCAATTCTCTCAGATTCTGGAGGTACTTGCGAATGTCCAGAGGGAACCCAACCCGGCTGCCCTGGCGACATGTCCATGTCAATGTGTCAAACCAGTGAGTCCTCATACTGTCGCCAGACATATCCTTGAATAACGCGACTTCTTCTAACCCTCAATTTGCAGACCTGAAGCGTGACCTAATTACCGCGACCGCAGCCTTGGCCGGCCTGTCAAGCATTTTGTTCGGATTCTTTACCAATCTTCCTGTCGCTCTTGGGTTAGTACGCCTATCCCACGATTGGGACCATCTTTGATTCGGACTCAAATTTTGTCTGACTTGATTCTAGACCAGGCATGGGACTCAATGCCTATTTTACGTACCAGGTTGTCGGCTGGCGAGGTTCTGGCCCTATACCGTATCGTATTGCACTGACTGCTATCTTCGTCGAGGGGTTCATCTTCATGTTTCTGGCGCTTACAGGAATGCGACAATGGCTGGTTCGCATGATACCAGCTACTATCAAAACTGCCTCTGGTGTTGGTATTGGACTTTTCCTTACTGAGATCGGCCTGTCCTATTCTGCTGGCATTGGCGCAATTACTGGAGGTTTTACCACGCCATTAGCCATTGGTGGTTGTCCCCCTGAAATGCTAGACAGTAGTGCCGAATGTAGCGGAAAGATTATGGCAAACCCTGCTGTATGTCTTCAATCATCCTAGCTACACTTTTTCAAAGAAGAAGCTTACCTGTTTGGCAGATGTGGATCGGAATTTTCATCGGGGGGGTTTTGGTCGCCTTCTTGATGGCATTCAAAGTCAAAAGCGCCATTATTATCGGCATTGGATTGGTCTCGATTCTCTCTTGGCCGTCAGTCTACTCCTGAGCCCTGATGTGTATGAAGCTTTTGCTCACTAGTTCTAGTCGCGACACATCCTTCACATACTTCCCGTACACAACAGAGGGAGACAATCGGTACGAATTCTTTCGACAGATCGTTGCGTTCCATCCGATTGAAACAACTTTGGCGGTACAGGAATGGAACCTTCAAGGGACAAGTGGTGCTCAGTTTGCACTCGCCCTCGTGACATTCCTCTATGTTGACATCATCGACTGTACCGCTACGCTGTATTCCATGGCCAAATTCTGTGGCGTTGTTGAAGATGACGGTGACTTCCCTCGCTCCACGATTGCCTATTGCACTGATGCAGCATGTATCTCAATCGGCTCGTTATTCGGCTGCTCGCCGGTCACTGCATTCATTGAGAGTGGTGCAGGAATCGCTGAAGGTGGCCGCACTGGTCTGACTGCAGTTTCCACTGGGTTCTGCTTTCTCATCAGTCTCTTCTTCGCACCGATCCTCGCCTCGATCCCGCCCTGGGCTACAGGCTCAACACTTATCTTGGTAAGTTTAAACTCCTAATCTCCTGTGACAGAGGACTAACGCAGAGCTTCGAACTAGGTTGGCTGCCTCATGATCCGCCAAGTGACCAACATCAATTGGCAATACATTGGCGACGCCGTTCCATCCTTTGTGACTCTAGCATTCATGCCATTCAGTTACAGTGTCGCCTACGGTCTTATTGCGTATGTGACCCAACACTATGAAACTGATGTTTTACTAACAATTATGCTAGTGGCATGATGGTATACATCGTCCTGAACACTATGATTTGGGTTGTAGTCAAGTTCACAGGCGGGAAAGTAACGCCGGCCAACTGGCAGTCAAAAGAAGTTTACAGCTTCGGTTTTGGAAGACGAGATATGCCAGGCTGGGTGAGATTCCTTCGTCGCAAGTTCTTTGGTGCCGAAGTGGTTCGAAAGGACGGCATAGAGCTCGCCGATTGTGACAGTACCATCAATCACGAGTCACGCAGCGGGTCGGCCGAGGGCAAGCCTTTACAAATCCTCTCAAGCCGACCTCACCCTCACGGTCGCCATATCGACTACGATCTTCCTTCCCTCGACTAGAAAGATCGGCAAGATGAATCGTTGTGATGTGTCTGTTGCAAGGTACAATAATTGATGTAGAGGGTATTTGCCGTGAGAAACAAAGAAAAATATATTGTTATTGTGGTCAGTGCTATACATGATATCAAGGAGAATGAAGAACAGAAAACAGCTGGCATAGATGAGAGAAAGCCACAGGTAGCTGAAGTCCAGCAGGGGATATATATTAAGTATCAGAGGACGGAGCTTTGACCTGGCTTGAAGGAGACATATGTGGCTCCTATGATAATGTAGTTTCAAAAGATATAACATGGCAACTAGCGATTTTCGCCATAATCACGTTGGGACACTGTCTATCCTCACTTGAAGTGGCTGTTTGATTTCTATATAGTTGAGATATTATCGGGAGAAGTTCCTGGTAAATCATGATGATTGCTGACTGTCTGTCTTATCTTATCGCCTTCCTGTGCCGCAATATCGAGTGGGGCAACTACCTAAGGTATGGTTAGCTCTTTGCGCCTGTACCTATGTACCTGCCTGCCTTGACATCACTGAAGACAACTTCGCAATAGCTACGTGAACTTTCTAAAAGCAGTCTTCCTAGTAACGCCGATAAAGTCAAGCTGTGTTCGCACCCAACACTGCCACAAAACAGCTGTATATCCCATCTTCGCTCAAACTGCTGTCTATCAATCGTCAGGTTCTCTACAAACGGCGGAGTTGCTATTCAGCAGGTCTGAGAGAGGAAGATGAGTGGTGGTTGGAATACCAGTGAGCAGCATGCCAAGGTCTCGCAACATGGACCGATCGAAACGCTAATCACCTGGGTACAGTCGAGTCAGACGCGGTATGCCGCCCGTTTCCCGGATCTCTTATTCAACCCGGAACCGTATTTTGATCTAGATGAACTGACCAGCTCTCGAGATAGGGTGTCTTCACATTCCTCCTGAACAATCTTGGAGCCAAAGATGTCCAGTTTGAGGAGCTGCTCACCTTAGAGCCCGAGGTGCTCGCCGAGTTGCACCCGGTCTACGGCGTCATATTCCTCTTCAAATACCCCACAGATGCACCCTATGCGGCGACCGACAAGCCGCTCGACGGGACGTTCGACCACGAGGCGGCGGAGCGGATCTTCTTCGCCGCGCAAACGATCCAGAATGCGTGCGGCACGCAGGCGCTGCTCTCGGTGCTGCTAAACAAGGATAAGGAGGGCGGCAGCAGCGAGAGCGGTACCGGCATCGACATCGGCACGCCGCTGCGCGAGTTCCGCGAGTTCACAATGGTGCTGCCGCCCGAGTTCCGCGGCGAGGCCCTCAGCAACAGCGAGCTGATCCGCGACGTGCACAACAGCTTCGCTAAGAGCAGTCCCTTCGTCGACGAGACGCAGCGCACGAGCGGCGAGGCCGAGGACGCGTTCCACTTCATCGCGTACACGCCCATCAACGGCACGCTGTACGAGCTCGACGGCCTGCAGCCCGCGCCTATCAGCCATGGCGCCTGCGCGGCCGACGAGTTCCCTGCGAAGGTCATGGAGGTGCTGCAGCGCCGCATCGCGCGGTACGACATGTCGGAGATAAGGTTCAACCTCATGGCTATGGTGCGCGATCTACGGGTGCGGGCGCGCGAGATCGGCGATGCCGAGGCGCTTGAGCGCGAGGAGCAGAAGAGGCGCGACTGGCAGTTTGAGAACGCCCTGAGAAGACATAACTTTGTGGGCTTCGCGGGGGCTGTTCTGAAAGGTGTTGTTGAAGACAAGCTTGCTGAGGGAGGAGACGCGGCGTACGAGAAGTGGATCGAGGAAGCGAAGGCGAAGACTAGGCAGCGCCTCGAGAATAAGCGGAAGGGAGGTGGTGATGGCGATGTTGAGATGGGGGGATGAAAACTGACTTATGGGCGGGGAGGTGTTGTCTGTTGTTCTGCTTCCGCTTTTTTTCGCTTGGGATGATTGGACCGGGGGGCCTGGCATAGATATCGTCGACCGGAGCTTGGTATTGGTAGATAGAATGAAGAGACATGACCGCGGACTTCTGTCAGTTCTGGGAATCTGCGATAGCCTTGCTTACTTCTCTTGGGAGGCATAGTGAGATAAAAAGAAAAATGATGTACTCGAGAGATATGCCTGATGCTAGGGTCGGGTCGAACTCAAGGACATCGCTATTCTAAGTATATTTTATTTCCGTCTCCCATAAGCGAACAAAGAAGAGCTGGCCAACATGCGCGCCTACATATATGCATACTTAGACAGCCAATGAGATCCAGGCCAAAAGTCCCGAACTTCTTTCGCATTACCAGGTATCCTGGTCATGGCACCTTTTACTTTATGTACTACTCACTTAGCTTGTTCACGACATCCATCTAGGTCGAGGTCGAGCACGAACATCAGACAGGAATGAAAAATTGTAAGGGGGGGGGGAATAGAAAAAGTATATTCGAAGAAGGGGAATCAATATAAAAAAAGGCAAATAGTTAAAAAATAAAGTTTCCGCACAAAACGCCCTAATGTTCTCCTCTCTCTCACTTCCTTCGTGAGTTTTCTCATCTCATCCACATTCATATCGTGACCAGTGAGTAAGGAGGTGGGGTGTCTTTCTCCTCTACACCCCTTTGTTCCCATTATGCACGTTCCCGAGTTAAGTAAGGGGATTCTCGGTGCGTGTGCTGTATATATATACGTCTTATTCCTGGTCTCATCGTCCATTTCTTTCTCTGTGGTGGTGTTGTTTGTATTTAGGTAGAGCCGTAGAACCAGTATCTGTTTTATCATGGTCAGCTTCCTCTTCATGGAATTGAGATGTAGCGTTCTTAGTCGGGTACTTACTCAGCCGCGTATTCTACCGTGAACGCGGCGGGCTGGCCCTCGCATGTGGCGGGGGAGCTGCCGCCGGCCGTCTCGACGCGGAAGACCTGGTGCAGACCGCCCGTGGCATCCGGGTTGGCGGCAAGACGCAGCCAGGGCACGGCGATCTCGCCCTTGCGGCCCTTGGGCGCGTCGGCAGGGGCAGCGGTTGCGTTGAGCTTGGAGCAAGGGGCCTCGCCGATCTGCTTGCGCTTCGTGTCAAGGTTGAAGAAGGGCGTCGTCGAGTTGGTGAAGAAATGCTTCCCTGACACGATGAGCTCGGTGGGCCCCATCTTCTTCGAGTTGTCGTCGGAGAGCGGGCTGTAGGGAAGGTCGAATTGCAGCGCCAGCTTGGGGAGCATGTGCAGAAGATCGGGGTAGGCGGCTGCTATGCATGAGGCGTCGAAAAGGGTTGCTACAGCGCCGTTGGCCGTGGGGGCCTCTGTTGGCTTGCTGGCATCACAGGTATAGTTCTGCGTGCCACGACCGATAGCTACGTGCTTTACTACGAGCCCTGAGTCTGGTGTTGGGAGAGGGTTGGCAGCCACTGGATACAAGTGTCAGTGGTGACTTTCTTCTATTCTTGTCGTGGGAAGGACTTACAGGTTGGAATCTTGGCCTTGGAGATGTCACATTTTGGTATGCTCTTAGACAGCTTGGCGATATCGATCTTCTGCGCCAACAGGTTGAAGTAGTCTGCTACAGTCTCATGTCCAACGGTATTGGTGAGCCCCGGGTGAAGAAGTGGCCAGGTTGGCGCGGCGAAAACGGTCGAGGCACCCAGGAAGGTGGCTAATATTGTTGAGCCGTACATCTTGATTTCGGGGTTGAAGTGAGGATGACAAGGTTGAAGTTCTTAGGTAATAAAGATTGGTCCGGAGAAAATTGAACTGTTTTCCTTGACCCGTTTCTTCCTTGTTGTTATAGTATAGGCAGATTGATATCTATACTATGCGATTTGAGATCGTGCTGAAGGAAAATCCCAAACCCAATCAGATAATACCCGTTCCCAGAAGACAAGAATAGAAAATCGAGAAGGGAAAAAGGAAATAATTGGTTTGAAGAAGAGCAATGGAAGGAAAAGAGAAGTAGGAAAAAAGTGAGAAAAAGGAAATGATCCCCCAGAGGTATAAGAATGAGGCTGTTTACGCGGGTGGTGGAACAAGAGAGGTTCGTCTGAGAGGTCGAGTGTAGCCGTCTGTCTTAATATATTGAGAGCGGCAGTGGCTGGTCTCTCCCTCACAGGCCACAAGCTACTGTACTTAGACGATCAACCAACAGTAGCATCGACACAACCCTGCTTGCTGCCGTCCATCCCGGGCGGCAGAGAGCATGGGGAGTGGACATGATCTCGTGTAGCTACGCTGAGAGCAGAATGGCGGGAGAACTAAATTAGGTACCACGAGAAGATACTGTTGGCGTTACTCCATGGGGCTTTGCTGGAAGGGGAATGGCTACCTCGTCGGCTGACAAGCCCGACGTGAGAGGCTCCCAAGTTCCCAACCAACACCAGTTACTGACCAGTTAACCGCCCTACTATGGATGCACACAAGAGCTGGTTGCAGCGGGCAGGCGAGGGCAGGGAAGAGCAGGACCACCAGACTCCCGGACGAGGTCGGACAGTGTGGAGAGGACCCGGCACGGATGCTACGCTAGAACGGTCTCCTCGAGCTGGACAAGGGTCGCTCGAGAGAGGCGATCTGCAGCTAAACAGCTAGCCAGGACTCGCCAGGTAGCTTGGCATGGGGTAGATGTCTGTTGCTGTCTGCGATTGGCCGAGACGCTCCGCGCAAGCGCCGTGGCTAGCAAACACCAAAGACCCTTGTGCCGATTCTTTTGAAGCTACCGTAGAGATATCCATGCGCAGATACGACTCACGACGGTAGCTGCTACGGTATCATTATCAAGATAGGTAGGTAGATCATTGCAGCAGCGGGTCGCAGCGGCAAACGATTGCTGCCCATCTGCTGATACTTACATAGGTATCTCCACAGCAGCTGACGATGGAGGAGGTTGTAAATCGTTTCTGACGACAGCAGTATCACTTAATCGCCCATGTTATGATGGCTGTGTACGAACAGGTGTGCTGCTGAATACGAAAGCGGCGTGAATTACGTTAGTCACAAACATAGAGAAGCGAAAAATAAACCGGAGTTTCGAATATCCGACGGCGGTGTCACCAGAAGGTAATCATTTCTACTGTAATACCTACACTAGACCTGGCTGTGTATCTTGTATTTGGAAGTGAGATGAGAGCAGCAAGAGGCAAAAGAAGATGCGCATACCTAGATCAAGTTTGGCTTACCAACAACAAGGGTCCACTATCTAAGGCTTTACATGAAATGATGACCTAATTTAGCCCGTCATCTCGGTGTGTGAGTGTGATGCCAAGAGGTTAATTAATCTAAATAGCCACGGCAACTTCTGTGCTCCGAGAGGGTGGTAAGGCGGTAAACACCAGAGGAAAGGCAAAAATAGAAACAAATTAGTAGAGATCTCGGTTGAATTTGCCCGCGCTAACGTTCGTCCAACGCAGCAAATTTTGCTTGCTTGTCATCCAATCATTGCGCTTGTGGAGAGGCGGCAAGCCGATAGAAGGCAAATTGGTTTATTTCCATGCGTCGTTTCTCTTGACCGTTCAAATGGACTTACCTACTCCACTGGACTCATTTTCTGGAATAGGTAAGTGGAAGAAGGCGTGTGTATACCTTTTATACGCGCTGACGCCGATGTTAGAAACTTGGATTCTTATTTCCGCATCATACTCTTTCCGGCAGGACTCGATAATGTAGGTAGATGGAGGATAGGCAGAGGCAGTACTGTCTCAGATGTCGTATTGGTATCATCACACAGCGTCTCGCTTCGTCCCTTTCTCCGGAGAAGTAGGAGTCTTAACATCAGTATTCGGATGTATGCAGTCAGTCCCTTGTTTCGCTTCCATGTAAATCAATTAGAGCCCGATCGTGTGAACACAATGAACCAGCCTCTGACCCGACCCTACGTGTCGGCGATTAAGAAAGTTGAACATAAAGTCGGCATATAAGGTATCAAGAGACGAACGCTACAGCTCTCTGATTGGCCGCTGTCTTTCCCGACTCTGTCAGGGCAGCATGTCGCGACGTCACGTAGCAATAGACAAAGACACTCATCTCACAGGTCTGTCGTAGATTTACCAAATGGATCAGATAGGCAACCAAATGTGCATCACCTAGAAACATGGTTCTCAAAGCTTCGTCATCAGACATCGCGCCTTCAAGGTCCAATACACTGTACATTCCTCCCATGCCCACGAGACAAGTAAGTAGCTGCTCTTGGGATGGGGGGCACAGCGTTTAAATCTTAGCCTGCGCGTCAAATGATAAGACCATCTGCATAATTGTAGGGATCATCCCAGGGCCAGCTCTGTCTACTTACATCAGGGAACGAAAGGTGGAGTTTTGTCGACCATTCAGTTTTACCAACCAACCCACTGTCTAACTAACGGGGCGAGCTGGGCAGAACTCCCCCGCCAAAGCGAATCAAGCCGCTCCGTGTGGTAGCAGCGGGATCTCCCTCGCCTCCTCTAGCAAATCGTCGACGTTGGAGCCACTCCGTCTTGGCGCCGCATGCTACCCAAGCCTTAGTCTTCATTTAAAGATCGAGCCAATACATGTGAAAGTGCCTGGGTCGTTTTGGTGTTGTGGAGATGATGAAAAGGCCTGCTTGTTATATATCAATTTCTAGGATTTAAGATTCCATCTATGCGGTGGTTCGCGATCCTGTTAACGGTTGCCTGTTCATAGTCGAGTGCGCGCGTGGTTATCTAGATGCGTAAGCAGCGTGCTTGTCTCGTGTCTTCTGTTGATGCAGTTTTCGGTCCAACGGTTTCTTGGGGTGGCCTCTAGTCAGAACTAGAAGCGGGTATGCCAGGAAGAGAGGATCGGCTGGATGAAGATATTCTGTGCAAGATGGTACAATTACAACTTCTCTAATCTTGAACCAGCGTGGGGACTACCTCCCTCAAAACGCTCTCGCGGATCCCGGCACAATCATAAGTCTATATACTAAATCAGAGGCTGCGCATTCTAAATAACCAGCTTGTAGCCTCACAAAAATACATATACATACACATATAACGTCATCCATCGGCTTGGAAATATTGGAACATAATGTTACATTGTCATCAATGTCCATTAAACCCTTCTTGTTGCCAGTCTCCTTGTCTAATCGCCTGGCCATTGGACCCAAGCCTACCGCTGCCCAGCCCTCCAGCGCCCGCGGCGGCGGCTACACCTGGGCCTAGATTATGTGTGTACTTCTCGGCATCTGCCGTGCCAAGCCAATATAGCGAGAAGAAGACCAGCAGATGTAGCGCAACGCAGTAGGCCGCAAATAAATTCCTACTTGTCCTTGACGCCAACACCATCCGGGTGACTGTGTATACCACCCTTTCTGGAAGGCTCATTCGCTTGTATGCCCGGGCCGACTCTCGCCCTCTAAACGCGGCGAAGGGTGATATGTTGGACTCATATGCCTTCCTGTACCGGTCCATCTCGATGCCAGGGCTGCCTGTGCCCCCTATACTCACGGTAGATGGGTTGGGATTGGACGAGTAGGCTGCTGATGACGACGACGCCGAAGGTCCGCCGCGGTTGTACGTAGATACGTATCGCGTCTTTTCATAAAGTTGCAAATTGTCCTTCTGTAGTGCAGCGATCTCTTGTCTCAGCTGGGAGACGGTGCGGTGGCTCTCAGACAACTCCGTTTCAAGTTGGGAATTGCGTTTCTTGAAGCGATCACGCTGTGCTGTGATCATGGGAAGAATGCCAGAGCCCCCGCCCAAGGGTTCACCACCTGCTGTGCGAGGATCGAAGCCGGAAATTATGGATGACGTTGGTGAGGTTTTGCCGCCTCGTCTTCCTGGCGCGATCGATGGAGTATACCTAGTGTAGGTGCCCGCCACCGATGCGCCAGACGGGAATGCATTCTGACCCTCTGATTGGAGATTTGCGAGATCATTTTCTAGCTGAGTGTTCAGATTCTGTGACCTCTCCAGATCGGCGTTCGTCCTCGACATCTCTTCTTGCATGCCCTCAAGCCGGTTTTGGAGGTCATGGTGTGATACTCGGAGAATTGTAAGCTCATCGCCGAGCTTCTTATTTCTCGCTAAGAGTAGCTGTTCCAAAGTGTCCCCCTTCGCCTTGGCGGTCGAGCCATTTGAATCTGTGTTCGCTAACACATCATCATCATCCCCTGTCGAGAATTCAATACTCTTGAGCACTTCTAGTTCTTGCTTAACGTCGTCGTAATCACTCCACTTCTGGACTTTTGCTCTTAAGGTATCGCGCTCCTCTGTCAAAAGGCCGACCTCTCGTTCTAGACTACGTAACCTCGAGTCAATGTCCCTCTTGAATGCTTCTTTCTCAACTCTAGCTTGGTCAAGCTTGCGTATGAGAGAAGAGTTTTCAGACCTCATTCGCATATACGACGGATCATCTTCAGGAGATGACGCCTGAGTTTGTACCTGTGATTTCGACTGCGCGAGCTCTAGACGTAACTGTTCATTACGGGCTTCCACTTCGGCGAGTCTTGCACTAGTTCGTTCTAGGTCTGAATGAACCATCTCGAGTTCCGCGCTTGTGACATGTCCGCCATTTCCTTCGGCATCAACACCTTCGGAACCTTTCAATCGCTGTGTGACCTCATAACTGGCCTTGATTTCGTTGATCAGCCGTTCCTGGCTCTCGACCTTCTCCTCTAAAGCCTTTTCCTTTGCCTCCCAGTTGTCTTGCTTTTCCTCGAGCACAGCTGTCCATGATGATTCTACCTCCTTCACTTTCGAGTCAAGGTTATTCTCAAGTTGCTTACGGTTCGCACTTTCAGATTGCAATCGCGACTCGGTTTCCTCAAGCTGCGAAGTCAAGCTTGCAATATTTTCCTGTAGATGCTGATTCTCCTCCGTTAGTTTCGGAAGCGTGTCCTCAGACACAAGCATGGAGTCGACAGAAGCTTCGAGCAGTGGGTATGGGTCTGGCGCATTCTCTAAGGCTGAATAGACCTGCAAGAAGGCGCTGTTCGTGGCCTTGGAATGGTTGGTAAGTAGATCGATAAACGTTTGGTAAGCTATATCAAACAACCATTAGTCGGACGAGGATGCGATCAGTGGCGAGTCAACCTGGCGACGCACCCTTGAGAAGGCTCTTATACTCAGTGAGCTTCGTCGCATCGTCAAGCTTTCTAAAGTCTTTAGTTTTCTGGGCGAGATCTTTTCGCTGTACGGTAGAATCACGCTGGTATGCGACGATATCGGATGCAGTGTTGTCGAGGGTCTGAATTAGGGTGGACAAGTCAATGTCTGTCGATTAATCAGTCAGCATGGACGACAACTCCCAGCAGGAGGGCATTGGCACATGTGACGCACTTCTCCATGCAGATATGGCGTGTTGAAATTGATTTGTATTCTCATTGCCCGATGACGGGGCCGTAGGCTCGTCGTTCTGTTGCGATATTACCGCGTCAAGGTTATCCATGGCGGAGGATTAACTCAGTCGTAGGCTACGGGAGCTGGAGGAGTTCGAAGAGCTTGAATAGCTAGGGGCGGTGGTCGCTGCCACACTCATCACATCATCAGGAATTGACACAAGGCAATTCTAGAGCGACTCGGCCGCTTTTCGTTGATTGAGTATGTGGTTTTGTTGGTGATCGGATGGTTCAGGCGATAGTCATGGGGATGATACCACGTATTTAGACCGAGGAGACTGAACTCGTGTTTCGTTCCTGAAAGGCTGAGCGAGCTGGACTGGACTGGGCCGGCGCTCCTCAGCTAAAAGAATACCTCCCGTAAAGTACCTACCCTGCTAGGTACTGGCTTTACCTAATGCAAGGCACCTAGCGAAAGGTGTCCAGGTCCTGTAGCACCGCTAGCTAACACCGAATAAGGCATTAATTAACACCCTGGAGGCCCTCAAAGTTCCATTTCATTGGCCATAAGCTTACCTAACTGGTGGCCAGAGGTGGCCTAGGTAAGTACTGTGCCGATGTGCCTTCAATCGTGACGATTATCTACCTCATCCCCAGCCTCACCTCTACATCTCCCACCATATCTCTATCCATACAGTATCCCCTTTATCAACACGACTGTTGTACAATCGCTACAGCCAGCCACAGCTACTGGTGCAATCGTGCTTTGCATTATGACTGCATTCGAGGCTTTATGATGTTGTCTATCCAGCTATGGCTCTAGACGCGCATAGCAATATAAGCTCCCAGAGCTTCCCAGGAGCTGGCCCCTACGTCCTGCGCACCCTATTCGCAGATGTGCCGCTCTCTGAAGACGGTTCTAGAGACGATATTAAGATCAACTGCGTCGAATATCTGGGTGCGCCACTCACATCATATTTTACCTGACCCCCAGACCCGGCCATGTACGCCTTGACTAATCCAAGGTGCACCAGATCGCAACCTCTACGTGGGAACATCGGATTCAGAGCTTCTTCACTTCTTCCAAATCCCCCCAGACCCCGCCGATCATTCTGATGTTCCAACTTTCATCCTCGCATCGCGACTCCGGCCTACTTTCTCAGATCCAGCTGGTGCACCCAATCCTTCCCGGCCTGGTGTACAAGAGATATTGCTGCTCCCTGGTGTTGGGAAGGCGTGTGTTCTGTGTAACTCAACCGTCACCTTCTACTCCCTGCCAGAGCTTAGCCCTGCATTTAATGGGCTTCAAGTTAAAAACTGTGGTTGGATTGGTGGGGTGGATCTCAACCAGGATATCCAAGATACTAACGGCGCCACGATATTGTTGTCTTTGAGTAGAAAAATACAGGTCGTGAGGATCGGGGAAGATGCTCGCGTTATAAAGAAGATCGAGTTTACAGGCAGCAAGTTGTCCGTGAGGAGAAATACCATTGCCTGCGTTGCCGACTCGAGGAGCTATGCCCTTTTAGAAATCGAACGCCAACTCAAGATTCCTTTGATGTCGATCTCATCCCTAGATGAGGCACAGCCCGGAACCATTCTTGGTCAGGCTCAGGATATTTCCGCAAGCAGCGGTGGCGGTCTGTTACGGAGTAATTCATCCACTCAAGCCCGCCCTCAGATAGAAACCCCCGAGACACAGACGCACCGGAGAGGCACAAGCTTAGGGAATCTCATCTCAAGTGTCCGAAAGCAGGAACAGTATACCGTTGATGCCGAGGAACCTGGCAGTCGGTCAGCAACGCCTCCACAGCCCGCAGTCAGCCCAGGTCCTCCAGAGGGAGCATCTCCGGTTCAGTCAGCTGCTCCTGATGGAGCAGTCGAAGCTCGATCAGCTAAGGTTCATGCGCCCGGGCCTTCTTTCCTCAAACCACATATAGTCTCACCAACCCCCGAAGAATTCCTTTTAGTGACAGGCACTAGTCCGTTGGAACCCGGTATTGGGATGTTTGTAAACACGGAAGGAGAACCAACTCGTCCTACCATCGAGTTTGATCGCTATCCTAGGCAAATAGTGGTCGATGGAGGATCCCTAGATATGTCAACTTCTCGTCCGTCTTTGGGCCCTGAAGAAGAGAGGTTTGTTCTTGCCTCACTGAGTAAGGAACTAAAAGACGGTATACACTATGGCTTAGAGATCCAACGCTGGGATGCTGATGCTGCAGAGGAGGAACCGATAAAATATTGGCTCGAGCCCAACCAAGACAGCACTACAAAAATCAAAGTGCCCCAGTCACTTGGAATCCGATCACTGCTAGGAGCTGACGGCATATGCTCCCAAGAAATTGTTGACCGACTTTGCAGACGTAGATTTGCTCCGTTCCACTCCGGCACTGTAGAGCCCTCTTCTGTATCACTTAAAAGTGTCGATTCACGAACAGCATCATCAATGGAGAGGATGTCGAGGGAAAAGGAGCTCTTTGACAGAGATAATGATTCCCAAGATGATGAGTCCCTGCCCGAAGGGTGGCAGGCAACCCGCAATACAGAGGAAGTGGAGTTTGCTCGCCGGCTTGCAGGCATTACGGCTCGCATGGCAGTTTGGTCCGGCCCCTATATCTGGTGGGCTGTGCGCAATCCTCTGATACTCCAGCTAGACACCCAACTTGCGGCGACTAGTTCCATGTCAGACGAAACCTCTGAAAAACGGCGAGAGTTAATCAAAATCGTTAACTCATTTCGCGGGCGTGATGCTAAATCAGAGCTAGAATTCTTGACTTTCAGCTATATACGACAACAGGTAGGAATTCTGCTATTGATCAGCTTCCTAAAGTCTATCAAAAACTCCTTTTCAGAAGCCGAGCTTGAAGCTATGGAAGAGGTTTTAGTTGACAGTCAACTTGATCCTCGTGTTGTACTGTCTATTGTTCCTGGGGTGCGAAATGAAGTGATTGAAACACGGCGAGGAATATGGATCTTTGGCGGCGTTAAAATGACAGCTGAAGATTTCATTTCAAGCTCTGATTTTGATAATAAGAGCCAATCTACCTTGAGTACACTGAATCAGCCGGTTCTTCAGTTCCTTAGACGCTTCCTTACTACTTGGCGACGGAAAAAGGGGTTCGGTAGCGTGCCTGACGAGAGCGAGGTGTTTCGCACCGTTGATGCCGCTCTTCTTGCCGTATTGCTTGAACTAGATCGGCATTCACCTCCCGGTCTACCCAAGAGCCGCTCAGTCCGTACCGAATTGTACGAGCTGGTGGACAGCGGAGTTGATTGCTTCGACCGAGCAGAAACTTTGATTGAGTCGTACCATCGGCTTTTTGTGCTTAGTAGACTCTATCAGAGTAGGAAGATGGCTCAGGAGGTACTTGAGACTTGGAAACGCATCATCGAGGGCGAAAGAAATGAAGGCGGCGAATTTCAAGATGGCGAACTCCGCGTGCGCGAATATTTGACTAAAATCAGCAATCGAAACCTTGTGCAAGAATATGGCATCTGGTTAGCAAACAGAAACCCAAAACTTGGTGTTCAGGTTTTTGCAGACGACAAAGGCAAAGCTGCCAAGTTTGAACCAACTTATGTTGTCGAACTTCTCCGGGCGGATGCCCCAGAAGCTGTCAAGTATTACCTCGAGTTTCTGGTGTTCGGCAAAGGACATACAATCTATGTCAATGAGCTGATAACGTACTATCTCGATGTTGTGGTATCACAATTACAAACATCATCTGAGGCTCGGGACGCTATACTTTCGACATATGACGCATATCGGGCACTACAGCCGCCAAAACCTACGTATCGGCAATTTTTAACAGATAATGCCCCGGCTAATGACGAGGCATGGGAAAGTCGGTTACGTCTCCTCCAGCTTCTCGGTGGCAAATATGAGTACAACTCCGTGATGATAAGAAATCGAATCTCTAGTCTAAGTAGTGTCGCCGATGACTTGCTGGTACCAGAGACAATCATTCTTGATGGCCGAGAACGAAACCATGAGAATGCCTTGCGTCTTTTAGTCCACCACCTTGGAGATTATGACACAGCAGTAGCGTATTGCTTCCGTGGTGGCGCAAGCGTTTACAGTATTTACCAAGTTGAGAAACAAAGCCCCTCTCCAGTAAGCCCTGCAGGCGCGAAAGCGTCACAACGGCGAGAGAGCGTAACACCAACGCAAACTGAGCAGGCCCGACTATTTCGATCTCTATTAGGGGAATTCCTTCAGCTCCAGGATATCAGCGACCGTGTAGAACAGACAAGTCTACTCCTCGAAAAATTTGGCAGTTGGTTCGATGTGACCGATATACTATCAGTAATACCAGATAGCTGGAGTGTAGATCTGGTCGCTGGATTCTTGGTGAAGGCACTTCGACAAATCGTTGTTGAGAAGAACGAAACTTCAGTCGCGAGGTCCCTAAGCTCTGCGCAGAACCTCAGAATTCAGCACGATTTGATCGTGAAGATTGAAGAGAAAGGGCCGAGCATCGAGAGTTAAAAAATGGAATAGCAGTCACCCCGCCATCTGGGAAACAACATTTTCCAATAGCCGATCTAATCCAGCGTTAATAATTCTTGAGTTCAGTGTATTCCTTATCCTCCCACCTGTGTAAAACTCCGAAGCTCGCGATCTCAATATGGTCAAAATCGTCTAAACCCTTTGGTACACTTTAGCCCCTCCTTGTACATGTCAACATCATTCTAATACTAGTGCAAAACTCGCTGCTGCAAGCAGCAGAACAGGTCGCGAAATCTTCGTCACCTGACTGGCGACTATTATCATCACACATACAGTGGTCGCCGATCCCTCTTGTCATCCCATTCTGGTCACTGCCGTACTCCTTCGGGCCTTTATAACGGCAAACCACATCAGCTATAGGCCTGACGTGGAATACTGAAGTTGGACATTAAACGAGCGCTTGCCCAGTTCTCGGGTGGTGCAGCATCATGCCCAGACTTCTTGGTGGCACTTCGCGTCACTTCTTTACTCTTTTGACTCACATGGGATTGGATAACATCATGAAGAAACAAGTCCATAACAATACTAAAAGTAGACTTACCAGCTCTAGACAGGCTCTCCTCGGAGTGTCAAGTTTAAAGCACCGAGGTACAAACATTCCGTATCCTGAGCCTGACGAACCATGATCATGCGTAGTGGAAAATATTGATGCTGATATATAAAACTAGGAGCTTGTACAGTATATGTCAGAGCCTACTTCTGTTATCTCATGTACAACATCACCATCCAGCATAATACCACCACCCTACGAGCCTATGTAGCACAGCAGTCCGTAAATCACAAAGTCAAATTTATGAAGTTTTATCATTTCCGTCATGTGAGCGAATTTGAACGGCTGGTGGTATAGGGCGCGTTTCATAATATTGTATTGGTATCTTCATGCAGCTCTTACCCCTAAACGACTAGTATGTACAGGTGTCACTGCTCTTGGCAACGCATAGAATAGACTCCCTTGCTTGGTGATTCCCAGGATTTGGTGACCATGACTTCAGAGAGTTCACTAGGAGTAGCTTATCCGCCGCCATGGAGCCCATGAACTGAGATATATCTGCCCCAACAAAATCACAGAATACCTAGTCCTAATCGAATAGGCCGATACAAGAGGAAATTTCGACTGCCCTACTTACAGCATTGTTTAAGTTTTAAGCTATTATGCACAACATTTCCTTAGCATCATAGCTCGACTTAATTACTTCTACCATCACGCCGTCAACATGGACACCGGGTTGAGAGCAAACACAACTATCACCGTCACAACGGACGTCCTCCCTCATAAGACTTGTGATAGCCATTTGAACTGTGACGGGCCGTCTCTGGGGCAAAGTACGTCTTTTTGTTTCTTTGCCTTCAATCTTATGGTCTCCTATTTCAGAATACTTGTGTGTGTGTGTGGGGGGGGGGGGGGGGGGGGGGGGGGGACAGGAAATAAATTTTTTTAAAAAAAATGAAAATTATTTCCATTAAAAACCCCAAACCCAAAACCTACCCCACAA